GTTTTATATGGTAAAGTTCCATTTTTAATAATGAAAGTAAAAGTATTTTGACAAAATGAATAGCAACGTGATTATAGCGAATGTCACTCGAAAACATTCTTGAAAAAGAGACCTTTTTTGACCTTTCAATTATTTGCTGAAAGAAGGAGAAAAAGAAAAAAAAACATTATTTCTCGTTTGACTGACTAATTGTATTCCATTTAATGAATAGTTTTTAAATATTAATGAGCACTTTAAAAAAACAGAATCAAAGTGACGTCGTCGGCAAACTTTCATCAAATTGAGTACTTGCTCCAGGTTTAAATAAAATGTATGTTTATTAGGTCATACTGCTTTTCATACGATGAAAACAGGTGAATCGAATCCTTCTGGTCATAACTAAACTAGAAAAATTTACGTTCGGCCTCGTACGATCCGAAATGGATCGTTTTTCGAATCTCACTGTTTCATTCGATTTTGACATAATAATGTGTTGTTTTTGTTGAGTGAAATTGACGAGAATTGTGTTGTTAAGGAACCGTTTTGACTAAGCAATCATTCACACAAACGACCCGAATCGTGACACGAAGAGAAAAAGAATGTTTTTAAAGAAAATATAGAATGATACGTGGGCATGAAGAGGATCAAGGTCTGTTTTTTCATTAGTATAAAATTCTGTTTCGCATTACAACACTCTCATAACACATGAAAAATGCTTTCTCAACGCATCGCCTTCGTGATTATATTCTTTGTTCATATTGCATATGTTGAAGCGGCAACATCAAATTCTTTATCGGACTGCCAAGCAGTTGTCTCATCATTTCGTACCACAATAAATTACACTGCATCAAATATAACAGCAACCACAGGAGTAAATGTGACGTGTTCCCAATCAGGAATGGTTTGTCCTGGTCAAACGATCAATGGTGTTTGTGTTTGGAAACGAAAATTAAGTGTAGTTTGTCGAAATGCAAGTGGAATAATCAAAATTCGTATTCAAACCAATGGTTTACCACCACGTTGTGCCGCTGTTCCAATGGGAACATTTGCTGAATTAAATGTTGATTTCGAAGTGAATTTCAATCCAAGTGTTAGTGTGAAATCATTAAATCAAAATTTTTCCAGTATTTCAACACTTTCACAAGCAATTTGTACACTAACAAGTGTATCAACAGTTCCGACAGCTTCTGGTTTTGTTAATTATGGTACAACAACTTTAAACACAGCAACAGGTGTTTCAGTTGATGGTGTGATGATTTTTAGTCCTGATTCAGCAAATAATATTGATCCATTTTATCCACCAGCGGGTGGAACTGCTGAGTCAGTTGATGCTTGTCTTGCTCATTGTCAAGCAGCTGGTATTTATCATTATCACATTGGAACTGGTTGTCAAGTCAGTCTACCAACCGGAAACGTTTCATCATGTGCAAGTGTAACTGCATGTCGTTCAAGTGTTGCGAATTATTCAATTTCATCATTTTCAAGTTATCAAACAAAAACAATTATTGGTGTGGCAAAAGATGGACATTTGATCTATGGACCTTATTTATCTGCAGGTACACGCGTGACATCAGGCTTCGATGCTTGTAATGGAATGTTTCACGATTCAAATGGAAACTACGCTTATTTTGCAACATCAACTTATCCATATCTTGTTGGTTGTTTTGGTCCTGCCAATTATCCTTCGTTCGGTCCAAATTGTACTACAAATGGCCCATCAAGTTATACAATGTCATCCTATGCAAACGCATTATGAAGTAATTCAACAGTCCCCACTACTAAAACCGTACGCAGCACAGTTTCGATGAATATTCAATTAAATTTTAATGTTTTGTTTGTTTTATTTCTTCTTATGATGATTTGAATAAGGACTAAAAGTGATGTTCAAAATTCTTAAAAAGTTTTATTTCAACTACTATCATTATTACGATTATTCCTATACTAATTCATGTATCAACATTTCCATATGAAAATAAAGAGTTCCTATTAAAAAATAGTTAATATCGTATGAAGAATTTTATCTGGTGAATAGTTACCTCGAAGTAACATATAATTTTGATTCTCTTGAATTGTTAGCGTTTGTGATGAATCACACAACACTAAACTAGAGATTAAGATAGCCCTTCTAGTCTAAATGGATTAGGACATCTGCTCGATGTCCCTGTAGTTTGAGCTAACATTATCTTTCATCCTTTCTCTGTTTCGTATACAGTGGAAAGTGACGGGAAGTGTGAATTTAGAACGATATTATCATATATCATCGATCTTATTAGCTGGAATAGTTTTAGTCACTGATGAATCACATGGCGGGTGTTTAAAAAGCACTGAGTTGTACTGATTGATCAATATGTAAAAATTGTATTTTGTCTGAAAAAGAAAGAGGACTGGTGAAAAAAGCTCTTGAAAATTGATTTTATGATTGCTGAGGAATATTTTCTGGCAATGAAATGCCAACTAATTTAAGTTTTTGAGCAAATTTTAAATAAAAAAATGGTTTTAATGACTTGATTTTACAGAGATACATGGAAGAATTTTCACTAAGGTAGTCACATGATCGACTGTCCGTCCACTTCTCTTTTTGTCCTTATTTTCTAATAAAAAGAGAATTCTCGCAGGATAAGAAACGAAAGCATTGATTAATTTCATTGATCAGTAACTAGACTGAAGCTTTCATAGTAAAAATATGATGATCTCTAGATTAAGAAGGATATCTAGGTCCGCCAATTCCATATTCGAATCCCTTGTCAGATTTGCAAACCATAAAATCAGGAAAATGAAACTTTCTCTCCGTCTCTTCGATTGCATAAAATGAAGTGTTTCACCAACATTCCTCCGTTCTGTATCCCTTTTCTCACCTATGAGAAAGAGTTGTATTTTCAAGAGCTAAGAAAGACTTTAGGATCCCATTTCGAAGTCGTAAACTCTTAGTTCTTTGCAATCTGCTAATGCGTTGTGCTGAGGCCAATCTTTGTCTTACATAAATTCACCTTTGTTAAGAACTTTCATTAATAGTAAAGACTTCTGCGTCTCTTGGAGACGAGAAAAAAAAGATGAGATTCTCTTCTCAATAACAGAAATGTCGTTCTTTAACGTTGTCGACTGCGGAATCTCAGATTAAAAGTTGTCTCATGTAAAAAAAAATCTTGGTTTCTATGGTTTTATCAGAAGTGTTTCTTTTTATCTTCCAAACACGGAGAAATTACAAACATTTCTATTACCAAGATGAATGTCAACGAAGAAGAACATGTAATGCTATCTTATAGTTGGAAAAGCCAAAAAATTGTGAAACAAATTTATAATTTATTAAGAAAAGAAAACATTCCCGTTTGGTTTGATATTCAAGGTGGAATGAAAGTCGATATTTACAAAAGGTATACTCATCCAACTTGACTCATCTTTCCCATCAAATTTCTCATTGTTTAGTATGGCAAAAGGTGTGGAAAATGCATTTGTCGTCTATTGTTTCATGTCTCCTGAATATCAAGAGTCTGACAATTGTAAACTCGAACTAAAATATGCTCAAACACGACGTAAACGAATCATTCCATGTATTGTTACTGATACCCAAGGATGGAAACCATCGGATTGGTTAGGATTGATCACGGCTGGTCTTCTGTACGTCAATTTCAAAGATTATTCAGAGAAACAAATCGAATTGAAAACCAAAGAATTAATTGGTCATATTCAGGAAAATTCTTTTTCGAAAGAATCATTCTGTGAACCCACATATTTGATCGAATTGATTAAATATAAATATACTCAAAGAGAAAATACACATGTTCAATCAATCTTTGATGGAAATCGATTCTATCCGATCAAAGTAAATTCTTTTCATTTCAAAAATCACCAAATCGAAGATTTAGAAGGCAAACACCGAATATTGATCACCGGACCAAATGGAATCGGTAAAACAAGTTTATGTCAATATCTTGCTTACCAATGGTCAATCAATTCGTTTGCTTGTCAATATAAACATCTCATTTTCATTCGTTTACGTCATTTAACAATGTATCAGTACCCACCGAATGAAACTTATTCCATATTCAATTTAATTAACAAAGAAATCTTTGGAAATAATCTTTCGCAAGATGATGAAAAGCTCTTCGAAAGTTCGTTTGATATTCGACAGACTTTGTGGATTCTCGATGGTTATGATGAGATTCTGCTAAATATTCCACCGCATTTAGGATCGTTGTTGAAACAACTGATGAACATGCTATTTCAGATTGTCACAAGTCAATCGATGACGAAAATATTTTCGAATCATTTTCAAATGGAAATTATTGGATTTAACCAACAAAATATCGAAGAATATTGTGAGGAGAAGGTTTTGTTTGAGTTTGTGAAGAAAAATCAAAGGATATGGGGATTTGCGCATGTGCCAATGCATATGGAAATGATTTGGAATCTTTCGCTCCGAGAAAATCTTCAAGATTTAACAATCACGAAATTATATTCGAAAATTATCGAATTGTTATGTGAAAAGAATGAGAAAGTGGAAGAATTTTTCGCGACTTTAGCTTTTAATGCAATGAAAAATAATACGATTATTCTTCGATCGAGTTTAATCAAGCCGATATTAGCCGAAATGAGACTTTCTCAAGAAGAATATTTCTCAATTAAAAATCTAAGGATTTGGAAGAAATCTGCGAATGATCAACAAATCGATGGAGATTATTATTTCATTTCCACGGCTTTTCAAGAATATTTCACCGCGAAGTATTTAATCAAGGGTTTATTTAATCAAGGGTTTAAACAATTCATCAGAGAACATCACGGAGTTTATTAGAATGAATAAGTATAACCAAAGGTTTCGGTTGGTTTTTTACATTCTGTCGGATTTTCTTACAGAAAATCAACTCTGGAAGATTATTTTAGAAAAACCATTAGATTTGGTTGGAATCACACATATTCAATTAATCATTTTTTGTTTGGAACAATCAAATCTTCTCGAAAGAGTCGAATTATTCCATCCTATCATCAAATGGATCGAATTTATCCTATCACCCAGATATTTTCACATATATAAACATTTTCTCGATTCGTTACAATTCAATCATTCATTATCTCATTTAAATTCGTTAAATGATTTGTTTATCAAATTACTTCGAAGCAGAGATTCGAATGAAAAACTAAACGTTTGCTATTTGATCTCGAAATTATCGTTTGAAACACCTTCACAATTATTAATTCAAATGCTTATCAAAACATTCGATGACAAAGATTCGGATGTGAGAGAATCTGCGTGTAAGGCGATGGTTAGTATGGCTGAGAAATCGTCGAATGATAACATAATGAAAAATCTTGTGATTGCGCTTAGTAACGGTAGTAATTATATTAGGCAATATGCGTGTCGAACGATTGAGAATATTTGTGAGGAGAATGTGATCACTGATGAAGTTGGTAGGAAGCTAGTTGACTTACTGAGAGATGAGGATGAGTTTGTAAGAAAAAATGCATGTCAAGCTTTGGGAAAATTGAGAGAAAAGAATGAAGTTGTTGATTATTTAATCAGTGCACTTCGAGATGAAGATGAAAATGTCTGTACGAATGTTTGTAAAATACTTCAACAAATAGGAGAAACGAACGTGTCAAATGAGTTGATTAATAAGTTATTAGGTTCACTTAAACATAAAATCGCAAGTATTCGACAATATTCATGCGTAATTCTTGGAGATTTAGGCGAGAAAGTGATGAAACGTGAAGTTATTACTGAACTACTAAGTGCAACCAATGATGAGAGTTATTTTGTTCGAGGAGCTGCGTGTCAAGCCCTGGGTAAGATCGGTTCACAAGTGTTACTTGATGAAATCTTTTCCAAATTGTTATTTTCCCTCGAAGATAACAAAGACTATGTCCGAATGCACGCCTGTGAAGCATTAGGAAGTCTCGGCGCAAAAATCACCACAAACGAAGTGATCGGTCGACTAATTTTTTCCTTCAATGATCAAAATGAAACCGTTCGGGACCACGCTTGTCTCGCGATGGCAAATATCGGTAGATATTTCGAAATCAACCAAATCACTCGCAAATTACTCAACGCCATTCATCACGAAAACCCTTACGTTCGCCAATACGCGTGTTTAACTCTCGGGAAAATGAGCGAATATTCTGCAAGGGGTGAAATTATCGAGAAACTCATCAGTGCGCTCAGCGACACAGACGAATACGTTCGAATGAGTATTTGTCAAAGTTTAGGCCAAATTGGAAAAGATTTCCGAACGAATGAAATAACTGAGAAGTTAATCGCGACTCTTCAAGACGAAAGCGAAAATGTTCAACGGTACGCGTGTATTTCATTGAGAAAACTCGGCGAAACGATCGAAACCAACCGAATTATTAGAGATCTGATCATGAAAACGAAGAATGAAGACGAAAGTATTCGAATGAAAGCGTATATAAGTCTCGATGAGATTAGTAAAAGGGAAATTAGTAACGAATTTTGGGATAAACTAGTCAATACGCTCGAACATGAAAACGAATATATTTATCAATATGTTTGTTTAGCTCGAGGTAAAACGGAGAATAATCAAGTTATCAGCAGATTAAGAGACGCGATGGCAGAGAGAAACGAGAATATTCAAAGATATGCGTGTAAGGCACTGGCAAAATTAGGAGAAAGTGCAGCGAATGAAGAGATTATTGGTCAATTGAGGGTTTTACTGAATGATTCGAATGAATTCATTCGAGGAAATGCGTGTGAAACTCTTCGAAGCTTTAGAGAGAAAGCGATCCAAACTGAAGTGATTGGAGAGTTAATGAAAAGGTTGATAGATGATGATGAACATGTCAGATTCAGTGCATTTCAAATTATTGAATGTTTTACTCAAATAGAAGAGACAAATCTGGTGATTAAGTATTTAATCAGTGGGATTGAACATGAAGATGAGTTTATTCGACTATATTCGTGTTTGTTGTTGAGAAATATGAAAGAAAAACAAGTGACTCATGAGATTATTGACAAAATAGGAAAATTGTTAGAGGATCATGAAGTAAATATCCAAATAAGTGCGTGCGAAACACTTGGAATCATAGGGAAACTAGTAGAAACCGAGAGAATCTGTCAGAAACTAGTTCATTTCATAGAAAACAACCGAAATTCACGTCTTCGAGCGAGTTTATGCCAAACCATTGGAAATCTAGGAGAAAAACTCAGAACCAATCCTGTTTTCACGGAGTTTTTGCGCGTTGCATTGACGGATAACAACGATTCCGTTCGTTTAAATGCTTATCAAGCCTTGGCGAGTCTTTCGGCAATCACAGACGAAATTCTTCTTATTGCTTTGGAAGATGAGAGTAAAGCGATCAGAAAGTACGCATGTGAATATCTTTCGCAATCACGAGCAAAAAATTTCGTTATCAAAAGATTATTTCAATGTTTGAAAGATGAAGATCAATTCGATTTAGTCACAATTCGTTCTCTAATCGAGAAATTCTCCTCAGAAACAAGTCAATTCGATACCGAACTAGTTGAATACTTGTATCAATATGTTGATCGATTTGGTTTTTGCGATTTGAATATTGTAGAGTTGTTTGAGAAATTTGTGAGTACAAATGAGTATGCTTGGTTGTCAGTTGCGGTTTTAGCCACGATTTTTAAAGGATATGCGGTTTGCTTGGAAGAACATCAGTTAATTATGTACGATGAGAAAGAATTGGTCAAAGTCGATTGTTTCAATGAAGATTTCAGTAGGAAAATAATCGAAACTTTCCGAAGAGAAAGAGAACGATTGGAATTTCCATCGATAGAAATACCGACGCATTTTCTTCAAGCGGAACATCAGAAAATTTTGTCTACCGAGCAAATTAATCAGGAAGGATGTTCAGTTTTGTGTAATTTATTGTAATTTAATGCTTTTTCTAATAAAAACTTGGACGAGATAGATCCTCTTTCGATATCCGAATATTTCAACTACTACAACAGATCATTTGGTCGATGTTTTCGTTCTTGTTTTATTTTATTTTACTTTCTTCTGTTGCTAACACGAGGTTAGATAAGAACTGTGATAAACATCGTTAAATATCGCACAAACATATTTTGAAAATGCCCGAGAGAATCGAAGCAACTCCGTTACCAAATGGAATCATCGAATATCGTGTGTATAAAATTCGATGGATTCAATTAATTGTTTACGTTTTATCCACATTCACCAATGCAATCAGTGGAATGACATTCGCTCCGATCGAATCGCAAACTTCGACATTCTTCCACATCATGACCACACAAGTCAATACCTTACCAATCTATTTTTGTTTCTCTACCCAATCGGCACGATCATGTCCATTTGATTATCGAAGAAACTGTCCATGAGAATGACAATGATCATCGGTGGATTGTTAAATCTTGGAATTTTCATTCGTTTGTTGCTTCCGTTGATCAATCCAGAGTATGGTTATGCAGCATTGCTCATCGGACAAATCTGTTAGGTTTAGCCATTGGCTCGTTTGTGCCTTCGTTGATTATCAATGATAATCCCACATGGAAAGATATTTTTGTTCTTTTAATTATTGAAAGTAGATCAACACTATAGTATCGACATTGTTGTTGTTGATGATATTTCAATCTGATCCTCTCATACCTCGAGCACTATCAGAAGAGCATCATCAGATCATTAATCTAAAAGAAGATTTGATCAATTTACTTAGAAATTATCATTATTTAATACTTCGAATTGGCTTTTCATTTGGCTTAGCACCGTTTAATTCGATAACAACATTATTGTTCCAACTAATTCAACTAAGCGGATATTCGAGTGAAGATGTCGGAATCTTTTTTATTTGAATTCTTCGATCGAGTCAGTATTATCCATTAGCGATTTCTTTTGACTTCCGTTATTGCCTGTGTCGTTCGAATGTACTTATCCAACCCGCGCAGAATGGTCAACGGGATTATGATGTGTTTCGGAAATGTTCGTGGAGGAATTTTTATTTTTGTCCTTGGCTATTTGATTAAATTACAACCGACGTATAAATCAAGCCAAATCTGAACTACAACTTCGATTTTTATGCTTTGTTTTTTTTGTTATTAGTACAACTACGTTGTTTATCTATCGAGGTCCCTGTTTATGACTTGAAGATGAAGAGCAAGCGACGGAGAGAAATACGAACAGTTCAACAAATGTTAATATTTAAATGATTGTTTGAATAAATATCATGAAAATATTCATTTCGGAGCAAAAAACGTTTGCCGTTTTATTCTAGAGAGAATGAAGAAACATTGAAGCATGAATCTTCTCTACGCAATGGATTTCGCTCCTTTCCATTGTCTATTCTGATATGAAAATCCAGCACCGACAAAGTTCAATTTCTTCTTTTTCCAACGACCAAATATTGAAAAAAAAAACAATCTCCCATGGATGTATTGACCTCGCTTACGCCTTTTTCTTGTGTTCTCCACGATCCAATCTGATTCCTTTATATAAATGTCGCCAGTTTTGCAATGTACACCGTTCAGTGTAAAACAATTTTCATCGCCACATAGGTAAACCATTAAACCAACGTAATTCTTTTGAGGATCAAATATATGGGAAGAAGAATCAATGTGAAAATCTTTCAACTCAATTGGCGGTTTCTTTGGATCACTGCTTGCAAATTTACCAGTCCAATGACTCTCTTTATCGGAAACTGGAGAGGCCATACCCAGGAGAACATTTTTCGGATAATCACAGTCTTCATGTGAAATCTGATTTTCACGACTGTTCTTATATGGAATGTCTTTCTGAATTCTAAATAAAAACTTGGAGAAAGTGAAAAATGAAAAGGAAATGTTTCATATTAATAAATGCTACAATTCGACAAATCAACCGCATGACTAGATGATATTAACAGCTATGGTAATTATCTCAATTCGAATTTGAAATGGATGGAAATGTCAGGAGTTTCACTGTAAATCACTGATGTTTTACTCATTTAGAAATGAGTTTAATCAAAATGGATTTTTTATTGTTTCGTTATTATCTAGCTAAATACTTACATTTCAGAATCCATATCGAAGTTTAAACTTGTAGCTATAAGATATTCCTTATTATAAAAAGTATATTTAAATTTGCAGTGTTATACTGTTTTCGTTTGTTATCAATATTAGGTAAATAGGTTTTTTTGCATATTATGTTGTTATATTGTGATATAATCAAGACGAACTACGAAGATAAGGGCGAATTTCATTTTCATATTATTTGCTTTTCTATTTATAAGAAAATTTCGTGTTTCAATATGAGAAATATGGGCATTAGTATAATTTTCAGACTTTTTTTACCATTCTCAACTTCAATGTTAATATGATATATTGACTTGTACCGGATTAGGAATATTAGAGCAAGGTCGGTGATGATCCTGATCTTGTCTAATAGTAGAAGGAGTATTCTACAACCCTATTCTGCAGTTAACCTGCAAGTAAAGTGAATAACCTCAGAGAATATTCTATAAAATACAGATGGAACCACTTTTGACCCCATAACACATTGGATTACGTGAATACATATAAGCACAATCTATGCTCTGATTTATTTTCTACATTTCGATCATCATATAGGATTTCGTTGGCAAAACTTCAATCAAGTCATACAAATTCGATTGACTTGAATATTGGATATACGTATATTGTGTTATAGGCTCTAGAAATATTCGGATCTGAATCGTTCAACAAGTTCGATATTACGCCATCTTGATTGAAAATATTTAATTCAAAACCTCTCTAATTTCTTCAATTTAGTGTCTATTGATTCTCAACATTTTTCTCGTTTCGAATGTCATCTGATGAAATTTTTCAATAAGTTGAAATTCAAAACACAAGTAAAGTTAAACATAAAAAATAAGCTTCGAATGATAAATTTAGTTGAAACTGTGTCTTTAGTGATTTCATTTGCGAAATCTTTTCCGCATGTCTGACATACTTAAGTTACGCGCAATAATAACGAACAATAGGACCAATACCAAACCAATTACAAGTACGTTTGGAGCAACATTGACGACCACCACTACAATCATCACCACGACCAACACATTTGTCAGATTTGCGAGCGAATCTATGAACCACTTCACGCAAGTTAATGTTGTGCTCAGCGAAAGCATCATCGTCTTCGAGTTGAGAAGATCGAACAAAAGCGTCACTATTGGCCATGATTAACATAACAATCATTGTCACACAAACCAATTTGACATAATACACCATCTTTATACAATAGTATCGACAAATAAAGCCAATATTCAATTGAAAGTAATTTTATGAGAATATTATACAAAGTTAAACAAGTACTCCTTATATAAATACCGATTTTTCTCGAAAGAGTAAAAGAAAGCGATTAATATGTATCTATTTTTATATCCCATCAAAATAAAATAATTCAACTACGTCGAAAGCTATCAATTTATCTTTCGTATTTACACAACTACACACATGTAATGATTACGTCAATCATTAAAGCAATTTGATATTTTAAAAAAAGGTAATGCGCACATTGGCGAAAAATGAACAGGATATTTTTATATGTATGCTGACGTCACTCAACCAAACGTAAAAGTCAACAAAAATGTTAGAAATTTTTATACAATTTTGAATTAGAATCATGAATATCTATACATGTAGATTGACTTATGAAGTGATATACTGTGAAGCAAAACGAGGAAAATCGATGGATTTGGAATTTTTCGGGCGTTGTAACTTCGCATCACATAGTGGGTCGATTTCCAATCCTATTTAACCAAGAAATTAAGAAAAGTGCACTGAATGGGTAATTATGTTTTTGGTCGACAAATTTTTGTCGATACAGTACTTCGTCGACAGAACAGTTTGTCGACACAATATTTTGTCTACTGAACGCGTGAACACAAAAACTAAATCAAATTCGAAGCGTTGAAACTATCAAGTTGATTTTTATAAGGTCTTTCGTTTGAAAAACGTAAATATCGTACAACGCTTACCTATCATTTGTCACTGTTTTCACTGCAGATCATTGGGTGTTCATTTATAGCATCTATTAGGTGACAGGTAGAGATCGAGTTGTTTTTTTTTCGAATCTGGTTCAATATATAACTGTCAACAATCGTTAGCAGAGAGTGATTGCACCCATATCGGCAGATAGATACGGCGGATCTCCGTGGGCTCCACGACAACACGATAGGTTACCAATAACTTATAATTTTGTTCTCACTAATAGTTGACATTGAGGAAATCATACTACTGATATTTTGGCTGACGAATTATTTTTGTCGACGAAACGCATAGTCGACGAAATGAATCGTAGACAAAGCGACTATCGACGAAAGTTTTTCGATTAAATATTCTGTCGACGAAATATCACGTCGACCAAAAACATAGCATTCCACTGAATGTCTTGTCGATATAGAAATTCGTGTTTATTTTTCTTTTCGGTTTTGTTTGACAATCAGATACCAGGAAAATTTACATCCAGCAAGATGCATTCACTTGTGTTCTACATGTTTCAAGGACAATTCGAATCAAATGTGCCTCGAAGCGAAATCGAACGAAGTCTGATGAAAATTTCTCATGATTTAACCGAATGATATTTTCAAAAAATAATGAGAATCACATTTGTACACTTTGCAGACTGTTGATGCATACGCGTATCCGATTATGTGTAGGGTGAATTACACATTTTGATGTTGATTTTTGCAATCACGAATACTTCTTTTTTTTCTTATTTGTTACAATCTACTTGTTGGATATCATAAACCATCGTAAGGTTGTATATGAGTATGAAAGTGTGAGTTAATCTTAGCGGTGTATCACGTTTACTTTCATTTAGAACCAACCTGATATTCAAGAGGTCGAAGTAGAGACAACTTTTAATTTTTCAAGACTCATCAACTGGACATGATGGATACATACACAAATAAATGAAAGAAATGAACACATATTCTTGATTTATTTCATTTTCGACTTCTCTCTCTCTAACATTGATATACATACATTCATTTTCTATAATTTATTGCTCTTGATTCATGCTTTCAACCGCACCATATATACTGAGAGAGAAAAATAAACATCATCAAGTCATTCATGAGCTTTTTCAATTTTCAAACCGTAGAATAACAAAAATTAACAAGTCACTACCTTGCAAAACAACTGGTCTTGGATATGCTTATCTTACTCTTGTTGTTGCTATTGGTATGCAAGAAGCCAATACATTCAGTCCTACTGAGTATGGCAAATCGAACATTGATGATCTGACAAATTATTCAGCTATCAATATCAATCGTCATACAGTGACACGATCTGGCTTGAGAACAACTTCGGATTACAAGTCATGGTCGGGGTATTGGTGGTACTGTTGCTGATCCCATAAAAAAAGATGATAAAAAGTACCGAGTTAATCGTTTTCTCAATAATGATGTACGTGGAGATTTTACTGTTTGGCAAGATGGAGAAAGTTACGATGCGGCTGGTTATTTGAATATAACCAATTGTGCACTATATTGAAAATGATATTGCTTTTCCTACTGATAGTCGCCGCGTCGATATGATCACCCATAGTATCAATATTAAATAACTTTCTTCTAATTCACTTTTACTTAGATTTCTCTCGAAAACATAGCATTATGAAAATGAACCTATCGATTAGAAGTGAAATTAGTTGAGAGTTTTCAAGCGCTTTTACGCCGGTCGTTGTGTCTATCATCGACTTCCTTGTTCACATTCTCAGAATCGAAAAAAAGATTTAAACCATGAACTATGTAGGTTTATTTTCTGATTTCTTGTTAATAAAATAAGCTTTTCTGAAAAAAGAATAAGCAAGAAGAAGAGATACTCAGTAGAACATCTTCATTCATGATTCTCTTGAAGGGATAGCGAACGACGACGACGACTGAAAGGAAAACAAATCCAATGATTTCCTCCATAACGACAATAAGTATTTGCCATTTTTGCATTGTCTGGACAATGACAATGACCATTGCGTTCTCCACCTCGTTGACATTGACAATTACGCCACGGATAATGTGGAGTATCACCCATTAGACTCATTGTTACGGAAATCAGAGCCATTACAATCAAGAATATGAGAAAAACCTTCATTTTACCAATGAAAATAACTTTGATTTCTACAGTAAAGTGATAGTGATGAATTACATGCGATAATATATACCTGATACACCTTCTTGTTATGTCAGTAGGTGTGTGTTATTATTTGCTGATCATATGACAAAGAAAATAGGTGTGTTGATCAGACATACACATGTTGGATAGAATCTCAATAAAAAAACTAACAAAACAATTCCTCGTATCCAGTTTCAGTTCCGTCGAAAATATCGTCATCGTCGATTAGGCCGCAAAACGGAGTTCGATAGAAACCAAATGTAAACAAGGGTGATATTATTGTTGATGGAATGATCTTCTAGATAAAATAGTTTTGTTGAAAATAAAATCAGTTCTTTAGTACATCAACTCGATATTCTCTGTTGGAGTGTGAACGAAAAACAGAGTGTATTCTCTTCTGAGGGCTGCGAGAGTGCGAGTACAATATGTAATCAGAATGTAGCGATATCCAGGAGTTTCAACATATGGGGATATGTATATTATTACATAGGCATGTACTTGGTCTAAGTGAGTACAGGATTGTGTACACCACTCCTTCTAGAATATCTATAGTTATTTCAGAAAACGACGAAGTTATAGTGAGGGACATCCCCACCGGCCCTCAGAAGCTAGAGAATCTTTCGTTTTAACTCTTGCGTTTGTTAGTGATACGCTCTCACCCTCATGTGGCGGTTACGTGTGCTATGACTTCTCTATTTCTTTTGTATCGTATTTCTAGAGGACATATGATGTCATTATCAGGGCCTTCGGTGTGAGCTAGTCCTCCTCCCCACTATAGAAAATAATCGAGCGCCTTGATCATTTTGTGGAATAGAAGATCGTATTTGTTGATGTGTGTACATTTTGTATCGATACTCACGCACCTGTGATCATCGAAAGGAGTAACTATGGTCCTTTCGCAAATGTCGAGCATGCATCGTACGTAATCAACTGCAAGTATCGTTGAAGACAAATGCCGTACGCAAAATATTGGGTTCGACGGACAATATAAGGACGGAATCCGGTCGAGTTTTTTTTACTCAGAGCAACCTTCTCTTGCCTTGATCAATCTTATTTGTTGTTACTGACGATCTGAATTCAGACGTGTTGTGTAATATTAAGAAATTGACTACAACTATCGCTCATCTCTTTCATACCACCAATAACAGCAACGCATGTTATTTTAACAGCATCTGAAGCACATTGTTCGAAAAATTTCGAAGATTTGTCAACGTTGTTTTTAACCTTCTTTAATTTATATTCAGTTGAAGCATTTTCGAGTACTGCGAATATAGTCACGTATATTAATGCAATTCAGCTAGTTTAAAAAACAGAAAAATGACGTGTAAAATAATTTTTCCATGTACAAAATCAAGAAAGTGTGACTTTTCCCTTTAAAATATTGTCTGATAAGAGTTCTTTCCAATACACTAATCAAATAACAAATTACTTGATATAGTTTTGTTATTTACTATTCACTTTCGTGTTTCTTTCATAAAGTTGAATCAACAACATTTATCTCTTTTGTTCTCACCACTAAATAAACTTCACGAAAAATACATTAAAGAGTCGATGCTCCTTGAATAGTAAATATTATTAATAAAATATAGATCAGTATATTTCGTTTAACCGTACTTAAAAGTCGTTGTTACAGATTTTCAAGAGTTTATGGACGGTAAAATAGTGGATAAGAACTCCGTTTCCTATCATTATTTTGCACAGTGTGCGAGAACCTTCATCAAGACAAGACATGTACAAAATTAGATCAATTTTCTTGTTTAATAGAAATTTTTATTTGAAAAGAATTGAAAATATCATCTACTTGTAGCCGAAACGATTGTTAGTCATACAGGTTTTCCGAAGAAAAAATGTCATTCTACTTATAAATTTAGAAGCTGAGTTCAAGTCCATCCTAGTAGGCAAAACGATATATTATTGTAATAATCATTGACTGTCTTACTCGTTTAACAGATGCCAAAGCTGCCGAACCTTCCTCACCAATTTTATTTCGATATAGTTTTACTTTTTTCAGTGTCTATGGAAAGAAAAATTCGAATGACTTTGAATTTTATCATATGAAAAACATACGTGATTGATCTGTAATATTTGTGCAAAACTTTGTGCACCTTCAGGACCAATATTGTTGTATTCGAGATTAAGTGTTGTTAATCCCTACAAGTCAATGATACTCAGATAGAAACTACCCATCAGGGTAAATTTGAGTCGAAAATCTACCTGATTCGTCGTTAATCCTTCAGCTAACATTTTAGCACCTTCTGCATTTATTCTGTTACCTTTGAGAGATAGATCTATCAGTGTCTAGAAAAAAATCAAGTGCCTCTTATGTTGATGATTTCAACAGGAAATGAAGATATACGTTGTTGACAGCAAGTGCCTCAGCAAGAGCATATGCACTCTTAGCATCACAAGTATTGTCCTCAAGCTTGAAATGTGTTATTGTCTATAATCCAACGATGGTTTATCATTATTCTCGAGATAAATACGTACAATGTATGACTTACTCGATTGATTTTCAATGCTTCGGCAAGAGCTTGAATACCTGTCTGTGAAATATGAGCATTTTCTAGTTCTATGTTTTTCAATCCCTATGAAAAGACATTCAAGATCTCTCAATAAGAAACCAAATCTTGAGATTAGAAGATTACGATGTTAAACTTCAATGCTTCAGCTAGTGCTTCAACACCTAATTCATCAGTCTTACTCCAAAGAATACGAATCGACGTTAGTGTCTATATGAATAAAATAAATTATGAACTCGAATGAATATCTGGAACATACTTCATTGATTTTCAGCGCTTCTGCTAAGGCAAGAGCACCGTCTTTCACAACATCTTCATCATGAAATGACAAAGTTTTCAATGTCTACAGGATCATGTTTGTCATTGACATTCATTTTCTATCGATAGTCACTAGTAACATACTTTGTTGACTTTCAAGGCTTCACCTATGCCTTTCATTCCTTTTGAACCGATAAAATTATAGCGGAATTTCAATGTTGTAAGTGTCTGTATAGATAAAAAGAAAAGTGAACATGATCGGAGATCATCGATGATTGCAACTTACGTCGTTGACTTTCAATGCTTCTGCTAACTGTTGTGTACCATTTTCATTTAGGAAATTCACTTCTAAATCGAGTTCCGTCAATGTCTTTATGAACATTAAATAAAATCATTCTTCTATGTTTGCTTAGGAAATTATGTGATGAATCTTATTAACTTTCAGTGCATCTACCAATATATGAACACTCGATGAGTTGATGTTATAGCGACGTATCGCCAATGTTTGAAGTGTCTAAATACCATCGACATGTTATGATTGATCGTCTTAATTAACAACAATTGAAACTACTCTATTAGTTGTCAATGCATGAAAAAATGCTTCAGCACCTTCGCCACCAGCTGTACAAGTATCTAGATCGACCATTTTTACACCCTTTAAACATAAGCAATTGTTGTTATATGAATGATTTCGATTTTTAATCGTGGAAAATCTACTTGATTGAACTCTAATGAATTACCCAATGCTCTCACTCCTGNTTTAATTAATTACCCAATGCTCTCACTCCTGCAGGGTCAAAACGATTCGTAGAAAATTAAATCATCAGTGATCTCACCAATGGAAACATCCTTGATTAACTTTTAACACTTCACCCAACATTTCAGCACCGCATCTTCCAATATGATCACCTCTGAATTCGAACTTCGTTACTGTCTGTTCGTGTATGATGATAAGAGAGAGAGAGAGATCATTTTTTTGTGTACAGTTTCAATAATTCATAACTTACTTTATTGAATTTCAGAGCATTAGCAAGTGGTGCGAATCGCTCGGGATCCATTTCTCCAGCTTTTAAGAAAACACGATCAAATTTCTACAGTATTTATGTGAAAGTTTGCTTTCAAACGCTTACTTTATATGGTGGATAGGTGTCTATGATTTTGTTTAGCCTTTGACAAACTTCGCGTAGACTTTTCATGATATTTTTTGGAGTCATTTGATCAAGAATTCGATAAACAATCTCGATTGGAATTGTTAACAACGATGGAACAACTGTTTTCGACATTAGAACGAGTTAAATACAATGCAATGTCTTTGTGGATTGTACGTTCTAGATTGATGGGCTTTTCGTTGGAATTTAATGAATACACCTAATGATTAAGAAAAGGAATAAAGTAACGAATAAAACATTTTATTGGAACTTTTCAATAACTATGTTGCTTATCTCCATTCATTAAACAATACAAAAATAAGAAAGAAAATCTTCGCTCTTATTTCTTTTTATCATTTGATCATGTTTTACTTTCGTTAAGATTTGTACAAAATGTCAATAAATAATAAAATGGGCTTTTTACCATTTATTATATACTCATATCGTAAAAAGACGATCGTATAGAATCTTTTTTTAACTTTATATAAATCCTTCAAGAGTTTATGAATGTCTCTTAGACAGAAAACCTTTGATATGATTGTGAATTTTTTTTTAATACGAACTATTATTCGAAAAAAGAAAAATTTTTGTTTCATTATTCATTTTATTCTTCTAATTCATATTTCTTGAAAAATATCACAAACATTAAAATTTTCTTTTATATCAAATGTTAAATCAGTCGAATCATTTATTTCTTCAATCATTTTCATTGAGAATATTCAATCACTTCATTTTTATATGATGATTTGAACTATTTCGAAATATAAATCGATTGATTATCATCAACAAATATATACAAAAGAATCATAAGTTGATGATATTGATCTTCTTATTCAATTTCATCTACAAAATTAATTCTCTTTCTACTTCTAACTGATTTTTAATTGATTATTAAATCATTGAATTACACGTCGATCTACGAGATTCACAAAGATCAATGAATAATCTTGTTAATTAACAATAATGTTTAACAAATTATTCAAATGATTAATTTTCTTTGATTTATTTCGATTACTTTTAAATATATCAATATATAAATTTCATCATAATAGTTTACAAATTACAAAAAATTACTTAATTTCTTCTTTGTACACGTACAAGAATTCCATTTTTGGCTTTCATTGTTACTCCTTTCATTTCAGGTACAATTTGTTGTCCAGGTATAAGCTCAAAATTACAACTTTGTACAAACATAGCGAGCATAACTTTTGCTTCAAGTAATGCAAAATTTTGTCCAATACAATTACGTGGACCTGATGCAAATGGTAGAAATGCATATGGATGTGTCTTTTTTGGTTTTAATCCAGTTATAGGATCACGTATCCATCTTGTATAATCAAATTTCAATGGATTAGGCCAATAATCTTCACGTCGATGTAACACATAATTATGAATGACAATCATCGCATCGACAGGAACATGTAGTTGAAATTTATCACTATTATTACCAATCGTATGTTCTTTTACACATTGACGAACAAAAAAAGGAGCTGGTGGATACAAACGAAGAGTTTCATAAAGAACAGCTTCGATGATTTGAAGTTCATTTAAATGTTCGAAAGTAGGTACTATTCCATTAGGCAAGACTTGATCAACTTCTTTACGACATGCTTGTAATGCGTCATTATGAATCATTAACATATAAATAGCCCAAGTCATTAAATTCCCGGTTGTTTCATGACCAGCTAGTACAAAAGTGAGAGCCTCTTCTTTTATTTGTTGATCTGTAAATGGTTCACCTTGATCGTCAGTAGCTGATAGTAGAAGATCGAGAATATCTTGACCTGCACATAAACTATTGGATTTTCCTTTTCGTCTATCAGTAATTGCTTGATCAACGAAATCACTGACTTGTTTTGCTCCTTTATCGGCAATGGTTTTACCCCAAAAAGGAAGCTCTGCTAGAAACTTAATTTGATTGATCATTCGAAGTGTTCGATACTCTACTATTTCTTTCACTTCTTGAAATGTTTGAGACATAATTTCTTTTGCATATGATGATGCTTGAAAATCTATACCAAAAGCACTTGATGAAATAATAGAAAGAGTCAAACTATTTAATTGAATTTCAAGATCAATTTGATCTTTCGATGATGACACTAATAGAAGAGAATGAATCGCTTTGGCCGTTTCATCGGACATAATTGATACCATTGATCGAAGATTAACAAAATGAAAAGCAGGATTAAGCATTTTACGTGCACGATCATGTTCTTTTCCTTCACTAACTAAAAGATTATGTGTACCAATAAATGGTTTGACAATATTGGTGAGATCAGGTGGTTTTCGATAGTTAATACCATTTTCACGACTTAAAACATCACTCAAGAGTTCTGGTTCAGCAAGTAAAATTCGTGTTAAAGGACCGAAACCAAATACATAACAATAGCCATGTTTTTGTGCAAGTTCGATGAAATAATCTAATCCTTTACCAATTTTATTTGCTCGAATAATGTCTGGTAGTTGACCAACAAATGGAATAAACGGTTCTCCCGGTATTCCTTGAGCTCGAAAAGCATCATATACTTGCTTTTGAGGACGAATTAGTTTCAAATAGATAATTCCAATAAGAATAAAAACAAACCCGACAGTGTAAATCATAATGTCGTTTTGAAAAAGAAAATACTCGTGTAGTTTATCACTACAAAAAAAGAACGAACGAACGAACGAACAAAAAAGTACGAATGAAAAGTACGTACTTTGACGAAAAATACTACTATCACTATGCATACATACTGTGATTTTTATCATTTACAAACAATGTCAAATTTACATAAAGTAAAACAATACAACTGTAGTCATTTCTATAAAATTGGTAAAATAAATCCTAAAGAACATTGTATGACAAATACGTACTACCATATCGTACCTGATTTTCATTCTAAAGCTGTTGAATTCACAGAAAGAGATTTTTTAGGAAGAGAAAACATTTTTTATTAACCAGCCAGTCCATCTCTACGAGCGTTACTAATTGAATAAAATAAAATTAAAATAAAGAATGTTATAGTTTGAAATTAAAATTGGATTTTCATCTGAGTTTTTAAATAAGAAATAGACATGTTGTTCAAATTTCCGCTGTGTACTTGATAAAGCATCGCATTTCTTTTTGATTGTTCAGATACGTAAATAGCGATCTAGTAATTTATTTCATATTTGCTAGATGATGTAGAAACGAATGAGAATATGTAAAAAATTTCAGATATTTATGGTAGTTTTGGTTCAATGAAAAGAAAGAACAAATAACGATAGATAAATTAAATACCAGATGATAGAATTTGTTCTATCATAATAATTTGATGATGACGTCTGAAATATTGTCTGATGCATGTAGTAACGAGTTTTTTTATTGTATTACGTAGATAAGATATACTATGATTGATATTAATAAGAGATTGAATTTGCAAGAAAATATCTTCTTTGTTACATTCATTATATTCACATACAAAGGAAATCATTCGTCTTTCTGTAAAAGTAATCTGATTTAATTTGTAATATATGAGCACAGCAGGAAGAAATTTTCCAGTTCTTTTACAGAACTGTTCAAATACATGGGTTATAGTATTTTGTTGTGCTATGCATCGATTCTTGGAGCATCTTTCAGTAAAATTGGGAGCAGTAAAAAATTGTCCTAAAAAAATTGTAAAATTAATATTCATGTGTAACTCCGAAAATTCGAGCATATACAATCTCATTTTGACTTACCGGATGGCTTATGATGGTTAAGAACAAAAAGCATTAATGCTTGAAGCCCCTATGGGAACCCTTCATAGTATAGGATGTGCTGGCACGAAAAAAAGTTTTTTCATAGATGACTTTTGACAGCTTTTTTCAACATGATCTTCCTTACAATTGAGAGAATGATTTTGACAGAGGAATTTATCAAGGCAAAACTTTCTCTCAAAGATATCAGAAATGTAAAAATACCAAAGTATTACATCTCTGAATACGATTTATCAAATTTATTTGCGAAAGAGTTGAAGTGTGAATGAAGATAATGTTAAAAAAATACAAGTATCTACATTCTTAACTATTCTCACTCTCACCCCTCACTATGATTTGGACTGAATAATACGAAACGTTATTTTTCTCATACAAAGAATTTAAAATACGTATGTATGATATATGATCGTTATAATTACTTTTATCGACGTCACATTGTGAGTCAAGTCGCACATGATACACACATCCATTTGTAACAATGCATTCGAATCAACGCAATAAACCAAATGAATACGAAAAGAAAGAACTCGAACAATATGTTTACATATATAAATATACTATACTCGGGGATATATTTATTATAACATTTCCATTCATATAGAAAATGACGCATAATCGACATTATCGAATTCAAGAGAAATATATTGCTTATCATCCCATCTTTATTGTATCCGATGATGAAAATAAAACTGCGTATATTCTTCATTACCAACATCACAAGTTTGGTCATCAATTGGTGCTGATGGATTCGTCTGGCACAGTATTGATGAATATTCGACATATAGTTGATCGTCATCAAACATACGATATTTACGTTGTTGACAAAAACGGTCACCACAATTTATTAGGAGTTTTTCGACGGATAGGTAGACCGTGGCATCATAAATTTTTAGTCGAATCTGTATATGGTGAACATCAAATCGATCGAATGGGGAGATTGTCTCATCATAAATATGAAATGATGCATGATCAACAATTAATTGCTAAAATCAATGCAAAAGATGATAAATCGGATGATTTAGTTTCGATCGAAATTGTCGCAGATGTTGATGTGATGAAAGATCCGTTCATTCTGGCTCTCGTAATGGTTCAACAAACCTTATAACTTGTTTTTTTTGTACACTTGTTTCTGTATTTTATCAATAAAATCTTGCAGGACTAATCTGTAAGGTAATCGTATCAAACAAAAAATACTTCATGGTTAGTCCTTAATCAAAAAGTATTAATGATCTGTCTAGATCTATAAACAGATATAGTATATTTTTGAATTCTTCTGGTAAAATACTCGAATAGCGATTCATGAGTTATAATTAATTAGTTGTCTATTAGATTGCAATCACATCGAAACCGGCACGAGGAAAGTGAACATTAATATTTCCTGTCTTTTCATTGAAGAGACGAAGAACAATCTCATAGTCATTTGCTGCAATGAATGTTCCTTCAACTGGTACACGACCCATATCATCAGGTGTAATGCGTAATCGTTGTCCCACATTCCATTCATTCGTTGTTTTATTTTCTATATAAATTGGTTCAGCTTGCTTGGCTATTTCAAAAGCTTCTTCTGAACTTATCTCATTAATTACACCATGACCAAATGCCGCGATGCGATCAAACCATGAAATGAACTTTGCTTGAGTTAAGTACGGTAGAAGATCTTTCGTTTCTTGTTCGAAATTATTTTTCATTGCCCAAAGTATATGATAAGCAGTGATATCAAATGCAGATGGTGATGAACCTTCAAGAAGAAATTCACGATCATCGTCCAACATGTTAACAAGCCAAGCAAGATGTGCATTCATCTGTTGTGCAATTAACGGTATATCTTTTTCATTATCGTCTTTTTTTAAACTAATTTGAGGTGCAAATTTCTGTCGATCATCAAGCCATTCTCGCGGTAATTTATCACCACGAAGACCAATTAGTAATTTAAACAATAATGGAAACATAGTTTTATCCCACCACCAACATAAAGGCTGTGCCATTCGATTTGAAAGTAATGTTGGAGCATTCGGTCTAAGACGATCGAGTGTTCTTATAATAAGATGAGTATCACAATAGATATCAGCACCAACTTGAAGTACTGGTATACGTCGATAACCGCCTGTTAGAATTTCGAGATGAGATCTTGGAGGTACACGATCAACCGTTACAGAACGCCAATTTAATTTCTTCAAGCCCATTGCCATTCGTATTTTCTCGGCGAATGGTGATTGTGGATAATGGTAAAGAATCAATTCTTCGGACATTTTCGCAATGTTTTCACCTAAAGACGAGCAAACGAATGTAAAAGCTGACTTATTGTATGAATCGTAATATCTATAAAGATAAGAACAGAAAAAGACATCACATGGCATATGTTACTTGATACTGATACGATGTGAATATAACGGCTTATAGCATAGCCATACTTATTTTCATATCTATACCATTACAGTTGTTATACTTCGAGATAGAGGAAGTTCATTAGACTAAATCTATCATCTGATTACGCTGCATCTGATGATTCTAAGAACGTCATACGGAATTATTAGTAATTTTGTACATCAAACATTTTATATATTTCGAAAGTTAAATTTATTTGGTGAAAGTACATCAATATTTTTAGAGTAAACAATGTCTCCATAAAGTTCTGCTGTGCACTATCGGGTCCATATTCAAGTGGATACCTGCAGTCTACTAAATGAGCTTTACCAACTACATTCTGAATTGTTAAGATGAATTCAGGAGAACAACCTCATCGTTCGATATGGTGTTTACAATAGCCATATCTGATTTCTCGTCTTTGTTGAAATCATTGGCCATTATAGAATTCAGCCAGCTGCCTGCTATTCCATATGTTATCTGGTTCTCAAAAGTTTTATTTCTATTGTCAAATAATATATTCACATTATTAAATCGTTGATGAATTACGGCAATATCCAGAATTTTATCATTGTTGAAGTCATTTGAAACTGCAAAGCTTGGTCCAGTACCAGTGTTATAAACTGTTTGATTTTGAAATGTTCCATCTTGATTTCCAAACAAAACACTAATACTGTTGTCATCTAGATTGGTGACTACCAGAGCTATTATCTTATCTCCATTCAAATCTATTGATATTATACAGGATGGGTTGACTCCAGTTTTATACTTTGCTTGAATGTGGAATGTTCCCATTTAGAAAGTTAGTCACAACCAGATCGAGACTTTTGTCATTATTGAAATCGGTGATCTACCAACATTAAACGTTATTTGATCGTTTAAAGATCCATTTCCATAACCAAATAATACGCCTATATTGTTGTCTTTCTGATTAACCACTGCTAAATCAAGCTTCGCGTCATTGTTAAAATCATCTAGAGTTATCCAGGTAAGATTATTTCCTGTAGCGGAAAGTATTACACTACTAGTGAAAATCCCATCGATGTCACCAAACATTATACCAGTCGTATCGTTGGGTGTGTTAACTATTGCAAAATCTGATGTCATAAATGTTGATGATGTGTCGATTGTATACGTAACTCGGTCTTGCAAAGTTCCATCACCATCATCCAACAGTAACATTATATTGCTACCACCGGTGTCAGCCACGACAATATCTGATTGATTATCGTTAGTGAAATCACCAGAAGTCAATTCTCTTGGTGCTGAACCAACAGAATATTGCATCTGAACAGTAAATGTACCGTTTCTATTGTCAATTATCATAGTAATAGTTTGTTCGTCCAAGTTAACATCTGCTAAATCCATTATGTTATCATCGTTGAAGTCATCCATTATTAGAGAAGCTCGATCATTTCCAACTGTATAACTGATTCTTTCACTCTGAAAAGATCCATTACCACAGCCAAATAATATGTCAACACGATTATCATATGCATTAACTACTGCTAAATCTAAATTACTATCGTTGTTGAAGTCATACGTTACTATACCGTCGGGACCATTGAAATCACTCGATATTATTACTCAAGGCACAGAGCTAACACTATATACCACCGGATCTTCATAACTTCCATCTGTGTTACTAGAAAGTGCGTTAGTTAGTCGCAAACTTTTACTTACCAGCAACCATTTCAACATACGAAATAGGAGAACAAATACGTCTGGAAATCGAATAAAGTCGTCTTTCTTCAGTTGCAGTCCAATGACACAAAATACGATCGATTAGCAGAAAGATACTAAATGTTAATAACTTTTCATTCTTATCATAATTTCATATTGTGTTTAACAACAAAGACAAGAGAAATTTACTCTTGTTAATTCATTCAAGTCATAGTGTTGGCAAATCGTTTTTGTAATGCTATAGCGGAATGCAATTTGCAGTCATCGTTTTGACATGTATCACAATGTTTCCTATATAAATTAGCTTAACTATCTCTAAAACTTCGCCTAAAATGATCCCACATATTCACTCTTAGTAATGTAATACGGATTATTTTTGAGAAAAATAATATTTAAAACAATCCGAGAGAATAATATTTCTATAATGATTAATTATATCGATACCAGCTCAGTCATGTAAAGTTTCTCCAAAACAACCACAACAATTGAGTGGATAATCGTTTTCATAAATCCTAGTTTGTCCGTTCTGTGTCGGATATTGACAGAATTGAAAAGTATTTCCTGAAATAGCAGAGAATATAGTTTTAAAATGATTATATGACCGCATTAGGACTTCATGCCTGATGTGGGATTTCGTTTGTTAATATAATTTTGTCCCATTGTGTAGCTTACTTCATCAAAACCTAGACGTTCGATTATAAAATCTATGCGTCGCATAGCATTGTATTTATTTCTTGTCGGATTGAGATGTTTTTCATTATAATCTTTGATGATATTTTCTCTCAAAGGAATATCAGGTGTTTCTTCATATATTGCTTGTACAAAATGTTCTATTGAAGATTGTTTTGACCATGAAACTTGTTGTGCAGACCAGAAAATTGTTCGTTGTCCTTTACGTATTCTCTTGTGATGCAGAAACGAGTTTTGATAAAACCATGTTGAAGATCGAGAGAACCATTTAACAGTTAACATTGGTAAATGTCGAAAACCTCCGTATCCTTTGCAATCAGGACAAAGTATTTTACCAGCACCTTTACAATGTGAACAGTACTGTGTTTTATTACTATAAATAACACACATGATCGACTTATAAATCAATGAACATCATACTTAATTCGCCCATCACCATCACAATTCCTGCATGATACTATTTTTTTTGCTCGGCAATTTGTACATCTTTAGTATGAAGCACTTTGAGTCAACGCATATGTTTTACTAAATTTATCACCAGCTGGAAGATTAATTTGATAATCATTCCATATATCTCCTACTGTTTCACCGGAACGCTCAGTATTTTCAAAGAATCGTCCTATAAAAACATCATTATGCTCAAGTTTATTACTAGATAAATCTGGATATTCAAAGATAAGTTTACCTAATGTATGACTACCCAGAACTGTATCAGTATCCCAACGATAAGGAGTTTTTTCTGTGCGTAATTTTCTTGTTTCCATCAGTATTTTCATTTGACATTGGTAGGCTATTTTCGGTTGAACACTAATTAATTCTCCGTTTTCTATCGGTTTTGAATAGTAACAACATTTCGATTTGAGATAATTTTTAAAGTCAGCTTAAGGTCTAGGTAATTCCTTTGGTAGTGTTCGATCCATTTGTGGAGTGTCAGTGGTATCCGGTAGTTGATTAGCATTGAGAATCAGTTCAGGAGCAACTTTAGCCATTTTGTACTTTTAATTTCAGAACAAACTGTTTTATCTGAAATAAACGTTTGTAGTTTTCTCCAAGTTTCACTTTAAAAGAAGTCAAAGTTGACGAATTTTTACGAGGACAGATATACTTTGAATTATGTTTCCGTGCACTACCCACGAAAAAATTTTGAAATAGATGCCGTTGATCGCCGCGGTTTTTTCATAATGGCTGCGGTTATATCGTTGAAGGTCGCTGTGTCGAAAAGAAACCGCGGTTAACAGCGGTGTGGTGCAGCGCAACATAAATATATGGNACATATCTAACTTATTCGAAATACATTATTTTCAACATAATGTGCATCCGGCAAGGTTTGCAGATGCTGAATTTATTCATTGTTTTAGAGAGGCTCGTCGATTTTATGCTAATCCGTATTATATGCAGTAACTATTGCTAATTAAAGATTTTTCTTATCAATTTCATTATGTTATTTGAGTTTTCGAAAACACGCGGTTTCAATAACCGCGGTGAACTTGTATGACACCGCATCTTTCTTTATCATATGTACTTATTAGGACCAACACCGCGGTACGAAACAAGACGTGCGAGGTTTTGAAAGATTGAGGTTTTAACCGGTCTATAAAGGTGCGATTTTCTTCCGGAAAATGCGGTTTATCAAGACCGCGGTACACCACACCGCGGTAATCAACGGTTTTTTGACTATGTTGCGGTTTACTCACAGAGAACCGCAGTGAGAACAAAAAAGTTGCGGTTTTCACCGGTTTCATTCGAAAAATTTTTTCGTGGGTAGTTCACAGATTACAAAAAAAAAATAATTAATTAATCTCTTTTTTGTACGCGTACAAGAATTCCATTTTTAGCTTTCATTGTTACTCCTTTCATTTCAGGCACAATTTGTTGTCCAGGTATAAGTTCAAAATTACAACGTTGTACAAGCATAGCGAGCATTACTTTAGCTTCGAGTAGTGCAAAATTTTGTCCAATACAATTTCGTGGACCTGAAGCAAATGGAAGAAAAGCATATGGATGTGTCATTTTTGGTTTTAATCCAGTTACAGGATCACGTATCCATCTCGTATAATCAAATTTAAGTGGATTAGGCCAATAATCTTCACGTCGATGTAACACATAATTATGAATGACAATCATGGCATCGACAGGGACATGAAGTTGAAATTTATCACTGTTATTACCAATCGTATGTTCTTTTACACATTGACGAACGAAGAAAGGAGCTGGTGGATACAGACGAAGAGTTTCATAAAGAACAGCTTCGATGATTTGAAGTTCATTCATATGTTCGAAAGTAGGTGCTATTCCATCAGATAAGACGAAATCAACTTCTTTACGACATGCTTGTAATGCGTCATTATGAATGATTAACATATAAACAGCCCAAGTCATTAAATTCCCGGTTGTTTCATGACCAGCTAGTACAAAAGTGAGAGCCTCTTCTTTTATTTGTTGATCTGTAAATGGTTCGCCTTGATCGTCAGTAGCTGATAGTAGAAGATCGAGAATATCTTGACCTGCACATAAACTATTGGTTTTTCCTTTTCGTCGATCAGTAATTGCTTGGTCGACGAAATCACTGACTTGTTTTGCTCCTTTATCAGCAATGGTTTTACCCCAAAAAGGGAGCTCTGCTAGAAACTTAATTTGATTGATCATTCGAAGTGTTCGATACTCTACTATTTCTTTTACTTCTTGAAATGTTTGACACATAATTTCTTTTGCATATGATGACACTTCAAAATCTATACCGAAAGCACTTGATGCAATAATAGAAAGAGTCAAACTATTTAATTCAATTTCAAGATCAATTTGACCTTTCGATGATGACACTAACAGAAGAGAATGAATCGCTTTGGCCGTTTCATCGGACATAATTGATACCATTGATCGAAGATTAACAAAATGAAAAGCAGGATTAAGCATTTTACGTGCACGATCATGTTCCTTTCCTTCACTAACTAAAAGATTATGCGTACCAATGAATGGTTTGACAATATTGGTGAGATCAGGCGGTTTTCGATAGTTAATACCATTTTCACGACTTAAAACATCACTCAAGAGTTCTGGTTCAGCAAGTAAGATTCGTGTTAAAGGACCGAAACCAAATAGATAACAATAGCCATGTTTTTGTGCAAGTTCGATGAAATAATCTAATCCTTTACCAATTTTATTCGCTCGAATAATGTCTGGTAATTGACCAACAAATGGAATAAACGGTTCTCCCGGTATTCCTTGAGCTCGAAAAGCATCATATACTTGCTTTTGAGGACGAATTAATTTGAAATAAATAATTCCAATGAGAATAAAAACAAACCCGACAGCGTAAATCATAATGTCGTTTTGAAAAAGAAAATGCTCGTGTAGTTTATCACTACAAACAAAGGACGAACAAACAAAAAAATACTAATGAAAAGTACGTACTTTGACGAAAAATACTACTATCACTATGCATACATACTGTGATTTTTATCATTTGCAAACAATGTCAAATTTGCATAAAGTAGAACAACATAACCGTCGTCATTTCTATAGAATTGGTAAAATAAATCCAAAAGAACATTGTATGGCAAATGCGCAGTACCATATCGTGCCTGATTTTCATTCTAAAGCTGTCGAATTCACAGAAAGAGATTTTCCAGGAAGAGAAAACATTTTTTGTTAATCATTCAGTCGATGGTTAAGCCAGTTCGTCTCCACGAGCGTTACTAATTGAATAAAAAATAAAACAAAAATAAAGGACGTTATAGTTTGCAATTAGAATTGGATTTCCCTCTGGATTTTAAAAAAATAGAAAATAGAGATGTTATTCAAACAAACGCCTTGTACTTTTTGATTGTTCAGATACGTAAATAGCGATCTATAATTAGTAATTTATTTAATACTCGGCAGAAGATGTAGAAACGAATGAGAATGCATAAAAATGTTCAGATATTTCTGGTAGTTTTGATTCAATGAAAAGAAAGAACAAATAACGATAGATATATTAAATACCAGATAAATGTTGTTCGATGAAATTGGCATTGAGAAGTCTTATTTTTGATTGTGGTCTTGTCAAGTGACAAAAATGTTGTAGCTTGAATTGTATTGTCATTTTCATTGTCAGATGAAGAAGATTGAAACTTTCCAGTCGATTTACTGGTACGACTATGATTATCAGTAATAGAGTTTGTTCCATTATGATAATTTGATAATGACGTCTGAAATATTGTCTCATGTGTATAGTAACGATTTTTTATTGTATTACGTAGATAAGATATACTATGATTGATATTAATAAGGGATTGAATTTGCAAGAAAATATCTTCTTTGTTACATTCGTGATATTCACATACGAACGAAATCGTTCGTCTTTCTGTAAAAGTAATCTGATTTAATTTGTAATATATGAGTACAGAAGGAGGAAATTTTTGACTATTTTCACAGAACTGTTCAAATACATTGGTTATAGAATTTTGTTGTGCTATGCATCGATTCTTGGAGCATCTTTCAGTCAAATTGGGAGCAGTAAAACATTGTCCTAAAAATATTGTAAAATGAATATTCATGTGTAACTCCGAAAATTCGAGCATATACAATTCCATTTTGACTCACCCGATGGCTTATGATTAACAATAAAAGGCATTAATGCTTGATACAAATCAGTATATGTTTCAGAAATTAACCATGGGACATAATCAAATATAAAACGCTTTTGACAACCGTCATAATCTCGACACGCCAGTTCTAATTCATTTGTGAGAATGACTTTCTTGTCTTTTTCATATGCGAATGCAGTATGAAATGAACACTCATCATCACTTGAAGTATTTTGAATAGTTGTCGAAAAACAGTCCAATGTGAAAATCTGTTCTTCATAGTTCATAGTTATTAACACTGCGCACATACGATTAATGGAAACTTTAGTTAAATTGAGTGCATTCAACTTTTTCTCAAAACGTGTACGATCATAATCTGCAAACGAATATTCCAATTCTTGATCAGGAATACATGAAAGACTATAAGTTGTTTGGAAGGAAATTAATAATATTAAAATAGAATATGAACACTTCATAACGACAGAAAGAAATTCGATGAAATATATTCATTCATTTGATAAACTATAATATAAATGATTGATTTTCTCATATTTTTATTAAAGTAAGAGAAGAACAAATATGAACATATGTGCATTTATCTGTTATTTTGTTATTTATTAATTAATAACACTTGTCGTCGAGGCTGACTCCGTTGACATCCTTCTGGGAAATGATTTTTCGAGGATAGTTCTTATTCTTCTCCGAGTTCTGACAACAGATATGAGCATTATTGTTGTTATTCTAAGAATAGTCATCATGACTTTGCTGTCTTCAACTATGTCTACCTATTTTTCATCGAGTCATAAATGTTGTTAAATAATATGCGACTATCTGTAATCTTTGAATACAAATTTGTTTGATTTTTTTATTGCTGCTGTATCAAAAGAGATCATACGAAGCAGCTTGTAGTTTGTCAGCGTCCCTATGTTTTGACCACTTTTTTCAACATGATCTTCCTTACAGTTGAGGGAATGATTATGACAGAGAAATTTATCAGTGCAAAACTTTCTCTCAAATATATCAGAAATGTAACAACACTAAAGTATTACATCTCTAAATACGATTTATCAAATTTATTTGCGAAGTACAAGTATCTACATTCTTAACTATCCTCACTCTCATTCCTCAACATGGTTTGGAATGAGTAACACGAAACGCCATTTTTCTCATTCAAAGAATTTAAAATACGTACGTATCATATACGATCGTTATAATTGCTTTTATCGACGTCACATTGTGACTCAAGTCGCACATGATACACAGTCCATTCGTAACAATGCGTTCTAATCAACGCAATAAACCAAATGAATACGAAAAGAAAGGACTCGAACAATATGTTTACATACATATATAAATATACTATACTCAGAGACATATTTATTGTAACATTTCCATTCATTTAGAAAATGACGCATAATCGACATTATCGAATTCAAGAGAAATATATTGCTTATCATCCCATCTTTATAGTAACCGATGATGAAGATGAAACTGCGTATATTCTTCATTACCAACAACACAAATTCGGTCATCAGTTGGTGCTGATGGATTCGTCTGGCACAGTATTGATGAATATTCGTCATATAGTTGACCGCCATCAAACATACGATATTTACGTTGTTGACAAAAATGGTCATCACAATTTATTAGGAGTTTTTCGACGGATAGGTCGACCGTGGCATCATAAATTTTTAGTCGAGTCTGTATATGGTGAACATCAAATCGATCGAATGGGGAGATTATCTCATCATAAATATGAAATGATCCATGATCAACAATTAATTGCTAAAATCAATGCAAAAGATGATTTAATTTCGATCGAAATTGTCGCGGATGTTGACGCGATGAAAGATCCATTCATTCTGGCTCTCGTAATGGTTCAACAAACCTTATAACTTGTTTCTGTATATTTTATCAATAAAATCTTGTAAGACTAATCTGTGAGGGAATCGTATTGAACAGAAAATACTTCATGGTCAGTCTTTAATAAAAAAAGTATTGGTAGTCTGTCTAGAACTACGAACAGATATAGTATGTTTGTGAATTCTTCTGGGAAAATACTCAAATAGCGATTAATGAGTTGTCTATTAGACTGCAATCACATCGAAACCGGCACGAGGAAAGTGAACATTAATATTTCCTGTCTTTTCATTAGAGAGACGCAGAACAATCTCGTAGTCATTTGCTGCAATGAATGTTCCTTCAACTGGTACACGACCCATATCATCAGGTGTAATGCGTAGTCGTTGTCCCACATTCCATTCATTTGCTGTTTTATTTTCTATATAAATTGGTTCAGTTTGCTTGGCTATTTCGAAAGCTTCTTCTGAACTTATCTCATTACTTGCACCATGACCAAATGCCGCGATGCGATCAAACCATGAAATGAACTTTGCTTGAGTTAAGCACGGTAGAAGATTTTTCGTTTCTTGTTCGAAATTAGTTTTCATTGCCCAAAGTATATGATAAACAGTGATATCAAATGCAGATGGCGATGAACCTTCAAGAAGAAATTCACGATCATCATCCAACATGTTACCAAGCCAAGCAAGATGTGCATTCATCTGTTGTACAATTAACGGTATATCTTTTTCATTGTCCTCCTTTTTTAAACTAAGTTGAGGCGCAAATTTTTGTCGATCATCAAGCCATTCTCGCGGCAATTTATCACCACGAAGACCAATTAGTAATTTAAACAATAATGGAAACATAGTTTTATCCCACCACCAACATAAAGGTTGCGCCATTCGATTTGAAAGTAATGCTGGTGCATCCGGTCTAAGACGATCGAGTGTCCGTATAATGAGATGAGTATCACAATAGATATCAGCACCAACTTGAAGTACTGGTATACGTCGATAACCGCCTGTCAGAATTTCGAGATAAGATCTTGGAGGTACACGATCAACCGTTACCGGACGCCAATTTAATTTCTTCAAGCCCATTGCCATTCGTATTTTCTCGGCGAATGGTGATTGTGGATAATGGTAAAGAATCAATTCTTCGGACATTTTCGCAATGTTTTCACCTAAAGACAAGCAAATGAATGTAAAAGCTGACTTGTTTTGTATGAGTCGTAATATCTATAAAGATAAGAACAGAAAAAGACATCACATGGTATGTGTTACTCGACACTGATACAATGTGAATGCAACGGCTTATAACATAGCCATACTTATTTTCATATCTACACCATTACAGTCGTTATACTTCGAGATAGAGGAAGTCCATTAGACGAAATCTATCATCTGATTACGCAATATCTGATGATTCTAAGAACGTTATACGGAATTGTTAGTAATTTTGTACATGAAATATTTTACATATTTCCAAAGTTAAATTTATTTGGCGAAATCACATCAATATTTTTAAAGTAAACAATGTCTCCATAAAGTTCTGCTGTGCATTATCGGATCCATATTCAAGTGAACACCTGCAGTCTACTAAATGAGCTTTACCAACTACACTCTGAATTGTTAAGATGAATTCAGGAGAATGACCTCATTGTTCGATATAGTGTATACAATAGCCATATCTGATTTCCCGTCATTGTTAAAATCACCTAGAGTTATCCAGGTAGGATTATTTCCTGTAGCGGAAAGTATTACGCTATACCAGTGAAAATTTCATCGATATCATGAATGTTGATGGTGTGTCGATTGTATACGTAACTCGGTCTCGCAAAGTTCCATCACCGTTACCCAACAGTAATATTATATTGCTACCACCGGTGTCAGCCACGAAAATATCTAATTTATTATCGTTATTGAAACCGCTAAAAGTCAATTCTCTCGGTGCTGAACCAACGGAATATTGCATCTGAATAGTAAATGTACCGTTTCTATTGCCAATTATCATAGTAACAGTTTGTTCGTCCAAGTTAACAACTGCTAAATCCATTATGTTATCATTGTTGAAGTCATACGTTACTATACCGCGTCGGGAGACCATTGAAATCATTCAATATTATTACTCGCGGGATAGAGCTAACACTATATACCACCGGGTCTTGATAACTTCCATCTGTGTTACTAAGTAGTACGTAAAACAGTGATATCTTGTTGTTGGGGCTACTACTATGTCTAATATAGGATCATTGTTCCGCTAACATAGTTACATTGTGTATATGACTACATACGATCTGAATCTTTCATTAACGAACTGTGGATTGCGATTTATCTTACACTCAGTATTTGGCGTTAGCTTTTCTTCTTCTTTTGTGAACAGTTTGATTTTCCTTGCACATTTTACATACTGAAAAGTGCGATAGTTAGTCGTACACGTGTACCTACCAGCAACCATTTCAGCATTGAATCATTCGAACATACAAAATAGGAGAACAGATACTTTAATTTGATCCTCACACCTTCAGGATTCTTACAAATCACGTATCGTAAAGTAATAGCTGAAAATAAAGATGATTGTCTCTTTCAAACGTAAGTTGCAATCCAATGACACAAAATACGATCGATTAGCAGAAAGATACTAAATGTTAACAACTTTTCATTCTAATCATAGTTTCATACATGTTTAACAACAAAGACAAGAGAAATTTACTCTTGTTGATTCATTCAAGTCATAGTGTTGGCCAATCGTTTTCGTAATGCTATAGCGGAATGCAATTTGCAGTCATCATTTTGACATATATCACAATATTTCCTATATAAATTGGCTTAACTATTTCTAAAACTTCTCCTAAAATGATCCCACACATTCACTCTTAGCAATGTAATACGGATTATTTTCGAGAAAAATAATATTTAAAACAATCCGAGAGAATACCATTTCTAAAATGATTAATTATATCGATGCCAACTCAATCATGTAAAGTTTTCACAGAATATTGCAACATGATGAATAGCATGCCATTTTTTCTCCAAAACAACCACAACAATTGAGTGGATAATCATTTTCATAAATCTTAGTTTGTCCGTTCTGTGTCGGATATTGACAGAATTGAAAAGTATTTCCTGAAATAGCAGAGAATGTAGTTTTAAAATGATTATATGAGTGTATTAGGACTTCATGCCTGATGTGGGATTTCGTTTGTTAATATAATTTTGTCCCATTGTGTAGCTTATTTCTTCAAAACCTAGACGTTCGATTACAAAATCTATGCGTCGCATGGCATTGTATTTATTTCTTGTCGGATTGAGATGTTTTTCATTATAATCTTTGATGATATTTGTTCTCAAAGGAATATCGGGTGTTTCTTCAAATATTGTTTGTACAAAATGTTCTATTGAAGATTGTTTTGACCATGAAACTTGTTGTGCTGACCAGAAAATTGTTCGTTGTCCTTTACGTATTCTCTTGTGATGCAGAAACGAGTTTTGATAAAACCACGTCGAAGATCGAGAGAACCATTTAATAGTTAACATTGGTAAATGTCGAAAACCTCCGTATCCTTTGCAATCAGGACAAAGTATTTTACCAGCGCCTTTACAATTTGAACAGTACTGTGTTCTATTGCTATAAGTAACACACATGATTGACTTATAAATCAATGAAAATCATACTTAATTCGCCCATCACCATCACAATTCCTGCATTCCACTATTTTTTTTGCTCGACATTTTGTACACCTTACGTATGAAGCACTTTCAGTCAACGCATATGTTTTACTAAATTTATCACCAGCTGGAAGATCAACTGGATAATCATTCCATATATCTCCCATTGCTTCACCAGAACGTTCAGTATTTTCAAAGAATCGTCCTATGAGAAATCATTACACTCAAATTCATTATCCAATATAAAGCCGGATACCCAGAAATAAATTTACCTAATGTATGACTACCCAGAACTGTATCCGTATCCCAACGATAGGGCGTCTTTTCTGTGCGTAATTTTCTTGTTTCCATAAGTATTTTCATTTGACATTGGTACGCTATTTTTGGTTGAACACTAATTAATTCACCGTTTTCTATCGGTTTTGAATAGTAACAACATTTAGATTTGAGATAATTCTGAAAGTCAGCCAAAGGTTTAGGTAGTTCTTTCGGTAGTGTCTGATCCATTTGTGGAATATCGGTGGTATTTGATAGTTGATTAGCATCGAGAATTAGTTCAGGAGCAACTTTCGCCATTTTGTACTTTTAATTTCAAAAACAAATTGTTCTATCTGAAATAAATTCTGTGCTTCCTCCTCTAACGATCACTTAAAAAGAAACAGAATGTGCTTTGAATACACATTCGATCCCTTTCGTCTCAGCAATAAAAAAAAAGTTTTATTTGACCAAAGGACATGAAAAGTCCATTCGTCTACGCATTATGATATTTACTCTGTTTGTAGCGTCAGATGTTTTTCGTAAAAGCATTATTTCTGATTTTTAGCACGGAATTGAACATCAGCAGATATCGATACAGAAGAAGACGAATTTGAGTAGATTTCCATTGATATATTTTGTTCGAAATCTTCTTACTTGCAGTGTTCTCATCTATTTGAGAATATCTTTGACAGTCCATACCTATTTTGAAATACGAGAGTTGGAAAAAGTAAAAAGCAATAGTAGAAGTTTTACAATTCTTTCGAGAACTTCGATAAGAAATTCTAAACGGTCGACGAAGCTCTTATAGCAGTTTTATATGAAAATGCAAAGAGCACAAATTTACTTTTATGTTGTTGATTCAAATTTTTTCTGTGCGGTATCGAATTCAGATTTTGATTCACATCCACATTATCGAAATGATTCTTCGACAAAAGATTTGAGTAAGATCAATGTACGGAGATCATCATAAAAGAATTTGAAATACTTAAATTTGAACATCACATGTCACTGTCAGCTTTCGATAATAAGATAATTCTGTGCCATGATGACGAAATCATTTCGTTTAGTTGAAATATTCGACCGTCAAAAAAACTCGAAAGAATGAAATTCTCCTAGTCTATTCATTAATATTTTTGTGATAAAGAATTCCTCAAAAACTCTCTTATCATAATGCAAATAAAGGTTTTTTCTATTTGTTTATGAAATGTTATTCGGTAGTAGATAAAACCTCTAAACTGTGATCTTATTCTTTCATCGGCGCGAATAAGAAAGCCTCGATAAAATGTCGTTTTATTCCTGCTTTTATCGTTCATTATTTTATTTTCATTTAATCATCGCTATTTGTGAATTTGCATTAACTTCAACTCTTATTATTCTTGTTCTACGCAATTCTGAATTATTTTTCCAAATAAACCATCCTGATGATGAAGATTGGGAATTAATTAGTATATCATATCGAATTGCTATTTTGGTTTTGTTTCTAATAGGAACAATTCGAACGGTGATAATGTTTGCATTTGTTTTTATCATATTTGGGTCAATTACAACGTGTTGTTGTGTTCTGTGTATAATATGTTGTCGAAAAGAAATTCATAAATTATTTACGTCAAGTTCAACACATCGATGTTTCTCTTTTAATTGTAATTGTCCTTGTTATCGAGCACGTCCAAAGCTACGTTTTCAGCTCAAATTTGTATATTCAATCATTATGTTTGCTGTTCGTCTAGGAACAATTGTGATTTGTTTAACAATAAGACATCATGTAACAACGAAAAGTCTTGCAATTATTCTATCGATGTCGTTCTTTTTTCTTCTATTATCTTGTCTTTTGGATTATTATCATTATCGTATTTGGTGGCATTATAAACCAGAATTTACTGGTCTTGAATTCGATTTTATAATGCCAACGACACCACTTTCACGAAAACATAAGCGATATATTCCTTATCATTTATTAGGCGATTATCGAACCGAAAGTTTCGGTGATAAAACATGTTCTGCCGGTTCTCAGTGTGAAAATCGTCAATTAGAACATATATTTATATTTCATTTTCGAGGTCATAATCCTCAAAAACGGTATTTTGATATACTTCCATCAAAGAACAAGAAAAATATTTATATTGGTTTTCATCAAACAGATCCATCTTCAGCTATTCTTATTGCTCATTCAGATTTTATGATTAGTACAAAATATGAAAGTACAATGATTGGTCATGGAGTTTATTTTGCTCGATCAAGAGAAGGTACAGACAGAAAAGCTAATCGTCATGGAGCTTTTTTATGTGCTGAAATTTATATGGGAAATGTCCTTCGAATAAATCCAGATCAAAGACAGTTGTATCGAGGGAAAAATGATTGGTGGGAAGAATATGATACAACTTATTTTTGNAGTACAAAATATGAAAGTACAATGATTGGTCATGGAGTTTATTTTGCTCGATCAAGAGAAGGTACAGACAGAAAAGCTAATCGTCATGGAGCTTTTTTATGTGCTGAAATTTATATGGGAAATGTTCTTCGAATAAATCCAGATCAAAGAAATTTGTATCGAGGGAAAAATGATTGGTGGGAAGAATATGATACAGCTTATTTTTGTCATACAGATCCAAAATTAGATGAATTTTGTGTGAAAAGTCCAGATCAAGTATTAAGATGGATTGTAGTCATTGAAAAAGAATTTGATGAAAGAGTTAATAAATATGGATTAAATATAGAATTTAGTGATACAAAATGTGGATGCTTTTAATTCTTTTTCCTTTGTTGATGTCAAATACTGAAATCTTTAATAAAGAACATTATTTGAAACAAAGAATAAAAAGAAGATATTCAACTAGAGGGCAGTGCTATCTTTTCTTCTACTAGGTACTTAAACAGTCACCTCATTATTTTTCTATTCAACAATCCGCTGTTTTCCTTTTGAGATGAAAGCCTCATTTAGATTCTGAAAATTTAGATTATGTACAAATTTTTCGACAGGCTAGTCGATATTTGGAATATCATTTCACATGCATTAGAAATCAAGACTCTTTATTGTCAAGAGAAAGACACAAATCATTGTAAACTTTTACATCGTTGAACTGCTTCTTTGATAATTTCTTCTGGTTGTATCGACGGAAGACCAAGAACTTCATTGCTTAGCTTATCGTCGAATCGAGAAGCTCCTTTTCCATTATAAATAACAGACATAAGATATTGATGAATACCCTTTCTTTTATCACCATTAGCATAATTTTCTGCACCCTGTTTAAAAGAATCATCTGTAGACATATGTTTAATTGTCCATTTCGTATTTGTATATTTTTCAAAGAGTTGCAATATTTCGTTTTGCGTCATTGTAGCATCGGCAATGTAAATGCGTTTGTTTTGTGCTAGTTGAGGATGATGAAGAATAGCAACGACTGCCTTGACAACTGAAGATAGAGTAGTTGCTGAGAAGAAGTTTTCTCCATGATCATATAAAGTAACCGTACGATTTCGAATATCAAAACCTAAAAATCCATTCTCCAAACTCCAATCAAGAAAANCATCAAAGAACAAGAAAAATATTTATATTGGTTTTCATCAAACAGATCCATCTTCAGCTATTCTTATTGCTCATTCAGATTTTATGATTAGTACAAAATATGAAAGTACAATGATTGGTCATGGAGTTTATTTTGCTCGATCAAGAGAAGGTACAGACAGAAAAGCTAATCGTCATGGAGCTTTTTTATGTGCTGAAATTTATATGGGAAATGTCCTTCGAATAAATCCAGATCAAAGACAGTTGTATCGAGGGAAAAATGATTGGTGGGAAGAATATGATACAACTTATTTTTGTCATACAGATCCAAGATTAGATGAATTTTGTGTGAAAAGTCCGGATCAAGTATTAAGATGGACTGTAGTCATTGAAAAAGAATTTGATGAAAGAGTTGAAGAATATGGATTAGATACAGAATTTAGTGATACAAAATGTGGATGTTTCTAATTCGTTTTTCTTTATTGATTTCGTATTGAGATCTTTAATAAAGAACATTATTTGATGCGAATAATAAAAAGAAGATATTCAACTAGAGAGCAGTGCTATCTTTTCTTCTACACCCTGGAGTAACTGCATCGAATCGATAATTCCCAAAGAGGAAAATCAAACTAGGCTTTTAAACAGTCACCTCATTATTTTTCTATTCAACAATCCGCTGTTTTCCTTTCGAGATGAAAGTCTCATTTAGATTCTGAATATTTAGATTATGTACTAAGTCGGTATTTGGAATATCATTTCACATACATTAGAAATCAAAGCTGTTTATTGTCAAGAGAAAAAGACACAAAGTCATTATAAAGTTTTACATCGTTGAACTACTTCTTTGATGATTTCTTCCGGTTGTATTGACGGAAGACCAAGAGCTTTATTGCTTAGCTTATCGTCGAATCGAGAAGCTCCTTTTCCATTATAAATAACAGACATAAGATATTGATGAATACCCTTTCTCCTATCACCATTAGCATAGTTTTCTGCACCCTGTTTAAATGAATCATCTGTAGACATGTGTTTTATTGTCCATTTCGTATTTGTATATTTTTCAAAGAGTTGCAATATTTCATTTTGCGTCATTGTAGCATCAGCAATGTAAATGCGCTTGTTCTGTGCGAGTTGAGGATGATGAAGAATAGCAACGACTGCCTTGACAACTGAAGATAGAGTAGTTGCTGAGAAGAAGTTTTCTCCATGATCATATAAAGTAACCGTACGATTTGGAATATCAAAACCTAAAAATCCATTATCCAAACCCCAATCAAGAAAAGTTCCAGTTGTAATAAAAGTATATGCCATCTTAGATTCATTTTTCTTCAGTAATTCCATTGTTTCAATTTTCGGTGTTGTAAAAGGAAGAGATGAATAAAACGGATGACTAATATCACTAACAAATTGAGATGGAATAAACCATTTGACATCTGCTTGAAGTGCACATTCAACAAGAATCATATCGATATTTTCAGANTTCTCCAAACCCCAATCAAGAAAAGTTCCAGTTGTAATAAAAGTATATGCCATCTTAGATTCATTTTCCTTCAGTAATTCCATTGTTTTAATTTTCGATGTTGTAAAAGGAAGAGATGAATAAAACGGATGACTAATATCACTAACAAATTGAGATGGAATAAACCATTTGACATCTGCTTGAAGTGCACATTCAACAAGAATCATATCGATATTTTCAGAGAGACCTTCACCTCCTACTGCTGATATAACCACGTCTTGGCCTGTAAGTGACTCGAGAATTGAGTTCTTGTTTGAATAATCAACCTTAAGAACTTTGACATCCGAAGGAAATACCGAATTGGAGTTGACCCGTGAAAGTACCGTGACATTAAATGAAGAATCTTCAAGAAGACCGGAAAGAATGTGCTTTCCTAAATCTCCGGCACCTCCAACGAGCAAAACGTTTCTATATGTATCACGTGTCATTCTTCTTAACTGTTGCACAAAGTGACTGATAAGCTTTTATACTTCACCTTATTTCGAGAGATCTATGTTGACTAAAGGTAAGAAAACGAAGTGAGTCGTAGTAAAAATGAGGACAATATTTATGACTTCACTCATTATCAACATTCACGCATTCGCCCATCTTTGTAGTATATGCATGATAATTTTAAAACTAATTATTCGAAAACATTTACCATGCACATCAAAGTCTTGATAATCCGACATAATTCATTTCTTGAATCTCATTCATTTTGATCAACAAGCAATCACTATTTTTAAATCATTCAAATATACGAAAATAATCTTGTATGTATAAAAAAAAAGAAAATTTGAATAAAAAGTTCTCAACACAAATAGATGTGTTTTTTTTTTAATGTACAAGCGTCATTGCCAACCATTCATATTCCACATCCATTGCGTGCGTCAATTCTCTCGTTCTGTCTGCTTTAATGACTGCTGGCTGTCACATGAAAAAGTACTAACCGTTTCGTTACCAGTTCATAACTATGTAATTCGACGGCGGATAAAAACCCAGTGATGTCATTATGTTTTTTTTTCACCTGGAACCGATGGGAAAATACCCAAAAGACCTCATATAAAAATGTATAACAGATTGGATTCACATGCTCATCTCTCTTATTTTCACATCAAATCTCGTACAAAACACAAGCTTACAAACAACAACCATAATGGCAGAATTATTAGTCAAACACAATTTTGTTTCGAAAAAACTGAAGTATAAACCATGTGCTGTTATTATGGGAAGAACAGGAGCTGGTAAAACAACATTAGTGAATGCATTATGTGGCACTGATCATAAATCAGGTGCTGGAGCAGGAAGTGTTACACGAGAACTTTATCGAAATGATGTTGTTCACGGTCAACATANTTGTAAAAGGAAGAGATGAATAAAACGGATGACTAATATCACTAACAAATTGAGATGGAATAAACCATTTGACATCTGCTTGAAGTGCACATTCAACAAGAATCATATCGATATTTTCAGAAAGACCTTCACCTCCTACTGCTGATATAACCACGTCTTGGCCTGTAAGTGACTCGATAATTGAATTCTTGTTTGAATAATCAACCTTAAGAACTTTGACATTCGAAGGAAATAGCGAATTGGAGTTGAGACGTGAAAGTACCGTAACATTAAATGAAGAATCTTCAAGAAGACCAAAAAGAATGTGCTTTCCTAAATCTCCGGCACCTCCAACGAGCAGAACATTTCTATATGTATCACGTGTCATTCTTCTTAACTGTTGCACAAAGTGACTGATAAGCTTTTATATTTCACCTTGTTTCAAGAGATCTATGCTGACTAAAGGTAAGAAAACGAATGTGAGTCGCGGTAAAGGTGAGGGCAATATTTATGACTTCACTCATTACCAACATCCACGCATTCGCCCGTTCTTCTAGTATAATATGCATAATAATTTTAAGAGTAATTATTCGAAAGCATTTACCACGCACATCAAAATCTCAATAATCCGACATAATTCACTTCCTGAATCTCATCCATTTTGATCAACAAGCAATCACTATTTTTAAATCATTCAAATTTACGAAAATAATTTTGTATTTATAAAAAAAAAAGAAAATTTGAACAAAAAGTTCTCAACACAAATAGATGTGTTTTTTTAATGTGCGAGTGTCCTTGCCAATCATTCATATTCCACATCCATTGCGTGCGTCAATTCTCTCGTTCTGCCTGCCGGCTGTCACATGAAAAAGTACTAACCGTTTCGTTACCAGTTCATAACTATGTAATTCGACGGCGGGTAAAAACCCTGTGATGTCATTATGTTTTTTTTCCACCTGGAATCAATGGGAAAATACCCAAAAGATCTCATATAAAAATGTATAACAGATCGAATTCATATGCTCATCTCTCTTATTTCCGCATCGAATCTCGTACAGAACAAAAGCTTACAAACAACAACCATAATGGCAGAATTATTAGTCAAACACAATTTTGTTTCGAAAAAACTGAAGTATAAACCATGTGCTGTTATTATGGGAAGAACAGGAGCTGGTAAAACAACATTAGTGAATGCATTATGTGGCACTGATCATAAATCAGGTGCTGGGGCAGGAAGTGTTACACGAGAACTTTATCGAAATGATGTTGTTCATGGTCAACATACATTTTCAATCATTGATACACCTGGAACAAATAGTTCATCTGAAACATATAAACATGCTTTTCTATTGAGACAAGCTTTGACATCGGTGAAGATTAACACAATATTTATTGTAACGAAATATGATTGCCGATTTGATACAATGTTAGAGAATTGTTATGAAGTGGAAAGACCTGTATTCGATTACGAACAAAAGATTGTTGTGATCGTTTCTCATTGGGATCAATCCAAAGAGCCCGAAAAAGATTATCCACAGATTTGTGCTCTATTTGAAGATTATTGTTCATCGATCATTTTCTATTCTGACAAAATGCCAATTGATCAGCTGGTAGAGTCCATGTATACTTTTCTATCAAATATGGTTGCAGAGCAAATTACCATCACGGACGAAGAATTCTTTTTGAAGTTTAACGTCGCTGAAATCAAACTTCAGATCAAAGATTCAGTCAATCAATATCGGAAAAAGGCTGATGCAGTTTTCACCGAATATTCGAATTTAGTTGTTTCAGCTAAATCCCAACCAAAAGAAGAACAAGATGAAATTTTACATGTAGTTATCGTGGAATTTAAAAATGAAATGGAAAGTTTATTGCAAACATTCCGAAATACTCGTGGTGGACGAATGCAAGAATTAGATTATTATACACTTTATATCAAATTAGAAGGAGAAAATCTGAAACGTTGTGATGAATTTGTTGAAAAAGTCGTACCATTAATGTCTTACAATCTATTCGATAACAAAGATCCGAGAAATTTGATAAAAAGATGTCCACACTGCGAACTAATTTGGTTTAAAACTGAAGGATGTGACGGGGTGACAAGTTGTGGTAATAAAGACTTCACACATTCCTTCAATTCATCTGGCAAACTTCATTGGAAATATATATTGCAAAGAATTGGTGGAAAGCTCCGATTGGTGAAACAACCAGATATCTGGAGGGCTTCTGTGCCTAAAAAGTTTGACGATTCGGTCTTATGCACGCCTTATACAAAATCGAAAGGTGTAGGTTGTGGCAAGATGTTCACATGGAGTGAACTTCCAAAAGTAGAAGATGAATTGATTCTTGAATTATTTAGAGTTAAAACTGTAGAACAAGCCAAACAATTAATCGAAGCTGGTCATTTCAAAGAAGTTCGACAGAATTATGAAAAATCGATTGACACAACTTTTCATTCTTGAATTCGATTTTAATAAACTGAATACTTACGATGAGGATGAGAGGTGATTTACCCTCATTCTCATCCTCAAAATTTAGTCCCAATAACCTTGATAGGCTGTTTGGATATGTTTTTGTTTTAAGTTTGGAAAGCATTCGGAAGCGAGACTGTCGATTTCATCGTAACCTATGTTAACATCACATAGTATCATAAGCTTTTGGCAGTGAGGTAATCTTAACCCTGCACACAACCATTGGATAAGTCATCCATCGTAGATACAGACTACGAATGTTTGTCATTTGTCGATTTGTGATTCCAAGTTGAGAAAAATCAATGAAAGTTCTCACGAGATAATGTTTGTTGTTTGTTATTGAGAATTGTTTTAGTGTGCGGATTCCGTGCAGAAAGATCGCTTCTATCAAAGGCTTTGTTGATTCTGGATAGCAGCCAATTTGAACGACCATCTCCAGAGTTTCGATATGGTTCGATGACGACAAGACCGAAGCAACATATCTGAGAATTCGTGCAGACATTCTAAAACGCAAGTGTAAGACTCGAAGTTTTGTAAACAAAGCCAATGAATATTTGGTAAAGGTAGCACGACTATTGTGGCATATGCACTGTCTGATCTATTCCATAGACGGAGACGAATATTGCCTGATTGAGTTACAATCGCAGTCAAGCGACTATTAAGTGTTTCATAAAAGATTTCGAACAACGTATCGGTGGGTAAACACTCGAGGATGTGGATTAACATTTCGTTGGGTAACGATTCGAATACACTTTGTAAATGGAATTGTGGACATTCATGACCGTATTTGAAAGAACGTCAATACTGAACAAAAAAGTCAGAAAAACTGTTGACGCAATATATGAAACAGCCCAGAATTCATTTGTGACCAACTAAGTTTATTTAATTATAGAAAATGAAATTTCAAGACAATGAATCAATTTCATAGTTCAGAATATGTGCATGAAGCAGTGAATCGATTCTTTATATTTAAACCAACGGATTACCTGATCTATACTTTCTCCGTTAGTCCTTTCGTTCTGTTTACTTTCGACAAGCACTTTTAATCTCGAATAACGCTAATTCTTAATCTACTAATACTTATTGAGGCTTTATATTAAGAATGTTCTCGGACAAAATGTCTTTTTGTTTTTTGTCCTCACATATATTCATGCGGAATGACTTGAAAGTCCTATCTTTAATGAATATTTGGCTTTCAGTAAATCAAATTAATAATTAAAAGTAATTGTTCACACCATATTTTCCGATAAAAAAAATCGAAAACTCAGTAAATTATCAAAGTTTTCTATATGCAAGTCAATTTAAGCTCGGCCTTTCTCTTCTTGTTCATAGATAATTCTTCAAGACAATTCCACTTCTATACAAATCATAATCGTATGTTTTTCTTTTCAAAAAAGCGAAGCTTTGTTCAATCCACTTTCATTAATTGGTCATCAAAGTTTTTACTCTTTACTAGGAAGATTGTAGAGCTTTCTACAACATAGTCTATCGCTAGTACAATTTTTTTTTTATAAAACATCAACTATCGAATTTAATGTGAAATCCAATGATAAGGGAATCCCATTGGGGTCGGAAAAATTAATAACTTTTAACTCAAAAATATTCGCATGATTATCTTTTACCGTTGTTTCTGTAATTATTAGAAATGCCTTAAGACAGATGAAAACGTCATGTCTTACCTGGAATCCTTTTTAATAAGATAAACGACCGGGAACATCAATTAATTCTTTCATTTTCATTTGACAAAATATTTTCATTTACAATTATTTTCCAATTTGAAGACAAAATGTGGAATACTCGTCTAAATAATTTAACTAAAGAAAAGTCTGTATATGATCGATTAGACTTCATTTATAAACAAGTATATCTCTATTGTTCAATTTTCATCATCATATTTGGTGTTGTTGGTAATGTTTTCAATATAATTCTGTTTTCTCGTCGTGCACTTTATCCAAATAGTTGTTCCTTCTATTTTTTAACTCTTTCGATTAATAATTTAATAATCATGTTCTTCTCTTGTATTCCTGATATATTTATTATCACGTACGGCATTGATATGAAAAATAATTCGACCATTTTATGCAAAATAGGATGGTATTATTCGTTCACTGTTCAGAATTTCTCTTTATTTTGTCTTTCTTTGGCTTCATTTGATCGATATTGTGGTTCGTCATCTAATGCTCATATGAGACGATTCTGTACAATGAAAACAGCACAACGGATCGTCTTAGTCTTAGCAATGTTTGTTCTTTTCAGTTATTGTCATGTTCCAATCTTCTATCAATTAGATCCAACATTGAATCAATGTACAATTATCAATGCTACTTATCGTCAATTTCTTAGTATTTTATCAGGTATATACATTAGTCATTTACCTGTTTTTCTCATGTTAGTTTTTGGTATTTCGACAATCTTTAATGTGAAGAAAAGTCGACTTCGTCTTATCCTAGTACAGCCCGAAGTCCTAATAGCATCAGCAACTGCCCCAACTCACACGTTGGATAATGTTATTCGTATACCTGATCGTGTTGCACACGCAGCTATGTCACCACAGAATGTTGTGTCACAAAGAACACATAATGACCAACAACTATTGCAAATGTTAATTTGTCATGTTTTAACATACATTGGCTTAACTATTTTCCCTACTGTAATATATTATATAATGACATTCAGTCCAATCACTGAGATCATTCTGTTCTTCTTTTATATTTCACGTTTACCCTATTATGTGGTTTTTGCAATCTCGTTTTATGTTTATGTTCTCAGCTTGAGAGTGTATAGAAAAGAGTTCTCCAAACTGTTTATTGAACTGCGTCAATCTTTACATTTTAATTAGATGGAATCCATTTATCTACACATACAAATCTAAGCGACCGAAAGAAAAGAAATACTGTCAGTATTTTTATTTTCGTTTTTTGTCGTGTGTCTGTAAAACAAAAAAACACACAAAAGTTCTTTTTCAAATGAAAATACTCACAGCCAAGAGTGAGAATAAACAAAAGATACTACACCCACACCCTCACCCTAATCTTATCTGATCTCTTCTATTCTGTGAAACTTTTCATTTATAGTTCATAATTTACTCTTTTCTTTCAATACTGGTGTTGCCATAATGCTATTGACGATATCTTCAGTCAACAACATACCACTATTCCATGTCCGCTACAAAGTTAAGAACTGTTAAATGACAAGAATTTGTTTGGTAACATACTACAAAAGTAAAATTATCATCTACATTGTGATCACGTGCATAATTCAAATTGACTTTTGAACCTTGTACAGCTATCGAACTTTTTTGAGCAATAAGATGTGCTAAAGACATTGCTGCATCGAGCAAAGCTTCACGGGTATCAAATACACGACTATAAATATAAAAATGAGATGATGAAGTTAGAAAAGATCATTTTCATCAAGATTCTTTACCTAATCAATCCAATCTGTTGCGCTTCGTTTGTATCGAATTTTCGTGATGTATAAACAAGTTCACGAAAGATATTATGATTCGTAACGAATTTCGGCAAAATTTGAAGAGTACCAACATCAGCTGCTAAACCCATATCAACTTCCTATGAAGATATAAACATAGAAAATACGCGATGATTTATCTATATAGAAATACTTTGATAGAAAATGTTGTATCACTTGAACTATAACGAATATCACAACAAGCGATGAGATCAATACCAGCACCGAGACAAAAACCATGAATTGCAGCTATGATCGGTTTTTCGCACTTGGAAATCAAGACTTGATTTCAAAAAACGAAAATTATCGCCGCATTTCATATTTACTCTGTCTACTGCTCGTAAACATTCTTGTATTCGTTGTATCATATTACGATTGTGCAAAACCTTTCGTGCTACATCATCAATTTCAACAGATGCAGCAGCAGCATTGGACAAATACATTATGTCGATGCCTGGAAGAAAACGTTGTAAAATCTTCGTCATTCACAAAAGAAAACTTTACCGGTACTAAACGTTCGACCATTACCAGTTAATACAATAGCTCGACATTCATCGTGTTTGTTCAATTGTTCAAAACATGTCTTCAAGTCACTTGAACGCAAGACATCATTTTGATGAATATATGTCAACAAAAGAAATGTATTACTTGAATAATTGTTCATTCATAGCATTCAATTTCTTTGGTCGATTGAGTTCAACAAGAAATACATGAGGCTTTGGTTGACTTACTTTCAATGTTTCATAAACGAGTGATGATGACATGATTTGAATTGGATCCAACTTTGTATGTAACAGTCTTTGCTTATCAAAAAAAAACGTAAAAAAGAATACCTAATCGTCTAATATATGATGAGTCATTTGTGCATGAGGCTACTACGAGAACGACGCTGTCTGATTGGTGGTAATTTTGACTGATGAAATTTTTTAGAAAAAGAAGACACTACTTGCTTCTTTTTACTGTTGTTTTGTTTGATCTCGATCGTACGGAAGTTTACATAACAAACCGATCGAGAGAAAGAGCTGAAGCACTTCTTGATTGTGATCACTGTTTCGATGAAAATTGTTCGCTAACATGAATATAGGATAGATACATTGAAAGAGGTACTAATGCTCAAAACTGACTTGCAAAATATCATGGAATACGAAAACAGAATATTGGTTTGCTTCTTCGATATAGCTGCACTATGTTTTCTGGTAAGTTTCACCGCAACGGTTGTTTGCTCTCAACGTGATTCACACACATTCGCAGCATATCTTTTAGAAGACCAGAATAGTCTCTCAGAAAATGTCTCGAAACGCTCGACTTTCGAACCACAATTATTAATCTGTGTTTAAATTAACAATGAAGTTGAATGGGCGTCATGCGATAGGATACCAGCGATTCCATATAGTCTTCTCATTGATTGGAGATAACACGAAAAATTAATATCACAGTCACATTCGCAAGAATTAGCTATTTGACAAAAATAACGCGCTGTCTGTATACACGTGTAAAAAGAGATATCATTCATCTGTTGTTTGTTTTATGTCGAATTTTTGTATTCGCTGATTATCACAATCGGTGACATATATATTGCCCAGTCGATCGTATGATAAACTTCGGGAATGTTTTAGTTCGTTCGATAGCTGTCCCGACCCGTTACCACAAGCAATGATACTCCCCTCTGCACTGTATTTTGGCCAACGCATAATTTAATGATTAACACAGTCAATAAACATTTAGCACGCGTCAGACAATTGATCCGAGCGATTTCTCCTCCAGTATCACCAACTCGATATCGTCTCACTTTATTATTATTAGGTTGGCTAGAAAGCTTTTGCGTTTTTCCTTAAATTTTCCTAGTATTTCCAAGAAGGTTCTAGAAGTTTCCATATTGTGAGCATATAAAGGGAGTATGGATTTCTTTCGAACAATAACAAAATCATGGATATGGATGTTGATAAAGACTTAGAATTCAAGATATCTCATAGACAGCTGCGAATGCTTTTGCTTCATGAATTTCGTTTGGGTCACAAAGCAACGGACGCAACTAGCAACATATGCAGCACGATGGGCAAAAATGTACTCTCCATTCGTACAGCACAACATTGGTTCACTCGGTTCAAGAACGGTAATTTAGAACTCGAGGATTTACCTCGCTCCGGAAGACCAATAGAGGTGGATATGGATACTTTGAAGAAGATCATAGACTGACTACACAGTGTTTAGCAGAGCCACTTGGTTGCGTTCATGTTACAATGGAAAAACACCTGAAAGAATTGGACAAAACGTGGAAATATGCTGTTTGGATTCCACATGAGTTGTCATCACGTCGGCTCGAGCTTAGGGTTAACGCTTGTATGGAGTTGATGACATCTCATCACAAACACCAATGGCTCCATAAACTTCTTACTGGTGATGAGAAGTGGGTATTGTATATGAACCATACGCGCAAGTAGCAGTGGCTGGGAGCTGGACAGGCAGGTGTAGCAACGACCAAGAATGAACTTCATCCAAAGAAGATTATGCTGAGCGTTTGGTGGGACGTCAAGGGAATTATTCATTGGGAAATTCTTCCTGTTGGTTGCACCGTCACTGCTAATCACTACTGTCAGCAATTAGACCGAGTTGCAGTAAAACTTCACGGGAAGCAGGATAGAATTTATTTTCTGTATGATAACGCCAGACCTCATGTTGCAAAGTTGACATGTGAAAAATTATTGAAGTTCGGATGAATTACACTTCTACATCCACCCTCTTTCTAACTATTTGGGCGAGAAAAAGTTCGACGATGAGAACGACCTCAGAACAGAGCTGGCCAACTTCTTCGCTCAAAAGTCTCAAGACTTCTATGAACGTAGAATCCTTTCCTTACCAACGTGTTAGCATCAAGTCATAGACAGTGATGGAGGTTACATTGTTGAAAGCTACTTGTATTTTTTTTTAAGTTAAGAAATAAAAGGAAAATTTTTAAAAAAATGCAAAAAACGTTCTGGGCAACCTAATAGTTCTGTTTTGAAATATATAGATTATCGCGAGCACAGCAATCGAATCATACACGAAAGACTCACTGGCTTACCATTCTATCGCGAAGCAATCTTTGACGGCAGTGAAATAGAGTATGTAAAACCACATATGCCTCCATGACAAGTTGTCACGTTCGTCCAAATAGGGGTGTCACTTTGGCATTCCATTTGATATTCATTAAGTTAAAAATATGTAAAAATATTCTTGCTGCCACCAAAATCTGTACTTAAAATGAAATCTGGCCTTACGACAGCAATATACGACAGATGGGGCTATCATTGTGATTTCTCGTTATCTGCTTCTACTTTAGAATTTGTAATGTAGATTTTTTCAACAAAAACTTGTATAATTAAACATTCTCTCTATTAGTTCGTTGTTTTGTAATCGAAATCCAAGTTTTATTTTCAATTTCACCGTAACTATTGTGTTTTGTTCTACGCTTCTTATTCGTACTCGCATATACTTTATTCATATTTTTACTTCTTTGGAGATTTAGTTAGAACTAATACCGAAAATTATTTGTTTTCTTTCTTCTAGTCGTTTATTATATCATATTATATCCTCAATTTGTCTTTATTTCATTGAAAAACAAATAAATAAACGTCATATTGGAAAACTTTTTCTCTTATACGAAATGAAAAAGACAATAACAAATTAATTATTATATATGCATCTTTTCAGTCGAGGGTAATGCGAGTCATTCTCGACGAGCGCTATTTATTTATTTTCTACTTAGGATATTTTATAAGAAATCGAATCTTTGTTTCACACTTAATTTATCGATTGATATTTGTAATAAAGTTCANAGAACTTTATCGAAATGATGTTGTTCACGGTCAACATACATTTTCAATCATTGATACACCTGGAACAAATAGTTCATCCGAAACATATAAACATGCTTATCTATTGAGACAAGCTTTGACATCGGTCAAGATTAACACACTTTTTATTGTGACAAAATATGATTGTCGATTTGATACAATGTTAGAGAATTGTTATGAAGTGGAAAGACCTGTATTCCATTACGAACAAAAGATTGTTGTGATCGTTTCTCATTGGGATCAATCCAAAGAGCCCGAAAAAGATTATCCACAGATTTGTGCCCTATTTGAAGATTATTGTTCATCGATCATTTTCTATTCTGACAAAATGCCAATTGATCAATTGGTAGAGTCCATGTATACTTTTCTATCAAATATGACTCCAGAGCAAATTACCATCACGGACGAAGAATTCTTTTTGAAGTTTAATGTCGCTGAAATCAAACTTCAGATCAAAGATTCAGTCAATCAGTATCGGAAAAAGGCTGATGCAGTTTTCACCGAATATTCGAATTTAGTTGTTTCAGCTAAATCCCAACCAAAAGACGAACAAGATGAAATTTTACACGTAGTTATCGTGGAATTTAAAAATGAAATGGAAAATTTATTGCAAACATTTCGGAATACCCATGGTGCATGAATGCAAGAATTAGATTATTATACACTTTATATCAAATTAGAAGGAGAAAATCTGAAACGTTGTGATGAATTTGTTGAAAAAGTCGTACCATTGATGTCTTACAATCTATTCGATAACAAAGATCCGAGAAATTTGATAAAAAGATGTCCACACTGTGAACTTATTTGGTTTAAAACTGAAGGATGTGACGGGGTGACAAGCTGTGGTAATAAAGACTTCACACATTCTTTCAATTCATCTGGCAAGCGTCATTGGAAATATATACTGCAAAGAATTGGTGGAGAACTCCGATTGGTGAAACAACCAGATATCTGGAGGATCTCTGTAGGACCTAAAAAGTTTGACGATTCGCCTTATACAAAATCGAAAGGTGTAGGTTGCGGTAAGTCGTTCACATGGAGTGAACTTCCAAAAGTAGAAGATGAATTGATTCTTGAATTATTCAAAGTTAAAACTGTAGAACAAGCCAAACAATTAATCGAAGCTGGTCATTTCAAAGAAGTTCGACAAAATTATGAAAAATCGATTGACACAACTTTTCATTCTTGAATTTGATTTAAATAAATTGAATACTAACGATGAGGGCGAGAGGTGATTTACCCTCATTCTCATCCTCAAAATTCAGTCCCAATAGCATTGATAGGCCGTTTGGATATGTTTTTGTTTTAAGTTTGAAAAGCATTCGGAAGCGAGACTGTCGATTTCATCGTAGCCTATGTTAACATCACATAGTATCATAAGCTTTTGGCAGTGAGGTAAGTTTAACCCTGCACACAAATTACGAAATAAACCATGTCCTAGTAAACCAGCTGAAATCGATCTGACAAGTGGAACCGAAGGAAGCATTAGAAGAAAGTCGAGATAAGGCATCCATCGTAGGTACAGACTGCGAATATTTGTCAATTATCGATTTGTGACGGCACATTTAGGAAACTCAATGAAAGTTCTGATGAGATAATGTTCGTTGTTTGTTAATGAGAAGTGCTTCAGTGTGCGGATTCCGTGTAGAAAGATCGCTTCTCTCAAAGGCTTTGTTGATTCTGGATAACAGTCAATTTGAACGACAATTTCTAGAGTTTCGATATGGTTCGATGACGACAAGACCGAAGTGAAATATCTGAGAATTCGTACAGATATTCTAAAACGCAAGCGTAAGAGGCGAAGCTTCGTAAACAAAGTCAGTGGGTGAGGGTGAAGATAGCACGACCGTTGTGGCATATGCACTGTCTGATGTATCCCATAAACAGAGACGAATATCGTCTATCTCAGTTACAATCGCAATGAAACGACTATGAAGTTATTCATAAAAGATTTCGAACAACGCATCGGTGGGTAAACACTCGAAGATGTGTATTAACACTACGTTGGGTAACGATTCGAATACATTTGTAAATGTAATTGTGGATATTAATGATCTGTTAAAAATGATCAGGTTTCAGTCGATTCTATACTTGTATGCGATATAATATACGTTTTGAGAAGATTGTGCAAGACTATAGTCACTTATTTTTCCGTCTTCTTCCTCTACCTGTGAAAAGACGCAAAAAATGACAAAATTCTTCTCTTATTCTCTATATCTCGACTTATTGCGCACTTTTCTCCTGTTGAATGTAAACATTCATGACTGTATTTGAAAGAACGTCAGTACTAAACAAAAAAGTCAGAGAAACTGTTGACGCAATATATGAAATAGCCAAAAATTCATTTGTGACCAGCTAAATATCACTGTGATCGTCAGTATTAATACAAAGTAACAATTTACTGCTGAGTGATGTAAAAAATTTTCTTTTGTCTGATTTGCTCTACACGTTGTGACTGAAAAAGAACCGTAAATCACGATAAAGCCGATCCTGATGAATTTCTAGATGTGAATTATAAAAAATGATTGTTTAACATCATAAAATATTCAAGTTTATTTAATTATAGAAATGAAATTTCAGAATATGTGCATAAAACAATGAATCGATTCTTTATATTTAAATCAACGGATTACCTGATCTATACTTTCTCCATTAGTCCTTTCGTTCTGTTTACCTTCAACAAGCACTTCTAATCTCGAATAACGCTAATTCTTAATCTACTAATACTTATCGAGGTTTTATATTAAGAATGTTCTCGGACAAAATGTCTTTTTGTTTTTCGTCCTCACATATATACTATCATGCAGGAGAACGAAAAGCAAAAGGAAATTCTTGGAATGAACCTAAAACTCAATTTTCCAATAAAGAGAAAAATCTCCACGGGAAGATACTCTACGTAGTCTTACTTGTAATTTGAACGTCATATCTTTAATGAATATTTGGCTTTGAGCAAATCACATTACTAATTAAAAGTAACTGTTACACCATCTTTTCCGATAAAATAATCGAAAATTCAGTGAATTATGAAAATTTTCTATATGTAAATCAATTTAAGCTCGGACTTTCTCCTCTCTTTCACCGTTAATTCTTCAAGACAATTTCACTTCTATACAAATCACAATCGTATGTTTTTCTTTTCAAAAAAAGCGAAGCTTTGTACAATCCACTTCCATTAATTAATCATCAAATTTTTTACTCTTACTAGGAAGATTGTAGAACTTTCTACAACATATTTTATCGCTTTTACTATTTTTTCCTATAAAACATCAACTATCGAATTTAAAATGAAATCCAATAATGAAGGAATTCCATTGATTCGAAAGAATTAATATAAAACATTGTCAAGTAGAATATAATTTAGTCAAATTGAAAAGTAGATATGATTGTTACAAAATTATAGTGGAATTAACAATATTGATCCAAACAAATTTGAATTCAAAAATATTCGCGTGATTATCTTTTGCCGTTGTCTCTGGAATTATTCGAAGTGCCTTAAGACAAATGAAAATGTCATGTTTTTCCTAGAATCTTTTTTAATAAGATAAACGACTGAGAACATCAATTAATTCTCTTATTTTTCATTTGAAAAACTATTTTTTATTGACAATTATTTTCCAATTTGAAGACAAAATGTGGAATACTCGTCTAAATAATTTAACTGAAGAAAAGTCTGTATATGATCGATTAGACTTCATTTATAAACAAGTATTTCTTTATTGTTCAATTTTCATCATCATATTTGGTATTGTTGGTAATGTTTTCAATATAATTCTTTTTTCTCGTCGTACACTTTATCCAAATAGTTGTTCCTTCTATTTTTTAACTCTTTCAATTAATAATTTAATAATAATGTTCTTCTCTTGTATTCCTGATATATTTATTATCACATACGGTATTGATATGAAAAATAATTCGACCATTTTATGTAAAATAGGATGGTATTATTCGTTCACTGTTCAGAATTTCTCGTTATTTTGTCTTTCTTTGGCTTCATTTGATCGATATTGTGGTTCGTCATCTAATGTTCATATGAGACGATTCTGTACAATGAAAACAGCACAACGGATCGTCTTAGTCTTAGCAATATTTGTTCTTTTTAGTTATTGTCATGTTCCAATCTTCTATCAATTAGATCCAACATTGAATCAATGTACAATTATCAATGCTACTTATCGTCAATTTCTTAGTATATTATCAGGTATATACATTAGTCATTTACCTGTTTTTCTCATGTTAGTTTTTGGTGTTTTGACAATCTTTAATGTGAAGAAAAGTCGACGTCGTCTTATCCCAGCGCAACCAGAAGTTCTAATAGCATCAGCAACTGCGCCAGCTCACATTTTGGAGAATGTTGTTCGTCTACGTGATCATTTTGTACATGCAGCTATATCACCACAGAATGTTGCGTCACAAAGAACTCGTAATGACCAACAACTATTGCAAATGTTAATTTTTCATGTTTTAACATACATTTGTTTAACTATTTTCCCTACCGTAGTATATTATGTAATGACATTTACTCCAATCACTGAGATCATTCTGTTCCTCTTTTATATTTCACGTTTACCCTATTATGTGGTTTTTGCAATCTCGTTTTATGTTTATGTTCTCAGTTCGAGAGTGTATAGAAAAGAGTTCTCCAAACTGTGTAGTGAACTGTGTCAATCTTTACATTTTAATTAGATGGAATCCATTTATCTACACATACAAATGTAAGCGACCAAAAGAAAAAAAATACTGTCAGTGTTTTTATTTTCGTTTTGTAATTCGTTTTTTGTCGTGTGTCTTTAAAACAAATAAATACACAAAAGTTCTTCTTCAAATGAAAATACTCACAGCCAAGAGTGATGATAAACAAAAGATACTACACCCACATCCTCACCCTTAAGATGACATAATCTTATCTGATCTCTTCTATTCTGTGAAACTTTTCATTTATAGTTCATAATTTACTCTTTTCTTTCAATACTGGTGTTGCCATAATGCTATTGACAATATCTTCAGTCAATAACATACCACTATTCCATGTCCGCTACAAAGTTAAGAATTGTTAAATGACAAGAATTTATTTGGTAACATACTACAAAAGTAAAATTATCATCTACATTGTGATCACGTGCATAATTCAAATTGACTTTTGAGCCTTGTACAGCTATCGAACTTTTTTGAGCAATAAGATGTGCTAAAGACATCGCTGCATCGAGCATAGCTTCACTGGTATCAAATACACGACTAGAAATATTAAAATGAGATGATGAAGTTAGAAAAGATCATTTTTATCAAGATTCTTTACCTAATCAATCCAATCTGTTGTGCTTCGTTTGTATCGAATTTTCGTGACGTATAAACAAGTTCACGAAAGATATTATGATTCGTAACAAATTTTGGCAAAATTTGAAGAGTACCAACATCAGCTGCTAAACCCATATCAACTTCCTATGAAGATATAAACATAGAAAATACACGATCATTTATCTATAAGAAATACTTTGATAGAAAACGTTGTATCACTTGAACTATAACGAATATCACAGCAAGCGATGAGATCAATACCAGCACCGAGACAAAAACCATGAATTGCAGCTATGATTGGTTTTTCACACTTGGAAATCAAGACTTGATTTCAAAAAACGAAAATTATCGCCGCATTTCATATTTACTCTGTCTACTGCTCGTAAACATTCTTGTATTCGTTGTATCATATTACGATTATGCAAAACCTTTCGTGCTACATCATCAATTTCAACAGATTCAGCAGCAGCATTGGACAAATACATTATGTCGATGCCTGGGAGGAAACGTTGTAAAAACTTCGTCATTCACAAAAGAAAACTTTACCGGTACTAAACGCTCGACCATTACCAGTTAATACAATAGCTCGACATTCATCGTGTTTGTTCAATTGTTCAAAACATGTTTTCAAGTCACTTGAACGCAAGACATCATTTTGATGAATATATGTCAACAAAAGAAATGTATTACTTGAATAATTGTTCATTCATAGCATTCAATTTCTTCGGTCGATTGAGTTCAACAAGAAATACATGAGGCTTTGGTTGACTTATTTTCAATGTTTCATAAACGAGTGATGATGACATGATTTGAATTGGATCCCACTTTGTATGTAACAGTCTTTGCTTATCAAAAAAAAGTAAAAACGAATACCTAATCGTCTAATATATGATGAGTCATTTGTGCATGAGGCTACGACGAGAACGACGCTGTCTGATTGGTGGTAATTTTGACTGATGAAATTTTTTAGAAAAAGAAGACGCTACTTGCTTTTTTTTACTCTTGTTTTGTCTGATCTCGATCGTACGAAAGTTTACATAACAAACCGATCGAGAGAAAGGAGAAAGAGCTGAAGCACTTCTTGATTGTGATCACTGGTTCGATGAAAATTGTTCGCTAACATGAATATAGGAGAGATACATTGAAAAAGGTACTAATGCTCAAAACTGACTAGCAACATATCATGGAATACGAAAACAGAATATTGGTTTGCTTCTTCGATATAGTTGCACTATGTTTTCTGGCAAGTTTCACCAACGGTTGTTTGCTCTCAACATAATTCACACACATTCGCAGCATATTTATTAGAAGACCAAAACAGTCTCTCAGAAAATGTCTCGAAACGCTCGACTTTCGAACCACAATTATTAATCTGTATCTAAATTAACAATGAAGTTGAACGGGCGTCATACGATAGGATATCAGCGATTCCATCTAGTCTTCTCATTGATTGGAGATAACACGAAAAATTAATGTCACAGTCACATTCGCAAGAATTAGCTATTTGACAAAAGTAACGCGCTGTCTGTATACACGTGTAAAAAGAGATATCATTCATTTGTTGTTTGTTCTATGTCGAATTTTTGTATTCGCTGATTATCACAATCGGCGACATATATATTGCCCAGTCGATCGTATGATAAACCTCGAGAATAGTTTAATTCGTTCGATAGTTGTCCCGACCCGTTGCTACCAGCAATGATACTCCTCTCTGCACTGTATTTTGGCCAACGCATAATTTGATGATTACCACAGTCAATAAACATTTAGCACGCGTCAGACAATTGATCCGAGCGATTTCTCCTCCAGTATCACCAACTCGATATCGTCTCACTTTATTATTATTGGGTTGGCTAGAAAGTTTTTGCGTTTTTCCTTAAATTTTCCTAGTATTGCCAAGAAAGTTCTAGAAGTTTCCATATTGTGAGCATATAAAGGGAGTACTTGTCAAGGGAATTATTCATTGGGAAATTCTTCCTGCTGGCTGCACCGCCACTGCTGATCTCTACTGTCAGCAATTAGACCGAGTTGCAGTAAAACTTCATGGGAAGCAGGATAGAATTTATTTTCTGCATGATAACGCTAGACCTCATGTTGCAAAGTTGACGCGTGGGAAATTATTGAAGCTCGAATGGACTATACTTCTACATCCACCTTACTCTTCTGACTTAACTTCAACAGACTACCATTTGTTTCGTTCTCTTTCTAGCTATTTGGGCGAGAAAAAATTCGACGATGAGAACGACCTCAGAACAGAGCTGGCCAACTTCTTCGCTCAAAAGTCTCAAGACTTCTACGAACGTGGTATCCTTTCCTTACCAACGTGTTGGCAACAAGTCATAGACAGTGATGGAGGTTACATTGTTGAAAGCTACTTGTATTTTTTAAGTTAAGAAATAAAAAGAAAACTTTCTGGCCATCCCAATAGTTCTGTTTTGAAATATATAGATTATAGCGAGCACAGCAATCGAATCATACACGAAAAACGTATTCTGTCGACTGTTTATCAGTTCATAAAGGAATGAAATACCTGTGGTGTTTCCATTCTCAGAACTAGGAATCCAAGCATCCATTTGATATTCATTAAGTTAAAAATATCCTCGCTGTCACCAAAATCTGTACTTAAAATGAAATCTGGCCTTCCGGAAGCAATATACGACAGATGGGGCTATCATTGTGATTTCTCGTTATCTACTTCTAGTTTAAAATTTGTAATGTAGATTTTTTTCAACATAAACTTGTATAATTAAACATTTCTCTATTATTTCGTTGTTTCGTAATCGAAATCCAAGTTTTGTTTTCAATTTTACCGTAACTATTGTGTTTTGTTCTACGCTTCTTATTCTTACTCGCATATACTTCATTCATATTTTTACTTCTTTAGAGATTTAGTTAGAACTAATACAAAAATTATTTGTTTTCTTTCTTGTAGTCGTTTATTATATCATATTATATCATCAATTTGTCTTTATTTTACTGAAAAACAAATAAATAAACGCCATATTGGAGAACATTTTCTCTTATACGAAATGAGAAAAACAATAACAAATTGATTATTATATATGGGTCTTTTCAGTCGAGGGTAATGCGAGTCCATCTCGACGAGCGCTATTTATTTATTTTCTATTTAGGATATTTTATAAGAAATCGAATCTTTGTTTCACACTTAATTTATCAATTGACATTTGTGATAAAGTTCAATCCAGTATAAAGACATTAAAGCAGTGCAAGGTAGAGCTTTTGTTGATAATGATGTCAGTATTCTGAAAATCTATTCATGTATATTTTTATTTTCTGAAAAACACCCTATTCCACGTAAAGAATTTGAAAAAAACAGCAACAGAAGATTTTAGAAAAAGTAAATATTTTATGTTCATAAATGACAGAGAAAAATTATTATCAATAGTGTATTTTTTCCTGACTATATTTACCTATACATTAAAGTGAATTTATCATAGACAAATTACAATTCAACAAAAGAATAGTTGAAAAGTGAGGTTCCGTGGTGATGGCAACAGATATAGATAAGCAAACTGATGTATTAGCATCAACTACAGAGTAAGTTAATTCCATTAGTTGGAATACCGAACATACACTTATAAGACCCTCTTTAGGATTGTAGTCAATAATCGTAAACGACGATTGTGGATGATAATCAGTATTTTTCTAGGCTTATTCTGTGTTGCAATAATTGCAGTTCCTACAGCAATTACTTTAGTAAGAAAAATTGATACAATCACTGTTTCGACCAGTTCAACTACATCCGTGATGGTAATCACATCGGTCACACCATCCAATGGTAAGAAAATTCTGCGTGTAAATCCTAAATAGAAGTTTTCAGATAGAGTATAGATAGACAAATATCTTACATTTTATTGCACTAAATACTCTCCTCTCCAGATCAACTTCAAATTGCCATATTTCTATCTAGGCTTACACCTTTTTAAGAAAAAAAACGAAATGGTCTATGCTATATGGAACACAACTGCAGGTGATAACAGTGCACGATCTACACCCGGTGGAGGAATTGGTGAATATTGGAGAACTGAACCACCGGAAGCTGCAGTAGATGGTAACCTACGCACAGAGTATACTAATCATGGTGTTTGTAATTCATCATCCTATGTTTCTGAAGAATGCGGCTTAAGAACTGGTTTCTATTTAACATTCCAAAGTAAACCATTCATTCTCGTCAATTTCCAAATGGCTACAAACAAAGGTCCATTAGAGCGTAATCCGTCAACAATCACGATTGAAGGAAGTAACAATAAAAAAGTTGATTTAGTTCTTGGGAAAAGTTGGACTTTGATTTATAATGGTAGTTCAGGTCTCGAATTCATTTTGGAAACAAGAAAGTTTGGTAAAACACAAACACTATTGAATAATACGTTGTCGTTTGCAAGCTATCGTTTTCTCATAACTTCAAAAAGAGGAGCAGCTAATTGTGTCTCGTATTCAGAAGTAAAAATGATGGGACGATATCCAGATGAATAACAATACATATGGTCGACAGGGGGAATAATTGTTTTCTTTGCTTCTATTTTTTTCAGTTACATTTTGAAAAGAGTGATATATTGATATTAATATAACGATAAAACATTATTCGATACCATCTGTCAATGCTTTCGAAAGAAGCGGTAAACATACACATTATCTGCTCATACGAGACGATAATGATACCTGTGTACAGGTTGATTACGTTATTTTTAATAGTTTTCATAACCTATCTCGGCTAAAAAAAACTTCAGTTTTTTATTTGGATACAGTTAGATAGAGCGTCATTTACTCTATGGAGGTATACTATTTTAATCTCACTTGTTATGGTTCTTCTAAAAAAGATGCTGAGTTACAAACAGGTGCTTTTAAATTTTTTGTTCAACAACTATTAAAGCGAACTTGAATGTACTTTGTAGTTTGATAACATATTACTTAATCTGATATTTCGAAAAAACGAAATATATGAAAAGATGCGCCATGAAAAACTCTACAATTTACATAAAGTCATCTCTTCAGATCACTCTCATCTTTTGCTCTAAAAGGGGGGAAAAGTTGAATGAATAGAAAGTGAAGTGGTCAATATTGATCTTAAATTATCTATTAAACGGTTTTGAAACCAATGATAATATCTTTTCCTAGCAATTTTAAAAGTTTTTCCTCTTGTTTATCTCTGATGTACTTCACATTAATCCCCAAACATGTTCCTGAGTGATTATGATATAGTGATGTCATGGTTCATGACACATGGGATGGGACATCTCCCTCCTACATATGTCCTGGATGTATTGTCTTCTTTGGAAATATCCTAACGGAATATTCCATGTAGTCATAGTCCGCATGGAATATTCACATGATATTTGCCATCTCTAGTCATATATATATAGTCACAGTTCTTTCTATATTACTCAGTTCAGTTCAGTTTTTCTGTTTATTTCCAAATAAACTTGTACACGCTTCAAGACGTGACAGTGATAATAATATTAAATTAGAGCAAGATATCTTCTTTTTAGCTTGAGAAACACGATTTGTTTTTAATAAAAAAATGAAAAAATGTCGGTTACACAATAAAATAGATTAAGCATTTTTCTATGGGTTGTTGATTTTTTTTGTAACGATCGACAGTTACGTTTGCCTACTCGCTATGAGTTATCTGATGGAGAAAACGCGAAATATCAAATGTGTTATATACCTTTAAAAAAATTTAGAGTACGTGTTTGTAACTCAGCATTTTTTTGTAGAAGGACCATAGCAAGTGAAATTAAAATAGTATGCCTTTGTAGAGTAAATGACGCTCTATCTAACTGTATCTAGGTATGCACCAATACCAAAACTAGTTTTGGTATTGAAGTCTTGGTTTTGATTTCAATACTTTAGTTTTGATTGGATTTTGGTTTTGATCGTTTAGTTTCGGGTTTGGGTTTGAAAGTTTTGAAATCACATCAAGACCAAAATCATATCAAAACCAATACCAAAATTGGCAAAACCTTATCAAAGCCTATACTGCAAAACCAAAACTAAATCAAAACCTAATCCTCAAAACCGAAGAGGTTTGGTATTGGTGCATGTCGAACTGTATCCAAATAAAAAAGAACTGAAGTTTTGTTTAACCAGGATAGGTTATGAAAAACTATAAAAAATAACGTAATCAACCTTTAAATATATATTGAATGCAGAGGACTAATGTTAGTTCACACATATGAAAAATGTTAAGGTGAACAGAATTTGCAAAAGAAAATCTCGCACATGTTTTAGTAATATAGTTTACCTATTCTTTTATTGCTTACCTAGGTTATTATACTTTTATCATGTCGGTAATTTTTCTTCCTTTTTAATTTTGTTATGAGGGTGTGAGAGTGAGTTTCAAATGACGATGTAAAGGAATTCAAGTAAAGCAATCATTTCGTGTGTCCACGAATGCATACAAGACATTTGGGTGGATATATCCACAAGACATGTTGAAATAAGTACAGGAAACTTATTCGAAAAGATCATTAAATCAAAGTTGGACTCGAACCCACAACTTCCGATAACCTGTCGGCTATTTTACCAATCAAACTATTGGGTATTCACTTCCGTTAATTAATAACTGCATGTCAACATATCTAGTTGGATATCGTGCACATATCAGAACAAAAATGAAGATAAGATACACTTCAATGAATTCATATTGCTACACGAGGACTTACAAGGGAACATGCCTAGATGTGAAACAGTTAAGTGCTCTTACTACCTTAGTAAAAAATTATAGGCAAAATACTTTTCATAATATTAACGCATGTATTTCGCTATACTATATGCATTTCGAACTTTTTCAAATATTCTAGCGTATTTTGTCTCTAGATATTTTACATCTGGTTCTATGTGTGTGTTGTCTATGTTTTCATTGAATAACCCTTGACTTCTATATTAACCATATGTATTCGCTATCTCTATATCCATACTCGCTCTTCCAGGCTTCTGTAATTACTAATTCTTTGTTCTTCTGATATCGATCGCTCTTGTATTCGTATGTTCGTTCGGTTTTCAACCTACATATAGATCATGTATTATTTAAATGAATTATACAGTGACGTTTACGACTTCTAAAGTTATTTACTACGACTTTTTCAAAGCCAACATGTTAAATGTTAACAATATCTTTCGCATTTTAACAATCTGGTGCGTCAGAAACATCCAGAACCTACTAAAGATGAACCATCGTCCAAAGATTATGAACTAGCCGATCAACTGTTTTTGTTGTTTAACGAATTGTTAACTTCTGCAAAATTACTAGTCGATCATATTGTAACATTGGATTTTAATGAATATGGCGATTGTAGTGCTGATTACCAAGAAGAAGAAGATGACAATGCTGTTGCATTGAATGTTGATGGCATCACATATTCTTATGATACAATGTGTCCCATTGTAGAATTTTCAAAAACACACACCTTCCCTACATTTCGCAGACGATACAGACAAATAAAATATAAGGAACAACTGCGTCGAATAAAGCGATATGTTAATGCCCAAGATATGAAAACACAGAAACTCCAATTTGTCGACAATTTTGTTTATACGGAATTTATTCGTGCTCGAGAATGCTGTTTACCAATGCATGATTCTGATTTAAGGCGTTTGGCCATTAGAAAAGCACATAATTTATATCTGGTCGGTTTTATGGCATCTTCTCACTGGATATTAGACTTCAAACGTCGGCATCACATTTCATCAAGAAAAGTCACAAAACTGGTGACCAAAAATCATTTGGAAGACCGAAATGAAATATTAAAATCCGCCGAACGTTTTGTCAAAACAGTAAAAAATACTATTTCAGATTATGCTGAAGATCATATATGATGAGTATAGTTCTCTTGGAGAATTGCGGTGACAAAGACGTAACTGAATCCTGATTTCCATAGCGAGGATTCATCATTTTCTGTGCTCGTGAGTACTTCGTAGATGAGTATATATAGCCGTATTATCGAGAATCTCACACTTGCGATAAAAGCTTTCTAGACGATGTTTTGAGAAAAATATTTGTAAAACTATTTACTTGAGTGACAAAACGAGCATAAAGGAACATGATTAACAAAGCTAGTTCCAGGTTTATAATCTATCATTACCGATGTTTTTCAATGGAGTGTTATAGAGAAGCCACTTGTATACCTTTGCTTAGTACGTGTACGTGTAGTAATCAGTGAAATGCAAGCATAAAAACGATCATACAAGTGGCCCAGTTATGTTTTCTGATCTTTTTTTGCATATGAAAGAGAAGAGCGTTTAACGGCACGTGGTATTTTTTATCAAATATTTTGCACATCTTTGAACTCATCTTCTATCACGTTCTTTTCACACCGTCTCTCCTTCCAAACCGAGGTATACCCTCAAGACTCCCTCCGGACGATGTTGTGTCAAATTTTGACCTTTGACCCTGATACAAACAGACAAACATACAAACTATTTTTTTCATATGATCCTGCTTTCAGTCGAGGGAATTATATAAAAGAAAAACTCGAAAGAGATTTTCCCGATCTTTTTTTCGTGAACAAAAGTGACATCGTTCGATACAGTACCAAAGTCTGCGTTGAATAGCCTCATTTTCATCGACGAGAATTCGTTTTCACAAAGTTCTTAGTTTTGTGATGCAAGCTTCACACTGATATCTTGACCACGGTTGATATTTTGACTACCAAGAAGAATAATATCATTGGTTTTTGAAGATTGTTGAAGTAATTTTTTTACAACTTTAAAACCAATGCCTCTATATGCTCCAGTCACTAAAATCATACGCTTTTGATCTGTCATTGTTGACGCCTTGCTGACTAAAATCGTTGTGCGCGGTGTGGAACGTATCGTCCTTATATTGAAAGAAGAAAAGAGCGTGAGGTGCGAATATAAAAATACTTTTCGTTCGCTCTTGTACACTTTGACTAAGTTATTCAAAGATGATACTTCATGTCAAGTTTATTTTTAGACAGATTCTTTAATAATAAGCAGCGTCAATATCATCACAATTCCACTGAATGATGACAGAGCACTATTTCTACTACTTGTATTAAAAAACTTTATGAAATCGAAATTCATCGTACTTTTTCCACGAATAAGATCAATAGTACGAAGTGAATTACAATTTTCTGATCGACAGTTAATCATTTCAATTTCTGTTTGTGTTTGGTCGGTTAAATTAAAAAGAATTTCACGTCCCAGAAATTCTTGATGTACATCATCAGTATAACAACCTGCACATATACTACCAGTACTTTTTGATTCACTAATAAATGTCGTTGAACATTGTTTACAATTATTTGGATCTACTACTACAGGTACTTTACAAGCTTCAGTAGTTTGATTCGAAAGTAACAAACACCAATGTCCATCGAACTGTGTACTTGGTCTCAATAAAGCTATTAATTCCATAAATTGATCATTCAATGTTAACGATTGAAGTAAACGTTTCAAGGAACTTGGACTATTACATTTGTCAGTTGAACAAAAATAATAAAGTGAATGTTGTAATGAGAAACTTGATCCATCTTTACCTACGATCGCATCTACGGTAATCGTATGTTCCGATGATATTGATCTTTTATGTCGTGTTTCAGGTACCATATCAAGTTCCGTTTCATTGTTATTCAAGAACCACCTCATACTAATAACACATTCGGATTGATTGGCTATAATTGGACAATCATTTAATTTTTCAGGAATATTATCTGCTGTAATAAGATATTTATATGTGTCTGATGCGCGCGAACAAGCATAACAAGATATTTGGCATGATACTGGATTATATAGAATAAATATGATCAATAAATGTAGCAACATCATTTTTGTTTTTCGAGTTGAATATAAGAAAATCAAAAGATGCTTTATATATATATACATTAAGTGCACGAGTAAACAGCTTATCATATTAATATATGAATCATTTATATCAGTTTAGATGTGCAAAGATAAGAGCACAGAAATTAGTAAGACATAAGAAAGATGAAATGTAGTCAAACAGTTTAGATATAGGAGAATATACAAATGAAAATGGGATAGAGTATACACACACCCGCCGTTATTACATNAACTGAAAAAAGTTTTCACCTGAAAACTCTACTGTTCTATAAAAACGATCATCCTTCATTTCAGTCTCTTTTCGTATACATCCTGAGAACTCAGTATCTTTGAAATAAAGGCGCGAGGGCACGAATCCTCTTGAGGTTTTTCATACCTCATTGAGGTCTATCTATCACCAAAAGATGGGATCTAAATCGCTTAATCACCTAAATATGTTCCCTCGTGAGTAATTTAATAAGAATTGATCATTCATTAATATTCGAGTAAGTGCGTATGGTACTTCAATTGATGCAAGTGATTTTGGAAGTGGTGAATGTTTTGAAGATCTATGACCGTACGAAGAAGACTTCACTCGATCGAATAATGGGAACTAATCCTGCTGCACCATGATCTCATCTAAAAAAGGTGTCGAGGTTCGCAACAAAGTCGAAACCCTTTTATAGTTTCGCACAATGCTACAGAAAGTCCGAAATACGAAAAGGAACGAAAAAGTGACCTATCTTCCAGTGATATATAGGAGAGAAGGGTAAATAATCGGTAGAAGATAACGAAAAGAGTATTAAAGGCATTTATTAAAATTAGATGGCTTAAAAACGAACGTTTCAAAAAAATTTTCTAAGAAAACTGAATCGGGTCGAATGTGTTAAATATTGAACAAATATTAAAAATCTCATTTGCAACAAATATCAATGGACATCACTGAACCATCTCTTGAATTTTTTCATCGACTCATTCAAAGGATTTAAGACTTTCTTTGTTTTCTCATTCTTCCTTGTATCATATCATTCAATGAATATAATAGAATTTCTTCTTCAATGACTCCTAAACAAATTCATTACTTGGACTGATTCTTACACTCACAACGTTTCTTTCGTTATTCTAGATATATACCAAACACTATCTGATTCACTAGTATATCTCATATTCGATTCATATCTTTATTATAAATATGTTTCAACTAGCCATATATTTTCCATTCCATCGCCCTTGATACCATTAATGCCATACCTATTGTTGCTCTGGACCATTTTGTAAAACACCAATCACCTTTCTTGTCAGTATCAGCGATCTCTGCTCGAGTGAAAAAGAAACTCACGCATTACTATATTAGCAACTTACATTCTTGTTGATTCTTCAACATAATACCATCCTAACAAGATAGACTCGTCAATCGACAATGCAAGTAGCATAGATAGTTGTCGGTTGATAATCTATATCTAATAATAGTGGAAAGTTTAAGTTTTGTGGTAATTAGATTCAGTCATTATCCACGCATGGTTTCTTGGAGTTTTTTCAAGTCGGATTCGATCATGTATGGTATATAAAAATTCTGCTTCGCGTGAATGAAACAATATGTCATGTTGGCCTGTCAAAGAAATAATCATTTCTAAATCAATCGACTGTGATGCGCATTTATGCTTTTCTATTCATTTGTTAAGTTTTTAATCAGAATTGACGAAGCATTATAATTAAAAGAGAAAAAAATATCGGTCGATGTCATTAAAAAAGTGCATTTGATAATTTTTCAATAGAAAATCTTCCGGAATGAATGTAACTATATCTGCTCGTAGCGGTGCTGATCTGATCGCTGAATTGACNTATTTAACTATACATTAAAGTAATTTTGTCACAGACAACTTACAATTCAACAAAAGAATAGTTGAAAGGTGAAGTTCGGTGGTGATGGCAACAGATATAGATAAGGAAACTGATGTATTAGCATCAACTACAGAGTAAGTTAATTACATTAGTTCGAATACCGAACATAAACTTATAAGACACTCTTTAGGATTGTAGTCAATAATCGTAAACGACGATTGCGGATAATAATCAGTATTTTTCTAGGTTTATTCTGTGTTATAATAATTGCAGTTCCTACAACAATTACTTTAGTAAGAAAAATTGATACAATCACTGTTTCGACCAGTTCAACTACATCCGTGGTGGTAATCACATCGACAACACCATCCGATGGTAAGAAAATTCCGCATGTAAATCCTAAGTAGAAGTTTTCAGACAGTGTATAGATAGATAAATATCTTACATTTTATTTCACTAAATACTCCCCTCTCCAGATCAACTTCAATTTGTCATACTTATATATAGGCTTACAACTTTTTAAGAAAAAAAACGAAATGGTCTATGCTATATGGAACACAACTGCCGGTTATACCAGTACACCATCTTTACCTGGTGGAAATATTGGTGAATATTGGGGAACTGAACCACCGGAAGCTGCAGTAGATGGCAACCTACATACAGAGTATACTAATCATGGTGTTTGTGATGCATCACCCTATTATTCTGAAGAATGCGGCTTAAGAACTGGTTTCTATTTAACATTCCAAAGTAAACCATTCATTCTCGTCAATTTCCAAATGGCTACGAACAAAGGTGCCTTAGAGCGTAATCCATCGAAAATCACGATTGAAGGAAGTAACAGTAAAGGAGTTGATTTAGTTCTTGGAAAAAGTTGGACTTTGATTTATAATGGTAGTTCAGGTCTTGAATTGATTTTGGAAGCACGAACGTTTGGTAAAATACAAACACTATTGAATAATACGTTATCGTTTGCAAGCTATCGTTTTCTTATAACTTCAAAAAGAGGAGCAGCTACTTCTGTCTCATATTCAGAAGTAAAAATGATGGGACGATTTCCAGATGAATAACAATACATATGGTCGAAAGAGAGAACATTTGTTTTCTTTGCTTCTATTTTTTTAGTTACATTTTGAAAATAGTGATATATTGATATTGATATAACAATAAAACATTGTTCGATACCATCTGTCAATGATTTCGAAAGAAACGGTAAACATACACATCATCTGCTCATACGAGACGATAATAATATCTATATACAGGCTAATTACGCTATTTTTAATAGTTTTTATAACCTATCTCGGCTAGAAAAAACTTCAGTTTTTTTATTTGGATTCAGTTAGATAGATCGCCATTTACTCTATAAAGGCATACTATTGTAATCTCACTTGCTTTGGCTCTTTTACCGAAAAAAGCGCTGAGTTACAAACAGGTGCTTAAAAACTTTTTTTCAACAACTATTAAAGCGAACGTGAATGTACTTTGTAGTTTGATAACATATTACTTAATCTGATATTTCGAAAAAACGAAATATATGTAGAGATGCGCCATGAAAAACTCTACAATTTACATAAAGTCATCTCTTCGGATCACTCTCATCTTTTGGTCTAAAACAGAAAAAAGTTGAATGAATGGAATGTGAAGTGGTCAATATTGATCTCAAATTATCTATTAAAATTTTTTGAAACCAATGATAATATCCTTTCCTAGCAATTTTAAAACTTTTCCTCTTGTTTATCTCTGATGTACTTCATATTAATCCCCAAACATGTTCCTGGGTGATTGTGATATAGTGATGTCATGGTTCATGACACATGGGATGGGACATCTCCCTCCTATAGATGTCCTGGATGTTTCGTCTTCTTTGGAAATATTCGAACGGAATATTCACAGGACATTTCCTATCTCTGGTCATATATATAGTGACAGTTCTTTCTATGTTACTCGGTTCAGTTCAGTTTTTCCGTTTATTTCCAAATAAACTTGTACACACTTCAATATGTGAGTGGTAATAATATTAAATTAGAGCAAAATATCTTCTTTTTGGCTTGAGAAACGCGATTTGTTTTTAATAAAAAATGGCAAAGTGTCGGTTACACAATAAAATAGATTAAGCATTTTTCTATGGGTTGTTGGTTTTCTTGAGGGTGTGATCGGTAGTCGCGTTTGCCTACTCGCTATGAGTTATCTGATGGAGAAAACGCGAAATGTAAAATGTGTTTGTAACTCAGCATTTTTTTTGTAGAAGAGCCATAGCAAGTGAAATTAAAATAGTATGCCTTTGTAGAGTAAATGACGCTCTATCTAACTGTATCTAGGTATGCACCAATACCAAAGCTAGTTTTGAAGTTTTGGTATTGAAGTCTTGGTTTTGATTTCAATATTTTAGTTTTGATCGTTTAGTTTCGGTTTTGGGCTTGGGTTTGAAAGTTTTGGTTTTGTTTGTTGAAAACAGTCTTATTCGATCTATCTTGAAAAACAAGCAAAAGTATTGAAATTACATCAAGACCAAAATCATATAAAAACCGAAGAGGTTTGGTATTGGTGCATGTCTAACTGTATCCAAATAAAAAAGAACTGAAGTTTTGTTTGACCGGGATAGGTTATGAGAAACTATATAAAATAACGTAATCAACCTCTAAATATACATTCAATGCAGAAGACTAATGTTAGTTCACACATATGAAAAATGTTAAGGTGAAGAGAATTTGCAAAAGAAAATCTCGCACGTGTTTTAGTAATATAATTTACCTATTATTTTATTGCTTACCTTGGTTATTATACTTTTATCATGTCGGTAATTTTTCTTCCTTTTTAATTTTGTTATGAGGGTGTGAGAGCGAGTTTCAAACGACGATGTAAAGGAATTCAACTCAAGCAATCATTTCATCTGTTCACGAATGCGTACAAGATATTGCAGTAGATATATTCACAGAGACATGTTCAAATAAGTACGAGAAACTTATTCGAAAAGATCATTAAATCAAAGTTGGACTCGAACCCACATCTTCCGATAACCGGTCGGCTATTTTACTAATCAAACTATTGGATATTCACTTCAGTTAATTAATAACTACATGTCAACATATCTGGCTGGATATCGTGCACGTATCAGAATAAAATTGAAGTTATGATACACTTCAATGAATTCATATTGCTACACGAGGACTTACAAGGGAACATGGCCAGGTCTGAAACAGTTAGGTGCTCTTACTACCCTAGCAAAAATTTATAGGCAAAATACTTTTCATAATATTAACGCATGCATTTCGCTATGCTATATGCATTTTGAAATTTTTCGAATATTCTAGCGTATTTTGTCCCTAGGTATTTTACATCTGGTTCTATGTGTGTGTTGTCTATGTTTTCATTGAACAACCCTTGACCTCTATATTAACCATATGTATTCGCTATCTCTATATCCACACTCGCTCTTCCAGGCTTCTGTAATTACTAATTCTTTGCTCTTCTGATATCGAAATGACCACGAAATAAATGATGAGTATAGATCTCTTGGAGAATTACAGTGACAAAGACGTAACTGGTTATGATTTTCATAGCGAGGATTTATCATTTTCTATGCTCGTGAGTACTTCATACATGAGTATACATAGCTGTATTATCGAGAATCTCACACTTGTGATAAAAAGCTTTCTAGACGATGTTTTGAGAAAAATATTTGTAAAACTATTTACTTGAGTGACAAAACAACCATAGAGGAACATGATTAACAAAGCTAGTTCCAGGTTTATAATCTATCATTACCGATGTTTTTCAATGGAGTGTTATAGAGAAGCCACTTGTATACCTTTCCTTAGTACGTGTACGTTTAGTAATCAGTGAAATGCAAGCATAAAAATGATCATACAAGTGGCCCAGTTATGTTTTCTGATCTTTTTTTGCATATGAAAGAGAAGAGCGTTTAACGGCACGTGGTATTTTTTATCAAATATTTTGCACATCTCTGAACTCATCTTCTACCACGTTCTTTTCACACCGTCTCTCCTTCCAAACCGAGGTATACCCTCAAGACTCCCTCCGGACGATGTTTTACCAAATTTTGACCTTTGACCTTGACACAAACAGACAAATATACAAACTATTTCTTTCGTATGATCCTGCTTTCAGTCGAGGGAATTATATAAAATAAAAGCTCGAAAGAAATTTTCCCGATCTTTTTTCGTTAATAAAAGTGACATTGTTCGATATAGTATCAAAGTCTGCGTTAAATAGTCTCATTTTCATCGACCGGAATTCGTTTTCACAAAGTTCTCAGTTTCGTGATACAAGCTTCACACTGATATCTTGACCACGTTTGATATCTCGACAACCAAGAAGAATAATCTCATTGGTTTTTGAAGATTGCTGAAGTGATTTTTTTACAACTTTAAAACCAATGCTTTTATATACTCCAGTCACTAAAGTCATACGCTTTTGATCTGTCATTGTCGACGCCTTGCTGACTAAAATCGTTGTGCGCGGTGTGGAACGTATCGTCCTTATATTGAAAGAAAAAAAGAACATGAAGTGCGAATGTGAAAATACTTTTCGTTCGCTCTTGTACACTTTGACTAAGTTATTTAAAGATGATACTTCTTCTCAAGTTTATTTTTAGACAGATTCTTTAATAATAAGCAGCGTCAATATCATTACAATTGCACTGAATGATGACATAGTACTATTTCTACTACTCGTATTTAAAAACTTTATGAAATCGAAACTCATCGTACTTTTTCCACGAATAAGATCAATAGTACGAAGTGAATTACAATTTTCGGATCGACAGTTAATCATTTCAATTTCTGTTTGTGTTTGGTCGGTTAAATTAAAAAGAATTTCACGTCCCAGAAATTCTTGGTGTACATCATCAGTATAACAACCTGCACATATACTACCAATGGTTTTTGATTCACTAATAAATGTCGTTGAACATTGTTTACAATTATTTGGATCTACTACTACAGGTACTTTACAAGCTTCAGTAGTTTGATTCGAAAGTAGCAAACACCAATGTCCATCGAACTGTGTACTTGGTCTCAATAAATCTATTAATTCCATAAATTGATCAGTCAACGTTAATGATTGAAGTAAACGTTTCAAGGAGCTTGGACCATTACATTTGTCAGTTGAACAAAAATAATAAAGTGAATGTTGTAATGAGAAACTTGATCCATCTTTACCTACGATAGCATCTACGGTAATCGTATGTTCCGATGATATTGATCTTTTATGTCGTGTGTCAGGTACCATATCAAGTTCCGTTTCATTATTATTCAAGAACCACCTCATACTAATAACACATTCGGATTGATTGGCTATAATTGGACAATCATTTAATTTTTCAGGAATATTATCTGCTGTAATAAGATATTTATATGTGTCTGATGCACGCGAGCAAGCATAACAAGATATTTGGCATGATACTGGATTATATAGAATAAATGTAGCAACATCATTTTTGTTTTTCAAGTTGAATATCAGAAAGTCAAAAGATGCTTTATATATACATTAAGTGCATGAGTAAACAGCTTATCATATTAATATATGAATCATTTATATCAGTTTAGGTGCGCAAAGATAAGAGCACAGAAATTAGTAAGACATAAGAAAGATGAAATCTAGTCAAACAGTTTAGATATGGGAGAATAAGAAATGAAAATGAGATAGAGTATACACTCGCTCGCTGCTATTACGTGTATCTTTTATGTAGATGCATGTACTGAACACAAATGCAGATCAAAGGAAACCTTTTTCGAGTAAGTGCGTATGGTACTTCAATTGATGCAAGCGATTTTGAAAGTGGTGAATGTTTTGACGATCTATGACCGTCCGAAGAAGACTTCACTCGATCGAATAATAGAACTAATGCTTATGCACCATGATTTCATCTAAAAAAGTGTCGAGGTTTGCAACAAAGTCGAAACCCTTTTATAGTTTCGCACAATGCTACAGAAAGTTCGAAAAACGTTTTCTGAGAATGCTTGAGAATGTAAATGAAAATTCATTTGTGTGCATGTTTCTCTTTGATAAGTTGAATTAGAAGACGATCATGTATTAGTGAACTTGCAATGATTGTTTATATCATAATTATTTAATTGTCGTATAGAAAGATAAAAAAGTATTCATTTTATAATTTATATGGAGACAAATAGTCAAAAATAAATTTTGTCAATATACGATATTTCTACACCAATAGACAATCTTCTATGATCTGAAAGTAACATTCAAGAATTGATCAGACAGTTTACTCATGTATATTAGACGTCTAATAAAAATATAATGATTTTATTGTTTGTTCAGATATACGTAAAACCTCGATAAAACGACAATGATTGATAAAAATATATTTCCACGTAGCAAAAACTTTTGTTGATGTACATCCATAATTCTGTGGTAAATTTAAGCAGGAATCACATAGTTAAAAAAACACAAAATAGGCATGTCATTTATTTTGTTGTATTTTATTTCATTATGAACAATAAGTTGTTCGTTGATCAACGGTAATAATCTTAATGAGGTTCTGAAAGAAAGATCTATTCTATGAGGAATTTTTCTCCTCTTGAAATTGAATACTGAAAAATGATGAAATTAACAAAACTCTTATCTTGATATTTGAAAATATTATCATTTTATTCTAATTTGACCAATTGCAATCGAAATTTCAATCATAATTATCAAATATTTTCTATACATTTCTTCATTGTTGTTGAAAACTTCGTCGGTATGTTTGATATAATAAAGAAATTAGTATAGAGTGGAAGAAAATTAATATCGGCAAAAATCCCTATCCTTTTAGTATTTTCGAAAAGTTTTCTTTAGAGTTAATTTATTACTGGAATAATAAATGAATGTGAACGATTAGAATTTCATGTTTTCAATTGATACAATGAAAAGTCAGATTAATCGTACATTTATTGAAATATTCTTCAATATTTGTTTGAAAATATTAGTTTATTTATTGAATTCTCCGATAAAATGCGACTTCGTCAACCTGAACTATTGTTCGATCAACGTCTTTCTTATCACTAAAATTACCTTTTGTTGGCTTTTGATAGATTAGATCAAACAAACAAACAGACTAAATTTTTCTTTCTGAGAAGGAAATAAAATTGATATAAATGAAAAATTACAGTAGACGGTGATTTGTTTGCAAAGAAAATGTGACTCATCTGATTAAATGGAAATATTTCAGTAATTTTTCTTAGACTTTTTAAAATATCATGGTTCTATAGATATTGTTGTGCATATAGATTAGTTTCGTCCGTAATGAACTGTCGATAGCAATCGATTGGATTGATTATATTATTGTTTGAAATAGCGCTTATTTCTTAAAAGAGTTCATGGTCCTCTAGAAATTATGCATCGGACTGTGATTTGATTTCATTCCAAGTATGCGAATCTATTACCATCATCATCACTAATTTCTTCGTTGGAACTGTCAGATGTAAAGTTCATTGTGTCAAAATCGGTACCCACAGAACTCACTTCAGTAAGTGAGCTATCGCTATCTTTTACCTCCATTTCTTCAAACGACATGTAATATATTTTAAAACTACGGTTCTATTCATATACAAAAAGATAAAGAGAAAAAAATAACAAAGAAAAGCTGGAACCTTCTTTTTTTCTGACTCCTGCTTTGTGTAATACGAAAAGGAACGAAAAAGTGACCTATCTTCCAGTGATATATAGGAGAGAAGGGTAAGTAATCGGTAGAAGATAACGAAAAGAGTATTAAAGGCATTTATTAAAATTAGATGGGCTTAGAAACGAACGTTTCAAAAACTTTTTCTAAGAAAACTGAATCGGGTCGAATGTGTTAAATATTGAACAAATATTAAAAATCTCATTTGCAACAAATATCAATGGACATCACTGAATTATCTCTTCAATTTTTTCATCGACTCATTCAAAGGACTTAAGACTTTCTTTGTTTTCTCATTCTTCCTTGTATCATATCATTCAATTAATATAATAGAATTTCTTCTTCAATGACTCCTAAACTAATTCATCACTTGGACTGATTCTTACACTCACAACGTTTCTTTCGTTATTCTAGATATATACCAAACACTATCTGATTCACTAGTGTATCTCATATTCGATTCATATCTTTATTATAAATATGTTTCAACTAGCCATATATTTTCCATTTCATCGCCCTTGATACCGTTAATGCCATACCTATTGTTGCTCTCGACCATTTTGTAAAACACCAATGACCTTTCTTGTCAGTATCAGCGATCTCTGCTCGAGTAAAAAGAAACTCACTCATTACTATATTAGCAATTTACATTTTTGTTGATTCTTCAACATAATACCATCCTGACAAGATAGACTCGTCAATCGACAATGCAAGTAGCATAGATAGTTGTCGGTTGATAATCTATATCTAATAATAGTGGAAAATTTAAGTTTTGTGGTAATGAAATTCAGTCATTATCCACGCATAGTTTCTTGGAGTTTTTTCCAGTCGGATTCGATCACCTATGGTGTATAAAAATTCTGCTTCGCATGAATGAAACAATAGGTCATGTTTGCCTGTCAAAGAAATAATAATTGCTAAATCAATCGACTGTGATGCGCATTTATGCTTTTCTATTCATTTGTTAAGTTTTTAATCAGAATTGACGAAGCATTATAATTAAAAGAGAAAAAAAAATATCGGTCGATGTCATTGAAAAAGTGCATTTGATAATTTTTCAATAGAAAATCTTCCGGAATGAATGTAACTATATCTGCTCGTAGCGATGCTGATCTGATCGCTGAATTGACCGTTATTGGAAAACTATTTGCGCGTTACATGCTTCTGGTCATGATCATTCTCAGTTCAGTTGGCAACGTACTGAACGTTCTCATTTTTTCTCAATCCAAACTGCGTTCGAACCCGTGTACTGTCTATCTTCTGGCTGCTTCTTATACCAATCTCATATGGACTGTAGCAGCAGTTTGCTCACGGTTTCTCTCGACGTACAATTTGGATTTTTCTGCTCAAATAAGTGGTCTATGCAAGATTCGTCATTTTATCTTCTTCAGCTTTTCAAGCATCTCAGTGTGGATGATGACTCTAGCTACTTTTGACCGATTTCTAATTAGCAGTACATCAACTAAATATCGGCAGTTTAGTTCTTTTCGCAATACATATCGACTGATTGGGATCACAACAATCATATTATCTTTGAACTACGCGAATCTATTCTATTGTGCCAACATTAAAGGAACACCTCCATCCTCATCTTGCACATCTATCACCTCAACAGCATGTGGTTTCTATAATGAATTATCGAGGATCATGACTTCGGCAATTATTCCAGGAATAGTGATCTTGGTGTTTGGTCTCGGGACCATTCGACATTTGAAACAAATTCGAACTACTGTCACAACAACAACAGCACAGACACAATCACAACAACGAATGCGGAAAACGGACCAAGAACTCATTCGGGTAATAAATATGCAAAGAAAACTTGTTTTGACTTCTTTTCTCTCTTGAAAGATGTTGATTGGCCAGATCATTCTAATTTTCATTTCGTGGATTCCTCATGCTGCAGAACGACTCTATACTGTCATAACTCTGTACGATGTTAAATCTCCACTTCGAACCACTCAAGACAACTTTTTGGACCAAATAATATGGACTGAAACGACATTGGACAGCTCACTCTCGTTCTATGTCTACCTTTTCACAGGTGGAATTCTGTTTCGAAAGACATTTCGAGAAATGTTTCGACGTGGAACGATAACACCGACGAATGAAATGTCTCTTACCCAACGTCAAACAAGAAGTTGATGCTAAATGTTTGCACGAATATTAGTTTTTACCAAACAAATCTACAGTTACCCTCATTTTAACTGAAATAAAGCATGAAATCCCCTATGACTTTAAAAAAAGAGCACAAATAAATGTCCATAAGGCACAGTCAGAATGGCTATACGCAGTCTAGTGTGTGAAAGCGTTCAATAAAACAATCCTACAAATGTTCACTGAGCATCGTAATGTATCAAGTTAGTAGGTCATTCGGAAGGATTATATCAACCCACTCCTGTCAGAACACAATCATCAGTGAGTCTTTGACTTAGTTCACAAAAATATAGTTACCAAAGTACAGTTATACAAGGATACAATACGAGAAAATAAAAAAATGTTAGGTTGAATGTCTGTTCTTTCCCCGGATGAGTCTTATGACTGCTGTAGTTGTGATTGCTGTTGGAGGAAAAATATTTTTACTATTCTTTTTCTTTTCAATTCTACAGTTTATTGATCGCAGAAAAAATGAATGAAAGAATTTTATTTATTGAGAAAATTTTTTTGGCTGATAGAAGACAAATCCAATTAAATATTTTCTAATGATGCTTATGAAAACGAACTCAGGTGCAGTTTGTGCTATTAAAATTGCGTGTATTAGAAAGCTAAGAAAAGAGCTTTATCGCCGAATATATAATTTGATAGTAAAAAAATTCCATTCTATGAAAATTATAATAATCCTGACATATTCTATAAAAGGTAATAGTGGTTGATGAAAAAAATGCTTCTCGTCATTATTTTGCACTTCCGCTTTTTTCTCTTCTGTCGAATGAAAAAAAGAAGTGAACAAGGTTGTACAACTAATGTTCTGTTTGTTAACGTAGTCACTTTACATTACTGGGAAGAACGAAACAAAATTATAAGCGACAAATTTTGCACAATTCTTTTGCAGAAAAATCTTATATTCACGAAGAAAATATGTGCATACAATTGCCTGTAGGCAAGAGCACCTGATACGATGAAATGTTTTTTATGAGATTTTGCTATGAGTAATGTTTACTTATAAAGAATACAAAAATCACTAAGAGAAGAAAAAGCGTTCTCGAACACGAACAAAAACATCCAGAACGAGAAGAGAGACTTCTATAAAAAAAAAAAAGAGCGCATTTTCATCAGTCAATTATGTCGATAATATTTAAAATAACTAAAATTCACAACATCCAACCATAAAAAGAAACAAAATTAAATAAGTTCAATGGGAAATAGCAAATCAACCAGTTGTAAATCAACTCAGCAAACAGTCGGAAATGCAAACAACACAGGTGGATGTCAATGCATTGACATACAAAGAATCCAAGAAGTTCTTTTGGTATGGCTAGATGCCAACATTGATAACAACAATGACGATGTACAAAACACCATTACTCTATTAAGACGTGCCGTTAATGATGTAAACACGTATACAGATAATGACAAATGCATTCAATTCGTGAAATCAATTGAAAACCGTAAGGCATGTATGATTATATCAGGTTCACTTGGACAGCTTATTGTTCCTCAAATACACGAACTATCTCAAGTGGATTCCATATTTATTTTTCGCGGCAATAAACGACGACATAAACGATGGACAAAAGATTGGCCAAAGATTAAGGGGATTTTCACAGAAATCAAACCCATCTGTAAAGCTCTTAAACAAGTAGCACAACAATGTGAACAAAACGCTGTTTCCATCAGCTTCGTGGCATCTGGCAAAAAGTTGGACCAACTGGATCCTTCTTTTATGTATACACAGCTCATCAAGGAGATACTGTCAACCATCAAGTTCGACAACAAACACATTCGGGATTATGTCAAGTACTGCCGTGAAATTTTCCACGATAATGATGAAGAACTAAAAAATGTGAAGTTGCTAGAGCAGGAATACCATCTGAAAAAACCCATATGGTGGTACACCTATGAGTGTTTTTTCTACCGCATGCTCAATCGTGGAATACGACTGATGGATGGTGATATTATAGCACGAATGGGATTTTTTATTAATGACTTGCATCAACACATTGAATCCGTGCACAAGGAGCAACAAATTGATGAAGTCTTCACAGTTTACCGTGGGCAAGGATTATCATTAGCAGACTTTGAACAACTTTTACAAACAAAAGGTGGACTCATGTCGTTTAACCACTTCTTATCCACCAGCACGAATAAATTTGTTTCACTTAGGTTTGCAAAACAAAATCTAAAAAATCCAGATTCAATAGCAGTTCTATTCATAATGACAATTGATCCAAAACAATCCACAGCAGCGTTTGCCCTGATTCATGATTTTAGTGCTATTCCAGGCGAAAATGAAGTACTCTTTTCAATGCATAGTGTGTTTCGTATTCAAGATATCAAGCAAACGAAAGAAAATATCAAACTCTTCGAAGTAAACTTGATACTTACGAGTGATAATGACAAAGATTTACATGCACTGACGGAACAAATACGAAAGGAGAGTTTTTCAGACACAGAGGGATGGTTCAGATTGGGTTTAGTATTACTTAAATTAGGTCAGAATAACAAAGCTCAAGAGATTTATGAAATGCTACTTGATCAAACAACGAAGGAGAGTGAAAAGGCACGACTTTTTCATCAACTAGGTTGGATTAAATACAACCAAGGCAAATATGAAGAGGCAATGAGATTCCATGAAAAATCACTTGCCTTTAAAGAAAACACGCTTTCTCCTGAAGATCCTGGCTTGGCTTCATCTTACAACAACAGTGGTGCGGTGTACGCCAATATAGGTGACTATCCGAAAGCTCTTTCATTTTATCAAATGGCGCTTGCAATCAAACAGCAATCACTTCCTCCAAATCATCATGATCTAGCTTCATCGTACAACAACATCGGTTTGGTTTATTCCAAAATGGGTGACTACGAAAAAGCGCTTTCATATTACGAAAAAGCCCTTCCCATTCAACAACAATCACTTCCACCAAATCATCATGATCTAGCTTCATCGTACAACAACATCGGTTTGGTGTATTCCAAGATGGGTGACTATCAAAAAGCTCTTTCATATTATGAAAAATCCCTTCCTATTCAACAACAATCACTGCCTCCACATCATCCTGATTTGGCTATGTCTTACAACAACATCGGTTTGGTGTATTTCCACATAGGTGACTATTCAAAAGCTCTTTCATATTATGAAAAAGCCCTTGACATAAGTCAACAATCACTTCCTCCAAACCATCCTGATTTGGCTTCATCGTACAACAACGTCGGTTTGGTTTATTCCAAAATGGGTGACTACGAAAAGGCGCTTTCATATTACGAAAAAGCCCTTACAATCAAACAACAATCACTTCCTCCAAATCATCCTGATCTAGCTTCATCTTATGCCAATATCGGTTTGGTGCACGCCAACATAGGTGATTATTCAAAAGCACTTTTACATTATGAGAAGGACGTTGAAATAAGTCAACAATCACTTCCTCCAAATCATCCTAATCTGGTTTCATCTTACAACAACATCGGTTTCGTGTATTCCAAGACAGGTGACTATTCAAAAGCTCTTTCATATTATGAAAAAGCCCTTGACATAAGTCAACAATCACTTCCTCCAAACCATCCTGATTTGGCTTCATCGTACAACAACGTCGGTTTGGTTTATTCCAAAACGGGTGACTATCAAAAGGCTCTTTCATACTATGAAAAAGCCCTTACAATCAAACAACAATCACTTCCTCCAAATCATCATGATCTAGCTTCATCGTACAACAACATCGGTTTGGTTTATTCCAAAATGGGTGACTATTCAAAAGCACTTTTGCATTATGAGAAGGACGTTGAAATAAGTCAACAATCACTTCCTCCAAATCATCCTAATCTGGCTTCATCTTACAACAACATCGGTTTCGTGTATTGCAAGACAGGTGACTACGAAAAAGCTCTTTCATACTATGAAAAAGCTCTTCTAATTCAACAACAATCACTTCCGCCAAATCATCCTGATCTAGCTTCATCGTACAACAACGTCGGTGCGATGTGCGAAAACACGAAGAACTATTTAAAAGCCTGTTCATTTTATGAGCGTGCTGTACAAATTGGAGAAAAGTCACTACCAGCAAATCATCCTGCTCTTCCACAACGAAGAAAAAATCTCGAACGTGTGAAAAATAAGTTATAACTCGTGTCTCTGTGTTGTCTGTATCAAAGAGTGAATTATTTAAATAAATATTATCACGCGTGTAAAGAGAAACTCTGCTTATGATTGTAAAAAACTAAACTAGGCAAAATCATCTACTCTAGTGACGTGAACACGTGCATACATGGTTAATAACTCGTTTGTGTTCCGACAAAAGAATCATTCATCACATATAAAGGGTAATCTATAGGTCCTGACTCGATTTGTGTAATGAATTTTTCACTGCTAAAGAATGTATTTTAAAATTTGTCTTTTTGATAAAGAGATACAGCAAAAGATGCTCTACAAAACTGCCTATAATCAATACCACGTAATTCATCCACTAAGAAATACATATTAAGCAAGGTTCTTATTAATAGGTGATATTCATCTTGTACACAAGATGAATTTTGAATCATTACGTAAACAATTTTAGATTTGCGGTATCTGATAATCAATTATCTGATAGTTAGCTCTGAATTCGTCACCATTATCTGGATCTCAGTGCACTTTCATCCAGGTGGTCGAAATATATTTTGATCTATGTGTACTCTCGGTACACATCTTATAGCTTTGTATTCGCACTAACTTTTCCTTTGTTTTTTTTACGAATATATCCAGCCAGTTAAGTTTATTTTCCGACGGCTTCCTGCGAACTTTAAGCCGAAAACGAACAGGAAGTGACCGGAAATTTCCTTTTAACTTTCGATCTGAACCTACTGAATTCGGTCGGAATCGACAAAAAGTGGATCGAAACCGACTCAGATTTAGAAGGATCCAGTCGCCGGAACGATCGAGCTGGGAACATCTTCTTCAAAGAAAATCACAAGATTTTCATTTCAATGATGTTCGTTTAGAGCTGCTTTTGTTTATTTCGAACAGCAAAAGACAATTAACTTTGAGAAAAATGAGAAAAAACTGATAATTACCGGTTATATTCAGCATATTCCAAAAAAAGTTGCCTATAACTTCATCATTTCAGTAGAGATTATGCTTTTTTTCTTAACCTAACATCTATTTTATCGTGCTTGTATCCTTCAGAGAGAGAAAAGACGATAAAAATGCTCAATTCGAACGTTCAGAGATTTCGACAAAAAGTATTTCGTTTCTTCCGCCAATAACGTTTTCTAGAGCGTTTTGACATTTTTGTCGAAAAAAACATTTCCAAAACCGTGGCAGGGTACTCATGGATCTACCCTATGGTAACTTATGGTTTGATTGCCGTTGTTTTCTTCTTATGGAAAGATTGGTTACGATCACGCTGATTTCATATTCTGAGCATTATTCAGAGGATTATAAAAATTGACATTTAGCTCGTAAAATCTTCGTTCATCTCTAATGAAACATTTTCGTGGATATATATCGAAGAATTAACAGATTTTAGGAAATGATTGTGTACTAAATGAGACTGTAAATGCTAATTGTTATTTTAGACATCCAATGGGAATAAAGAACTGTAAGAAGAAACATCGTGGAGGTACAACGATATACAGAAGTCTCGCTCTTTGCCCTCATTCGAAATATAAAAGAAATAACTAATGAAATATTTTCAGTTTTATGCAATGCTGTTGAATACCCGATTTCGTGTCGTTTTCATACCATTGTCGAATGTCTTCCTCGATATATAGAAACAAAATCTCTTCCATAGAAAGTTGATTGAGGTAATCTTTCTTTTAAATCTTTCAAATTGACTGTCTAGCGACAAAGCGCACAAGTCATGGGTGTGAGAATAGGTCTCAGGGCACCGAAAGACACACACTGTTAGAAAATTTATAAACATTTGATTGTATGTTGAGTTACTAAGTTTGTTGGGGATGAAGCAGGTCGGTGCCGATGAACGTTAGTTTTATACACTCCAATATAGTTTCACGCTTAGAAAAATATTTCTGCAAAGGTAGTCAAACATCACGATTTCCTCCAAATGCTCAAATAAAAAAAGAAAGGGAAAGAGACGGAAAACGTTTGAACATATGCATATTTATTTGGCCTCCACTTCCTTTTTCATTCTCATTCAAATATTCAGTTAGTTATTTTATCGACTAAAACCAAATATAAAACTTATGAAGACTGAATTTTACGAGAATACATCAAATTTCTCTTTCGATCTCAATTTTAAATATTTATTATTCAATATAACTTTTAGGTAATTTGATCTCTATAAAATTATGTTATTCTCAACAGTGAAAAGAAAACATCACACGCTGCAATTCAGATTCCAAGTATTTCCAATTGAAGGAGTACATTAATCTTGTATTAATTTTTCAACACGATAACTGCAGTTCATATGAGTTTAACATGTAATATGGAAAGATCGAGAGCAATGTTTGCAGCAAATCATTGTTTTATATGAATTCGTTTGAATTTACATAAGTTTCATTTAATACGATAACTTGATGTTTATTACCTTAGGTACAAAAAATTACCGCTGCTAAATAATATGTTTGATAAGGAAGCAAAATAATCTATGAAAAAGGTATTTGATAATATTTTTCTTTTTTCCATTAAATATTTCTATAAAATGGGAAAATCTTTCTGTTTCTTCTAGATTTACATTCTGTTTCAAGAATAGAAGTGAACTCATTTTGTCAATCAATATATAATAGATTAAAGTCGAAAGAATGATCGATTTGGGCGAATTATCAAGTGTGAATGACGACGATGATTTAGTGCGTGATAGGAAATGATTGGAAAATAGCATGTTATGTTATATTATATTTCTTTCTGTTTCAGGCTAATCGATATATCCCAATGCGAAACGTTAACCAGTCAGCAAGTATTTGGTCGATGATTCCGTACGCATTACTTTATAATCATTTCTCAAAAATAAAAAATGTCATATGATTCTAGTTGTATCACTACGCATAAAAGAAAACGAATGTGTATTATATTTTGTGCTATCACCGTTATCTTGCTCGTATTGGTTACGGCTATTGCAACACCTATCGTTATCATCATGAAAAAAAGATATTCAACAACAGAAAAATCAACTGTTACTACAATGGAAAAACGAAGTACAGCAATAACAGAAAGAAAAACGACAAAAGGTATTCTAATATGAGATTAGCATTTATTAGAATGTATGGGTATCATTCTCATATGGTGTGTAAGAATTTGAAGGAGACTCTTCTCGTATCGGGTTGATATACAATAATCATACATACGAAATCATTTCGGTTTTTCTTCACATAGGCCACTTTTCAGTCGCGTGAACAAAATATTGTCCGGTTGCTATATATTTGTACAGATAAACAAGAGTATTTCAGAACTCAGAGCGTAACAAAACAAGGATTATGGACATTCCCTGTTCGGAATACTTGAAGAATCTCTATTTTTCCTCATCAGTTTCAAAAAATTTCCCCAAAAATGACTTACTCTTCTCAGTAACCCAAAATGTCTAATTTTTTCGTAGTTTTGTGGGACTCTTCTGATGTTTAACGAAATTGTCAATAATACTTGTCTTCAAAATTCTACTTGTCGGAACATTAAAAACAGACTATAGAAGCACATCTGACTGAGACTTCAGATCTGTATCTAATCTTTTACCGATTCAAAGCACCTTGTTTCATTTTTAAATCTTTGCAATTATCAGTGCTTTTTTGGAGTGAAGTGAAGACGGACATTTCGAAAAGAAAGTCGAGAAAAGTCCGCGACCATGTTGTCCAATCTAGACGTTTTTTCACAAATAGATTGAAAGTCAAAGTATATCGTCAAACTAATGCGACATTCTAAATCAGGGATGCAAAGGAAACGATAGGTATATTTCTCGTGGAAAATCGTAACATATACTGACTCTCAGAGCTTTGAAAAACACAATTTTTGTTCGCACTGCCATATCCCGTAGTTTTACTCTCTTGGTTTCCACGTCATTTTAGGTCTTTAATTATCTTTTACCTGATTTCGTTTCTTTCTTTTGTTCTACTGGCGCTTTTATGTATTCTAAACGGTAATGAAGAGCATACGGCAAAGTTTCCCACAAAAAGTTCAACAGAAACGATTCATGAAATTAACTCAATGTAACTTCTTTTTCTAGGACATTCATCTTTTCCAATTAATTCAAATACCAAATGGAAACCAAATCCAGTTATTATTAGCGCAGTAAATGACTTAGATCGATTACATAGCCCTATTGGCATCTATATTGATGATGATAGTCGATCAATTTATGTTGCAAGTTGGGGAGGTCATTGTATTGTTGGCTGGAAATTTAATCAAACTAATGGAGAAATTGTTGCAGGATCGAAGGAGTCGGGCAATGGAATAAATCNATAGCAGTTCTATTCATAATGACAATTGATCCAAAACAATCCACAGCAGCGTTTGCCCTGATTCATGATTTTAGTGCTATTCCAGGCGAAAATGAAGTACTCTTTTCAATGCATAGTGTGTTTCGTATTCAAGATATCAAACAGATAAAGGGAAATATCAAACTCTTCGAAGTAAAATTGATACTTACGAGTGATAATGACAAAGATTTACATGCACTGACGGAACAAATACGAAAGGAGAGTTTTTCAGACACAGAGGGATGGTACAGATTGGGTTTAGTATTACTTAAATTGGGTCAGAATAACAAAGCTGAAGAGATTTATGAAATGCTACTTGATCAAACAACGAAGGAGAGTGAAAAGGCACGACTTTTTCATCAACTAGGTTGGATTAAATACAACCAAGGAAAATATGAAGACGCAATGAGATTCCATGAAAAATCACTTGCCTTTAAAGAAAGCACGCTTTCTCCCGAAGATCCTGGTTTGGCTTCATCTTACAGCAACACTGGTGCGGTGTACTCCAATATAGGTGACTATCCGAAAGCTCTTTCATTTTATGAAATGGCGCTTGCAATCAAACAACAAGCACTTCCTCCAAACCATCCTGATTTGGCTTCATCTTACAGCAACATCGGTTTGGTTCATTCCAAGATGGGTGACTATCAAAAAGCTCTTGCATATTACGAAAAAGCCCTTTCAATTCAACAACAATCACTTCCACCAAATCATCATGATCTAGCTTCATCGTACAACAACATCGGTTTGGTTTATTCCAAGATGGGTGACTATCAAAAAGCTCTTTCATATTACGAAAAAGCCCTTCCTATTCAACAACAATCACTGCCTCCACATCATCCTGATTTGGCTATGTCTTATAACAACATCGGTTTGGTTTATTTCCATATAGGTGACTATTCAAAAGCTCTTTCATACTATGAAAAAGCGCTTGACATAAGTCAACAATCACTTCCTTCAAACCATCCTGATTTGGCTTCATCGTACAACAACGTCGGTTTGGTGTATTCCAAGATGGGTGACTACGAAAAAGCTCTTTCATACTATGAAAAAGCCCTTCTAATTAAACAACAATCACTTCCACCAAATCATCCTGATTTGACTTCATCTTACGCCAATATCGGTTTGGTGTATGCCAACATAGGTGACTATTCAAAAGCACTTTTACATTACGAGAAGGACGTTGAAATAAGTCAACGGTCATTTCCTCCAAATCATCCTAATCTGGCTTCATCTTACAACAACATTGGTTTCGTGTATTCCAAGATGGGTGACTACGAAAAAGCTCTTTCATACTATGAAAAAGCCCTTGACATAAGTCAACAATCACTTCCTTCAAACCATCCTGATTTAGCTTCATCCTACAACAATGTCGGTTTGGTGTATTTTCGCATAGCTGACTATGAAAAAGCTCTTTCATACTATGAAAAAGCCCTTACAATCAAACAACAATCACTTCCTCCAAATCATCCTAATCTGGCTTCATCTTACGCCAATATCGGTTTGGTGTATGTCAACATAGGTGACTATTCAAAAGCACTTTTACATTATGAGAAGGACGTTGAAATAAGTCAACAATCACTTCCTCCAAATCATCCTAATCTGGCTTCATCTTACAACAGCATCGCTTTCGTGTATTCCAAGATGGGTGACTACGAAAAAGCTCTTTCATACTATGAAAAAGCCCTTCTAATTCAACAACAATCACTTCCACCAAATCATCCTGATCTAGCTTCATCGTACAACAACATCGGTGCAATGTGCGAAAACACGAAGAACTATTTAAAAGCCTGTTCATTTTATGAGCGTGCTGTACAAATTGGAGAAAAGTCACTACCAGCAAATCATCCTGCTCTTCCACAACGAAGAAAAAATCTCGAACGTGTGAAAAATAAGTTATAACTCGTATCTGTCTTTTCTGTATGAAAGAGTAAATTATTTACATAAATATTATCATGCGTGCAAAGAGAAACTCTATTCAAGGTTTAAAAAACTAAACTAGGCAGAGTTATCCACTGTAGTGAGGTGAACACATGTATACATGGTTAATAATTTGTTTGTGTTCCGGCAAAAGAATCATTCATCACATATAAAGGGTGGCGCAGAAGTCCTGACTCGATTTGTATAATGAATTTTTCGTTGCTAAAGAATGTGTTTTAAAATTTCTCTCTATGGTAAAGAGATACAGTCAAAGATGCTCTACAAAACAGCCTATGATCAATACGACCTAGTTCATCCACTAAGAAAATTATTTGTTTAGAAATACATATTAAAAAGAACGTTCTTATTAATTGGTGATATTCATCTTGTACATAAGATGAATTTTGAATAATTACATAAACAATTTTAGATTTGCGGTGTCTGATAATCAATTATCTGACAGTTAGTTCTGAATTCGTCACCATTATCTGAATCTCAGTGCACTTTCATCCAGATGATCGAAATATATTTTGATCTATGTGTCCACTCGGTACATGTCTTATATCTTTGTATTCGCACTAACTTTTCCTTTGGTTTTTTTACGAATATATTCAGCCGGTTAAGTTTATTTTACGACGGCTTCCTGGGAACTCTGACCCGGGAACGATCAGAAAGTAGTCGGAAATTTCCTTTTAACTTCCGATCGGAACCTGCTGAATTCGGTCGGAATCCACAAAAAGTGTACCGAAACCGACTCAGGTTTAGAAGGACTCGCGTCAGTCGTTGGAACGATCGAACTGGAAACGTCTTCTTCAAAGAAAATCAAAAGATTTTCATTTCAATGATGTTCGTTTAGAGCTGCTTTTGTCTATTCCGAACGGCAAAAGAGAATTAACTTTGAGAAAAATGAGAAAAAGCTGACAATTACCGGTTATACTCAGCACATTCCAAAAAAGTTGCCTATAACTTCATAATTTCATTAGATACTATGCTTTTTTTTCTTATCCAAACATCTATCCTATCGTGCTTGTATCCTTCAGAGAGAGTAAAGACGATAAAAATGCTCAATTCGAATGTTCAGAGATCATTTATCAGTATGGGAGTTAATATGCGAAATATACATGTTCCGAAAAAACGACCTAGAACCTTATGATTTCGGCAGAAAGTATTTATTTTCTTCGGCCAATAACGTCTTCTAGAGCGTTTTGACCTTTTTGGCCAAAAAAAAAACGTTTCCAAAACCGTGGCAGGGTACCCATGGATCTAACATAAACTAACTTATGGTTTGATTGCCGTTGTTTTCTTCTTATTGAAAGATTGGTTACGATCACACTGATTTCATCTTCTGAACATTATTCAGAGGATTATAAAATTGACATTTAGCTCATAAAATCGTCGTTCATCTTTAATAAAACATTTTCGTGGATATATATCGAAGAATTAACAGATTTTAGGAAATGATGGTGTACTAAATGAAACTGCCAATGCTAATTGTTTTTTAGACATCCAATGGAAATAAGGAACTGTAAGAAAATAACATCGTGGAGGTACAATGATATATAGAAATCTCGCTCTTTGCCCTCATTCGAAACATAAAAGAAATAACTAATGAAATATTTTCAGTTTTATGCAATGTTGTTGAATAACCGATTTGGTGTCGTTTGCATACTATTGTCGAATGTCTTCTTCGATATATTGAAACAAAATCTCTTCCATAGAAAGTTGATTGAGATAATCTTTCTTTTAAATCTTTTCAATTGACTGTCTAGCGACAAAGCGCACAAGTCATGGGTGTGAGAATAGATCTCAGGGTGCCGAAAGACACACACTGTTAGAAAATTTATATAAATTTGATTGTATGTTGAGTTACTAATTCAGTTGGGGATGAAGCAGGTCGGTGCCGACAAGCGTTAATTTTATACGCTCAAATATAGTTTCACGCTTAGAAAAATATTTCTGCAAATGCAGTCAAACATCACGATTTCCTCCAAATGCTTGAATAAAAAAAAGAAAGGAAAAGAGACGGAAAACGTTTGAACATATGCATATTTATTTGGCGTCCACTTCCTTTTTCATTCTCATTCAAATATTCAGTTAGTTATTTTATCGACTAAAACCAAATATAAAATTTACGAAGGCCGAATTTTACGAGAATGCATCAAATTTCTCTTTTGATCTCAAATTTAAGTATTTATTATTCAATGTAACTTTTAGGTAATTCGATCTCTATAAAATTATGTTATTCTCAACAGTGAAAAGAAAACATCACGCGCTGCAATTCAGATTCCAAGTATCTCCAACTGAAGGAGTACATCAATCTTGTATTAATTTTTCAACACGATAACTGCAGCTCATATGAGTTTAACATGTAATATAGAAAGATCGAGAGCAATTTTTACAGCAAATCATTGTTTTATATGAATTCGTTTGAATTTACATAAGTTTCATTTAAAACGATAACTTGATGTTTATTACCTTAGGTACAAAAAATTACCGCTGCTAAATAATATGTTTGATAAGGAAGCAAAATAATCTATGAAAAAAATATTTGATAATATCTTTCTTTTTTCCATTAAATATTTCTATAAAATGAGAAAATCTTTCTGTTTCTTTTAGATTTACATTCTGTTTGAAGAATAGAAGTGAACTCATTTTGTCAATCAATATATTATAGATTAAAGTGGAAAGAATGATCGATTTGGGCGAATTATCAAGTGTGAATGACGACGATGATTTGGTGCGTGATTGGAAATGATTGGAAAATAACATGTTATGTTATATTAAATTTCTTTCTGTTTCAGGCTGATCGATATATTCCAATGCGAAACGTTAACCAGCCAGCAAGTATCTGGTCGATGATTCCGTACGCATTACTTTATAATCGTTTCTCAAAAATAAAAAATGTCATATGATTCTAGTTGTATCACTACGCATAAAAGAAAACGAATGTGTATTATATTTTGTGCTATCACCGTTATCTTACTCGTATTGGTTGCGGCTATTGCAACACCTATCATTATCATCATGAAAAAAGGATATTCAACAACAGAAAAATCAACTATTACTACAATGGAAAAACGAAGTACAACAATAACAGAAACAAAAACGACAAAAGGTATTCTAATATGAGATTAGCATTTATTAGAATGTGAGTGTCATTCGCATATGGTGTGTGAGAATCTGAAGGAGACTCTTCTCGTATCGGGTTGATCTACAACAATCATACGTACGAAATCATTTCGGTTTTTCTCCACACAGACCACTTTTCAGTCGAGCGAACAAAATACTGCCCGATAGCTATGTATTTGCACAAACAAACACGAGTGTTTCAGAACCCAGAGCGTAATAAAACAAGAGTTATGGATATTCCCTGTTCTGAATACTTGAAGAATCTCTATTTTTCCTGATCAGTTTCAGAAAATTTCCCCAAAAATGACTTACTCTTCTCGATAACCCAATATCTCATTTTTTCGAGTTTTGTGGTACCCTTCTGTTATTTAAAGAAATTGTCAATAACACTTGCCTTCAAAATTCTACTTGTCGGGACATTAAAAACAGACTATAGAAGCACATCTGAATGAGACTTAAAATCTGTATCCAATGTTTTACCAATTCAAACCATATCGCGAAACTCGTTCGCACTGCCATATCCCGTAATTCTACTCTCTTGGTTCCCACGTAATTTTAGGTCTTTAATTACCTTTTACCTAATTTCGTTTCTTTCTTTTGTTCTATTGACGTTTTTATGTATTCTAAACGGTAATGAAGGCCATACGGCAAACTTTCCCACAAAACGTTCAACAGAACCGATTCATGAAATTAACTCAATGCAATCTCTTTTTTTCTAGAACATTCTTCTTTTCCAATTAATTCCAATACCAAATGGAAACCAAATGCCGTTAATATTAGCGCAGTAAATGGATTAAATCGATTACATAGTCCTCTTGGCATCTATATTGATGATGACAGTCGATCAATTTATGTTGCAAGTTGGCGAGGTCATTGTATTATTGGCTGGAAATTTAATGAAACAATTGGAGAAATTGTTGCAGGATCGAAGGATTCGGGGAATGTAACAAATCAACTCCATTATANAATATATTGAAATTGTGAATATGTTATTATTTGATTTTGTTTATCATTAAGTAATAAAATAAGAATTTCATAAATTTCATAACGATTTATTGAACTTAATTTCAATGATAAACTTATTCGTTGATTTTCATATTGACAAAATTGACCATAATAACTTGATGAACATAAACATTCATATGAACTTTTATTATTAAACTCTTTTTTAATCATTATTCCACGATTACAATAATGAGACCATTGTTGATCTTCTTTTGAGTATATTAGATTCTTTTTTATATCAATAGAATCATCATCTTCTTTTTCTTTATTTATTTTTAAAGAATCAATTTGATCATTGTGATTGGATAATTTTGTCGAAATCGGATAAGGTGATGAAGTAATAACTGAAAAGAATTTTATATGATGTTGATTATTTTCATTTAATCCACATAAGATTTGTTCAATTTGATTTCGTTGATATGATATATTCTTGTATTGACAAGTAAATGAATGATGTTTACAAAATTCTTCATCATCTTTCAAATGCAGACAATCAACATGTTTATCACATAGTACAGATGATGATAAACATTCTGTATCGCTTAAACATCGAAAACGAAGAGGGAATCGATGCGAGTTAAACATGAGACGACAATATTCTTGTTCATCTGTTGCTCCAAGACAATCATCATTTCCATCATTAACACGAGTATAATTTAAACAAGATATTGTATAATTATAAGGAGATATACATGGATGACTTGTTGCTGGACATATGGATTGAGTACAGTTCCATTCATCTCGTCCGTCTGGACATGCCCAATAGCCATCACAACGGGAATACATATTATCACATAACTTATTCATATCACATTCATCTTCTTCAAAATGCATTTCTCTTTTTAAATTGTGATAAAAATAATGAGAGATACCATCACAAAAACTTTGAAATGGAAGAATTTCTTTACTCTGCTCGAAACTCGATCGACAAGCGTGTTCTTTCTGTATTGGTGACCAACATTCCTCTGCTCCACCACATTTGATTCTATGTTGATAATTGATTCGACAACTATTGAAAAAGTCTTCATCATCTTTATCAACACAGTCTATTATTCTATCTTTGATACGATGTAAAGAAATCATTTTTAACGAGTTTGAACATTGGTAAAGTGTTGTGTAATTTAAATATGTCGTTTTATTTCGAATAAGATTTTTTGATACAAAACAGCGACGAAAATTTTGCTCAATCCATCGTATTAGTTGACTCCAAGGATTTTTAGCAGTATTATCACGTCTCACGAATGGATCCGCTTCCTTTATACAAACAAGATCACCGTAAATTGAATCATTTCGATGAAATTCGCATCGTTTTGCAGTATAACATATATAATCAGGGGCAAAATCATTGGTTAGATTGCTTTGCAAGGAAATATTTTCATAAAAAAATTGGACATAATCTGAATAAATAGGAACAGTTGGAAACTGAAAGAAAGAAGGACATTGTAGGAGATATCGATTAGGAAAAGCATTCATCAACCATAGATGACATGATGTTCCATTAATTTCTTTGACAAGTTTAGTTAAACAAACCATCGTTATCCAACACTCTTCTTTTAGATCACCTTTTTGCATCATTGAGTCAATCAATAATTGATGTCGACCACTATGACAATATTCATATCTTGTCACACATTGACCATCGCCACATGAAAATGTTTCACCATCTGGTCGACATGAATGTTCTTCACATCGAAATGATACATCTTGATAACACATCTCCAAATACGAAGCAAATAAAATTTCATCAGATCGATCAAGACAATCTGCTTCACCTTCACCATCAATTGCCTGCTCTTATCTAGNAATGATATTACTTTTTTAATCAATGCATTTGATGAAATTCAATGTATTGATGCTGTAAAATTATTGAGAGGTAATTCGATTGAACTTTGATTAATTTGTTATTAGATTTTGTAGAACATTGGAGACAAAATCATTCTCAAAGAACGAATCAATCAGTCGAAAGTTTATCTGTGTTAATGCCACCTTTGATAAATCATCTTCTAGAGGATCTGGAAAACGATGGTTCTACTGTAAAAGACTGTAAGTGATTAATTACGTTTCTATTCTTAAATTGTTAAAAAACTTCCGTAATTAGCTGTTATTAATCACGAAAATAATAACGATGAAACAAGTAGAATGATTAATACAGACAATACAAACATTAATCAAGAATCAATAGTTATCTTTAGTTCAGATAAATTTAGTTCGAGATCAAAAATAGTAGGATCGATAAATATACGTTGGGCATATTTATTCTTATTCGTTCTATTGACAATCATTGGATTTGGAATATTGATATTTTTCGTTATTAAAAATTTCATTTATATTAATCATCTGGAAACATTTAATAATCAATATATTGAAACAATCACACAATTAAACAATCGAATAATACAACTTGAAACAAAAGGTAATTATGCAACAGTACAAATATTTTAGATTTCAGATCTGGATAACGAATGCCCTCTGGTTTTCAATGTAATACTTTCAGAATGGAAATGAAGTAAAATACTAATATCACAAAATCCATTTCAACATTATGGAAATGTTTTTAGAAGAAATTAAAGATGTGCAGTCGACTTTGTCGCACTAGTTTGACAATGTGTCAAAAATTTATCGAAATTTTACTATTTACTATCATGGGCATTGATGCACATGCACGTATTCTTTTTATTAGATAAGGCAAATGAAAATACTGCCTTTTCAGACAATTTTACACGTTCTGTAGAAACATCAAACAACTTCAAAATTTTTCTTGAGTCCAATCAGCTGTCTTCAAAGCTAATGCAATTACCGTGACTTAACAAATATGAGGAAGAACGTGAAAATTTAGCTCAACACATAGAACTCGCCTTTCTAAGTAGAAATAAGAGAATGAGAAAAATATTCTTTCATCTACTTTATCTCATTCACGAGATGTCAAACTCAATTGAAGAGATTAGTAAATGTGACTTTTCTTTTTTAGAAAATTTTCCTACTCCAACTAATTTAAATCAATCAAAACAATATGGAATAAAAATAAAATGGAAACCAAATGCAGTTACTATTAGCGCAGTAAATGGATTAAATCGATTACATAGTCCTCTTGGCATCTATATTGATGATGATAGTCGATCAATTTATGTTGCAAGTTGGGGACGTCATTGTATTGTTGGTTGGAAATTTAATGAAACAATTGGAGAAATTGTTGCAGGATCGAAGGAGTCGGGGAATGGAATAAATCAACTCCATTATCCAACAGATTTGATTGTTGATAAAGAGACGAATTCTCTCATCATTTGTGATGAAGGAAATCGACGAATCGTACAATGGTTTCGTCAAAATCGGACAAATCCACAAATAATCATTCCTCACATTTACTGTGCTCGACTCATAATCGATCGTAATGGAGACTTTTATGTTTCTGATTGGTTCAACAATAAAATAATACGATGGAATATGGTAAATAAGGAAGGAACGATTGTTGCAGGTGGAAATGGAAATGGAAATCAATCAAATCAACTCAGTAGTCCAAGGGGCGTTTTTGTTGATCAAGATTTTTCAGTTTATGTAGCAGATCTAGAAAATCATCGTATAATGAAGTGGACGAAAAATGCCAAAGAAGGGATCGTTGTTGCTGGTGGTAATGGTGAAGGAAACAATTTAACACAATTACGTTTTCCTGAAGGAGTGATTGTTGATCATTTCGGTAATGTTTATGTTGCTGACACGAAGAATAAACGAATAATGCGTTGGAATGCAGAATCTCAAGAAGGTAGTATCATTCTTAGTGGAGATTCAATCGGACAACAATCAAATTCGTTCGAGGCTCCTGGAGATATATCGTTTGATGGCGAAGGTAATTTGTATGTGGTCGATTATAGTAATAGACGAATACAAAAGTTTTTGATTGATTCGAGTTAATTTCAATAAATTATAATATGTAAACAGTTTTTTAGTCGTTCTTCCATCATGCAACAATGGTTCTATGGAAATCCGACAGTAGGAATTTCGCCAACAGAATTCGGACAGTGTCCAAATTTTACCGGAGGTTCGACAAAATTGTCGAATTTACATTGTTGTCCAAATTCCTATGGAATTGCGACAGAGCTTTTTTCAAGAAGTACGTTTGAAATCATATCTATGGACACTGATGACTAGTGCTTGATATCGCGTTGTATGATTTATCTATGGTTCCTTATCTCCAAATTTTTAATCGGACATGCTATTGTATTTTTTATTTTGTCTTTTCACTAAAACCATGCCTTTGTTCGATATCTTCATGCTTGTTTTGATAGTGCGCGAAGAGAGTTTTGCGCTCCTCTCTGCAGTATCATTCGAGATCATATTCGTCTATAGCACTCGAACATATTACTTAGCGCATGAAAGATACAATGATTCTTTTCTGAATCTGCTTTGTATATCCCTTGTTTGGCTTGGATTTAATCATATAAATGTATGCATCTTCTCTTATGTATTCGTATATCGAGGTAAACAGAAAGAAAGCGCCCAGGTCAATGATTCCGGTGACCGGATCCCGCGGGATCCTGCAGGAACCGTAGTCTTCTCCCGCATCTTCCCGCCGTTTCCGAACACGGATTCCAACGGAACCGACCGGAAAATGATACGGAAAATGGAAGCAGTATTCCTACCGGAAACCACCCGTACCGGAACCGAACAAAACCTTAAAGATCCGGCCGCCGTAAAAAAACGGTATGGTCCAGTATCCCACAAGAAAATACTCGAAAACATGCCGGAACCCGTCGGCAACGAATCGGCTTGAGCCGTATCCCGGCGGGATATCTCCGTATCCAACCACCGCAAATCAAACACAATGCTAATGAATTTCTTTATGACATTTTTCCTACACAGTCAAATTCTGCCAAACCCTCCCGTATCCGGTAACTCGTAAAATACCAATAAATTAACCGACATGAACCGCCGAGGAAACGCCAGGATACGATCCGTATCCGGAAGCTCGTAAATAAAACGCGGAAACGGAATCGGGATACGGCTTCCGAGTCCTTCTTCAGGAATTCATGGGAACTTTAACGGATCCGGCCGGTTTCCGCCGTACAGCTTTGACCTGAGTATGATCGTCTTTTCTCTTTTGTTTGAATATTATTCTAATTATTTTCAGTGAACAACTAAAAACTAGTTTTCCTCGTATATTTTTATTTACAACAAGCATTAGAAAACATTCTGACATCGAATAAGTAATATTAATATCTTTTGAATCTTCTTTGTATATGTCTAATACATTGTTTAAATTGTTTTCGATAAAGTGGAGATGGAATAACAAATATGGTAAAAACAAATGTAGCTGGAATAAATGATGAAAAATAACTCAGAAGAAAAAACCAAAATAATCTCGATGATTTATTACAATCTAATATCACTGTTACAATTAAATGAGGTAATGTTAATAAAATAATTATCATTGGACTTATTAATAATTGTTTATATTTTCGAATTTTTCTTCTTAAATGATTCCAAAAACGTACATCTACTTGTGATATTGATCGTTGACGAGCTGTAACGATAATAATTATTATTGTTGAACTTATTTGAATAATTAAAGGAACAAAATAATTAAGAAATATCATTACTATTGTATAGAATTTTAACCATGTTTTATAATAAATAACACACCATGTTCTACCTTCAATTTGATCTTCAAATATATGAAGATAAATTATATGTGGAACAAGAAGTATAATATTTCCAATAAATATACACGGAATAATAATTTGTTTGGCAATTTTTCTACTTTTTCTTTTATTAAATAATAAACCTTGTGTAACTGAATAAGTTCTTTCAATAGCAACACAAGTATTTAACCAATTATCAATAAATAAAAATAATTTTAATAAGATTTCAATAAATCGACAATTAAGTGTTAAAATTATTTGAAGATTTGATAGGTTTTGATAAGATAAATAAAGTAAACAAAATTTCATTGTAAATAATGTTATTGTTATTAATGATGTAATTGATGATGAGAATAAATATAATCCACAACCAACTTCACGTGCTTTCTTTTGTGTAAATGTCATCATTGATAATATTCCATTAATTATTCCAATAAAAAATAATAATATTGTTAATCCAGCACTAAATTGAATAGAAAATGATTGCGAGAAAAGATTTTTATTCCTAAGAAATTCATATCCTAAAATTTCATCTAATGTTGAACCAAGACCTTTTGTATAAAATTGACATTGCTGACCAAAAAAACAATTTGTACATAAACAAATTTTTGTTGATGGACAATATGAATGATCTTGATAACATTGACCTTGATTTAAACAATATTGATCATCATTTAATGAACATTGAAAGGAATTTTCTTGATGAAATGGTAAACAATTTGCATGATGATCTTTTGTACATAAACATAAATACATTTCATCAATAAAACAAATTAAATTCCAATTTTCTAAACAAATTCGATGAAAATGAACAATTCTTTCATATTTATGTAAATTTAATACTGTTGAATTAACATATTGTTCAATAAAATAACATTCTTGTTTAGATGTTACTTGTGTTGATGTATACATTGATGATGATAAATGTTGAAGATATATAAGATAATATTGATTTTTATTCGTTTGAATAAATACTAAATGATACGGAATTGATATATGAAATGAAACACTATGTTGAAAAAGTGAGAATTTTCGTAGAAGAATTGTTCTTTGTGGTTCAGAATCATTTGATGTTGTAAAGAAATGTGCAATGATATATTTTGGAATATTAATATCAATAAATGATACATCTAATTGCCATTTTTTATATTGACAATTTGTTCCATAATATCTTTCATCAATACAAATACATGTATAATTTTTTTCATGAAATAAATTTTGATCTTTTTTAATACATTTTCCTTGATTTTGACAAGGATTTATTAAACAATTTGATGTTATCAATGATAATACACAAATTGAATGATTCTTTTCTGTAAAACCAATAAATATTGAATCTTTTTGACATTTATGTTTAATGAATTCGGAATTTTTCCATCGACAAAATGTTTGATCATATTTATTAACATATTCCATACATTCTTGTTGTTTATTTAAACATTTATTTAGACATTTTCTTGTTTGAATAAGATTTGATGATAAATTTAATGCAATACTCATACGATTTACAGGTAAAAATAGAAATGGAATTGAATAAAACCAATGTCCAATATAAATCATTGAATTTTTTTCAATAATATCAATTCGAATAGTATAATTTAAGAAATTATTCTTTGGTCTGATTGAATATAAAAGTATTCGATTAAATTTTGTTGTACAACTTTCTTTTGGAATATATTGAAATTGTGAATATGTTATTATTTGATTTTGTTTATCATTAAGTAATAAAATAAGAATTTCATAAATTTCATAACGATTTATTGAACTTAATTTCAATGATAAACTTATTCGTTGATTTTCATATTGACAAAATTGACCATAATAACTTGATGAACATAAACATTCATATGAACTTTTATTATTAGTCTCTTTTTTAATCATTATTCCACGATTACAATAGTGAGACCATTGTTGATCTTCTTTTGAGTATATTAGATTCTTTTTTATATCAATAGAATCATCTTCTTTTTCTTTATTTATTTTTAAAGAATCAATTTGATCATTGTGATTGGATAATTTTATCGAAATCGGATAAGGCGATGAAGTAATAACTGAAAAGAATTTTATATGATGTTGAATATTTTCATTTAATCCACATAAGATTTGTTCAATTTGATTTCGTTGATATGATATGTTCTTGTATTGACAACTAAATGAATGATGTTTACAAAATTCTTCATCATCTCTCAAATGCGGACAATCAACATGTTCATCACATAATACAGATGATGATAAACATTCTGTACCGTTTAAACATCGAAAACGAAGAAGGAACCGATGCGAGTTAAACATGAGATGACAATATTCTGGTTCATCTGTTGCTCCAAGACAATCATCATTTCCATCATTAACGCGAGTATAATTTAAACAAGATATTGTATAATTATAAGGAGATATACATGGATGACTTGTTGCTGGACATATGGATTGAGTACAGTTCCATTCATCTCGTCCGTCTGGACATGCCCAAAAGCCATCACAACGGGAATACATATTATCACATAACTTATTCATATCACATTCATCTTCTTCGACTTGCATTTCTCTTTTTAAATTGTGATAAAAATAATGTGAGATACCATCACAAAAACTTTGAAATGGAAGAATTTCTTTACTTTGTTCAGAACTCGATCGACAAGCGTGTTCTTTCTGTATTGGTGACCAACATTCCTCTGCTCCACCACATTTGATTCTACGTTGATAATTGATTTGACAACTATTGAAAAAGTTTTCATCATCTCCATCGATACAGTCTACTATTCCATCTTTGATACGATGTAAAGAAATCATTTTTAACGAGTTTGAACACTGATAAAGTGTTGTGTAATTTAAATATGTCGTTTTGCCTCGAATAAGATTGTTTGATACTAAACAGCGACGAAAAGTTTGCTCAATAGATCGTATTAGTTTACTCCAAGGATTTTTAGCAGTATTATTCCGTCTCAAGAATGGATCCGCTTCCTTTATACAAACAAGATCACCGTAAATTGAATCATTTCGATGAAATTCGCATCGTTTTGTAGTATAACATATATAATCAGGGGCAAAATCATTGGTCAGATTGCTTTGCAAGGAAATATTTTCATAAAAAAATTGGACATAATCCGAATAAACGGGAACAGTTGGAAACTGAAAGAAAGAAGGACATTGTAGGAGATATTGATTAGGAAAAGCATTCATCAACCATAGATGACATGATGTTCCATTAATTTCTTTGACAAGTTTAGTTAAACAAATCATCGTTATCCAACATTCTTTTTTTAGATCACCTTTTTGCATCATTGAGTCGATCAATAATTGATGTCGACCACTATGACAATATTCATATCTTGTCACACATTGACCATCGCCACATGAAAATGTTTCACCATCTGGTCGACATGAATGTTCTTCACATCGAAATGACACATCTTGATAACACATCTCCAAATACGAAGCAAATAAAATTTCATCAGATCGATCAAGACAATCTGCTTCACCTTCACCATCATTCCACAAATCTTCTGCAATACATATTCCATTATGACATCGATATTCATCTTCTTTGCATTCATTAATTTCCATCAGAAAACAATATTCTTCATCACTACTTTCATCAAAACAATCCACAATTCCGTCACAAATTTCACGCCAATCAAGACACCATTCTATTCCATTACGATGACATTCAATTAGAACATAACAGGGTAGTGGTGCTCGCATCATTGTTCCCTCTTGTGATTCCGAGTAAGATTGTTTGCTTTGAAACGTTGCATTAACAATATCATTAAATGACATTCCTTGTTTGTAACGAGATTCAAATGAATATTGACATCGAAAACCGAACTGTGGAAAAGTACAATTATAGAAATAATTATTCAATGATACAGTTTCCGAGTTCATTAAATAACGTTGATAGTCGTCAATTATTATCTTTGGAATTGACCATGAAAGAAGTTGCTCTGGAGTAATACTCATCAAATTGATATCTTCAAACGATAATTGATGTGCAAGTGGATGAACAAATGTATCCATTGGATCATTAGATAGATGTGTTGGACGAATACAAAATGATATAACTTCATCAATAACATCGTATAAATCTTGATTAGCTAATTTTGTTCGGTCATAAACATAATAATCCAAACAATCATATTCTAACGTATTCTCGTCAACTATTTCTTGGATATTATACATATTTAAGTGACACGTTATCAGTGTCAATTGAAATAAAGTCAGTGAAAAAACGTTAAATATTCTTTTACCTTCAACGAACAGCATTTGTCTCTATTATAGACTTGGTTTTTTTTAATATAGTTTCACTCTCAGAAGAATTCACTACAGAATAATTATAAAGTAATAGTAGTAACGAGATATAAAATAGAGAGAAAAAGATATAGAATATTGTATGTCAGAGTAATCACAAATAGATGAGTATGCCACTAGTCTTTGTAATCGAAGGTAACGACAAAAAAAGTATGAACATAATCATCAAAGCAATGGACGTGATTGAATGATGATAAAAAAAGTTTGGAGAAAGGAAAAATGATCATGACTTATTCTTTACATTTATATTTATTAAACATGTTTTTTGAAAAAGTATAGAATAAATTACTGACGTAAAAGAACATTGCATAACGATACTCGTTCATATAGTTGACACGGAGCACATAAATATAAAATCCAAACCCAAGTTCATACTATGGGATTTTTGCAAGATTCAAACCTACACCAAATCGAATTTTTTTGGAAATCCGAGTCAAGAAAAGACTAGTTCTTTCATTGGATTCTGGTGCACAAGTTCAGAGTTTGCATTTATATGATTTCTGCGTTGATAGCTTCAATATTTAGCTTGAACTCTGTATCCGGATTCCCAAACCTGGCAACGTATCCGATGCTGTTTTATGAGATTTCGATAGAACACGTTTTAAATTATATCGATTTTCACTTTTGAATTAGTCGATCTGGGTATGAAAACCTAATACCATATCGCTCAGAAAAAAGGAAGGTTTACAAAACTTCTGAATGGAGCTCATGGGCTTTCACATCCTGACAGTTTGGGTTTGGCATATGTTCAATCACTAGATAAGAGCAGGCAATTGAGTCGCGTTTGAACGTCTACTGAGCTCATTTTATGTTTGGGATTCCATTTGGATATCGAATTCTACTTAAATATCGCAGTTTTATTCCCTAGACTGTATGGAGGGTCATATGAAAAAAAACAGTTTATTCATTTGTGAGGATGCTTCCTATTCCCAAAAAGTACCACATTCGTGCATTTCGTGCAATTGCATATCCAGCTTAGATAATTACATGATCATCGAGATTTGCAGAACTGCACATAGAATTCCTTCAATTCCTGCAGTTGCATATCTAGCTTGAATACGTAAATGATCGTCCTCAAGATTTGAAGAAATTCAGAAATTCCGTGTGCAATTTGAGAGATCCCTAGGCTTATCTGTTAGTTAATGAATGTATGTATATATATGCAATTGCAAGAAATGCAGGAATCTGGTACTTTTGGGAATAGGATGACTGCTCTCATTTGTCTGTTTGTACGGGGTCAAAGGTAATGTATGTACAAAAATAACAGAAAACACATTGAAACTGGCCCAAATTGGGTATGACCATCGTAGATTTTGATCGCTCATGATGGATTTTGCTCGGTGATGGTGGGCGCTTGTTCCCTCGACTGTACTAAGGCCATAGGAAAAAAGATTGTGCCCCTGTTCTTCTACCTGTCCGGCATTAACGGTCAATCGTCCAACAACACATTATGNTTTTTGGAGATATAGATGTGTCCTCAGGTGCTCAAGTGCTATACTATGGAGGTGTCCGTAGGTCATCATGTGGTGTATTTTTGGAATACACTGGAGTGGATAAATTGCGTCTTGTTTGGAGAGTAATGATTTGACCATAAAGAAAAATACGTGTTGTTTCCTCTACAAAAATGCTAGTCTAGTTCGTATTATCAATCACACAGAAAAGTATTTCTTTGTTACATAGTCGAGGGTAAAGTGAGTCGCAATGACGAATGTTACTTGTTGCTTAAATAATACATATTCATATATACACTCTCATCAGAGATGTCGGCGTTTTTTATTTTCCTCATCGTCCTTATTTATAGTCACGGCCACATAGTTTATTATATAATTGACTTTTACAGGTAACAAATGACATAAAATTTAATAAACACATATATATGTATGTGATATAAAACATGTTTTAAATTTTATCATATATTACCATTAAAATTCTTTTTAGAACTTCTGGATTAATTGTGCCTTGCCATTTGTTGTTGATCAGTCAGTACAAAAACAATGTATTTGACCTTTGTATAACATACATAAGCCATGTCTAAGACCTTTCGATCGGCACCATGCTGTACAATGGATGTTATCGATTGGACGTGTTCCATTGCAAATCAGTGGACTTTGAACAGTTGACACATCGTTGTCTATAATCAATTATAAACGAATGGAATTATTTAACTTAATGGTAATTGAAATCTTTGTTCTTACGGTCATCAGAAATTCCATTGAATTGATCAATTGCTTGTACTAATAAAAGCACAACGGCAACCAATACAGTTACTATGAAAGGTATTGAGTTTGTCATAACTACATATTAACATGTACTTTTCACATTCTTTATGAATCAATATATTGCATTTACTTACTTTTAATGTTGAATTTCAAGTAAAAGATGCTTATTCACAACAAATGAGTTCGCTCTATATATAGTCCATTAAATCAATATCTCATTTATCTGTGAATCTTTCCCATTGATAACAAATCGGAAGTAAGCTGTCATTTTTCCACATATTATTCACGAACACGCCCACTTGAATTACGTCTTTTACTTTTTCTTGGAAAAGAACATGATAATTCGTCATATATATTCATATGAGACTTATCAGATCGATCGATTCTACTGTAGTTCCTAAATTAGAAAAAAACGAAAGAAACTCACTAATTGCGCACGTACTTATTCATCATTTTCGGAAGAAGTTAAAACAAATATTCGTTATCTTAACAAAAACTGTTTTTTTTCCGTTATGCGACATTGCCGTCTACAATTTTCTTTGACATTTTTTGCTGAATGTCGTACTTATACCAATACAAGCAATATTTATTTTCTATACTCATAGAAAATTCTCATTTCAAATCAGTATAACCATAGAACAATGCAGATTCAATAATAATGAACAAAATGTAGTAGCTGATGTTCTCCAATTCAATTAACTGTTTAAAAAATAGCATCTATACATAATGTAAAATAATTTCATTTTGAGTAGAAATTATTATATACTTGCTCTTATTGTCGTGCTCATAAGAATAAATCATACCCAGGTCAACAAATCCGATGCTGGATCCGATCGGATTCCTGGAAACGGCATTGTATTGGAATCCCACTAGAAAAATCCCGTTGGTCGTTGCAAATTTTATGAGCTATGTTCTATAATGACCCTTAGAAAATCCAGAAAATTCATGTTTCGGATCCGACGAGATCCGACATGGGATCCGTCGAATTCCTGTAGGATCTAATAAAATTCTATATTGGATCCGAGTATGGGATTGTTCGGTCTGGGTACTAATAAATAATATTTTTATCTCAATAAATTTCATCCAGAGAAAATCTATATGATTCGAACTATGTCAGAATTCATAGATACACGTCATTTCTTATTCTGTTTTTACCCACTTATAGTAAAAAACGATATCTATTATGTCATAAGCAAACATAGAAACAAACAAATGTTATTTTTCTCATCATTTTTTTCCAACATAGGAGAAAAAAATTAATATTGTGAATATTAATCGTATTGAATTACTAATCATTTGATATTTGGAGAACAACATAAACTGTTCACTTTAATTCGGATTCATTTATTCATTAATGAGATCTTTATCCTAAAACAATCCAAACAAAATTAAAGAAGAACAATGAACAAACTTAATTTTAGGTCTACACATATAAATTCGCAAATTGCAACCAAATTATTAGGACACATAACTTTGAAGAAAGTGAATGTAAGATGAGTGTACGATAACAGTCTAAAGAATTTTAGTACTATGCCAAATTTGCATCCAATGAAAGATCGGTCGAGTTTGCTATGGATCTACTGCGCTTATAAGGAATTAGCCTATGATCTGATGAACCTATTTATGTTCAACAGATGGGCGCAAAACGCAAAAGAATCTTCTATCGAATGTTGGTTCGTTCTTTAGAGTTTCAGGTTTTGTTGAAGTAAAAGTGTGATGTTAAAGATAAATCCAGGAAAAAGAATTTAGTTGTGCTTCAGCTATAAGGATATTCATAATTGCATTTCGTGTCATTTCTCTATTTGCAATGTTTTCTAATGTAGTTATATCTGAATCTGCAGCGGGTACCCCAGCTAGTAGTACCATATTGTGAAGTGACATTCTCAGAATTCTTCATTGCACTGTTAAATAAAATATCCAGTGATGTTTATTCTCTATAAATTGAATTGATATTGACTACAACGATTTTTCTACAAGATAAAATTATTCGTCATTTAATCCAAGCACCATATTGACAAGCATTTGACACTGAAACAGTTTCTCATGAAATATCAAAATCTTTGATCAATTACTTTTATCTGAAATATCACACTAAACTACATCTATGAGTTCGGAATCTGTCATTTCTCTAATACGTTGTCACTTGAAAGAGTTTTCTTATCCTTCTAATTCCTTTACACACTAATCACACTGAACATAGAAATAAAAGATATCTGATTGATGCACGCCGAGCGTATGTTCAATCGGAAGAAATGTCTATATGATTTCCGCGTCCATTCGATGTTTTCAAGACAAATCTATACAACAAAATATTCTTGTGCGTGTTGTTCAATTCATTGAAAATATTATTGCCGAGATCG